AGTGCGGGCTGGATCTTAGTCAGAATGTCATTCATCCTTTGCTTTATAAGTCAGGAATATGAATGAAGTAGATATTTGTTCAGATCATAGAATCGTCTGGGAGGGGGAGAAATCCTAATATTAAAAACACATAACCTTTATAATTAAATGTTCGGTAACAGGGATGAACATGCAAAATAATATTGAAACTGTCAACCGCCTGACGTACTCTGTTTGAGCGTTTTGTCAGATGCTTAGGAATAATACAGCTGTAGTCCGGTAAAAACAGGACACAGTTTCGGCTCTATTGGCCACTCTAAATCTGCGCTATATGTACTCAAATAATATATTTTCTTGGTATCCTTACAACTGATTTTACATTTCACACTTATCAGAAGTACTGACTTTAATATACTGCGCTCTAGAAACGAACAGTTTGACGTTTCCTCTGAACTTTGTTGGTGCGCTGAGAAGGCAAAAACACATTATAAGATATCTAAAGTATAGATGATTTGGAATATGTGCATGTTTTTCAGCTATGTAACAGGTCTTTAAGTCGCAAATCTTTCGCGCAATTTTTTGGACAACCCATCCATTTTAATCGCTACTTTGAACTATTGTAATGATGCATATAAATTTATTCTAATTGTTGAATATACCGAATAATTCAGTCTTTACAGCTCATGACATAAGTATGTTTCGGAACTTGTCAGTTATTTACTCTTAAACGTGTACATTTTTATACCCCCATATGTATGCATATATCCTGTTTATTATTTACTACATTCATTAATTATCCATGGCCTGCTCCTACTTTTTTGACAATAGGTGCCGAATCTCGCTTACTCAAATTGATTTTCAGTGTTGACTGCCTCCGTTCTTACCAAATATATGTCTAAATCGATACTCTGAATTGTTTTATCCGGCACGCCTCGTGACTGGTTCTTATTATAATCGCTTTACGATAGAGCAAGTCTAGTCATGAGGTACAACGTTAACGAAGGTAAGAAAATTCATGTTTTGTAGTTCATTCGTCAGCTGTAATATATTGCTACATAAGCTCATTCGGAGTGAACTTTTCACTAACTAAATCGCTTTATCTAGTTACCTTCGAAACTAGTGTGCTGGTAAGGATTACAGATAGGACCAGTCACGGGTAGATTACTCCTCATTCAGCTTATTATGAGTGACCGAACTATTTCTAATCGTAAATTCTAGAGTTTTTAATGCCATTTACTATGAAGTCAGTATTTATAGACTTACATGCTGTCACTAGAGATATTCCAGGTTTTAGGTCCGGTCTTTAGTGATTTAAGCGACCTAGGAAGCGTCAATAAAGTTACTCTCAAAAGTGTAAAAGCGGGATATATCACATAGTTTTTGGTGTTCATGAGGAAGGAATCCACTGGAAGTGTTTTCGGTCATTATTCCTTTCTACATTTACTACTTATTATGTTGTGAAATAAATAATTTTTAACTTACCAAATGAATGTTTTTGTATCTGTGGATGATTTCTTCCCTGTTTGAACTATATATCTTGTAACATTGATGCGTATACATGAACTTATGGCTATGGAGAATTTCATTTGCGATAGTGCAATTATCTGTAAATTCTGTGCATCATAACTTCTTTCAAAACACACACCTTTTAGATAAACAAAATGACTAATTTCTACCATGAAATCATATTACAAGCAGATCTAGGCAGTTATACTGAAAAAGACCTCACACGTAACTTCTTGAACTACAGAGTTAAATTGAAATAGAATAAATAAAATATCACAAAAGTATCAGATCACCATGCCTCAATATCATATTCTGTAAATCAACATTATTACTAACAATTTAGTTCTACTGAATTTCCTCTATTCATACGATTAACTGCCCACTGGTTTTCTTACCAGTGACTTGCCTTCATTAACATACCCATGTGCTGGTGTACTGTTAGCGATCTTATTAAAAAAAGTTTTTGCTGAGTCACTGTTCAGTCTTAAACATGAATATTTTCTGTTCTTTATTATACATTGCAGAGTCAGGAAAATTGTGTACAATTTTATGTGAAAAATTTTGGCCATATACGTGAATCCAATGTATCTTGTGAAATATTTCAGTAACCAAACAACGTTTTACGAAAAGTATGTTAACAATCTTATCATTTTGATCTTGCCTCTAAACTGACATGTCTCTTGTAGCATGTTTGTTGTCTGAGAATAACTTATTTGAAAGTATTTGGAATACAGTATGTATAACGAATGTATTGTTATTCGTTACTTCAGAATATAACAGTGTTAGTATATTGAATCAAAATCTTCACCCCAAGTTTGTGAGACAAATTTTTAGACATATAAAGTGAAGATTATGTATCCAGGTAGATTGTAGTACTAACTATTCTCAGTGTTTCTTGAGTTGTCCAGGTTGAACATGGAAATGGAATTTTGAAAAAAGTGCTTTAATTTTTTATCGGGAATATTTCGCCGTACTAGGCTGAATAAAAAATATAAACCATATCGAAACCACTAAATACAACAAACAATACAACCTGGGTTTTATTAGGGTTTCTCTCGCAAAAAGTAACGTCTTAAAAGCAAAAAGAATGGCCAATAAATCATTGTTTGGCACCCGGGTACCAACAGGATGGGATCAAAAGGATTCGAGCAGTCCTTTCCAAAAGGCTGTAAAAGGTTAACAAGCATTCAGGGAACCATGCCGTAGTTTTGAGTTTGATAAAGCATGACCTATATGCGAATGGTTTGACAGTAAACAGCGGCTAGATTAAAATAATAAAGTATATATCAGTTGGATTCGGACACTAGTGATTGCGAAATGTAAAACATGGGAACAGAAGTCCTGAGTAGAGGCAAAATAGGAAAAATTGTAAAGAAGAAAAGAATTACCGACCCTGTCAATTAAAACGTGAAAGAATTTTCAGGTCATTCTTTCCCTGACATTCTTTATTATTTTCTAATCATCCTTTATATACGGAAAATTCTATAAAACACGGATCCCTAACTACTTAGAAGAACGAAAATCGTCAAATTGTATAACTTCAAGAATTCCCTGGTTGGGCCATCAACATAGAGGGTCCATTCTCCAAGCTCTCAGCATTCAGTAAATGATTCAAATCGCTTAGGTGCTTTGATTGGGAACCAAGTGATTTCAGGCATGTCGAATTCCTCACAAATAGCCTTGCTTGTAAACGGCAGGGATGAAACAAACATGAATACTTCTAACATTATTGCTCTATCTCCTGCTGGTGCGTTAGACTGACTGTAGACACAGCCGAACAGTAAGGAAACTGCATTAGAGGGTTTCAGGACGATACAAACAGAATCTAGTAATCTGTTTAGTTCATACATATCACATAACAGTGAGTTTAGGCTAGAGTAAGCATATATGAGGCATCCGCCACCTCTTCCTTGTAATCGATCACAGTTTTCAAGAGGTGTAGTTAGATCAGAAATGTTACTGGAGGTTCATGCCGCAGTTATCATTATAAGTGGTAGCATGTAAAAAGTCGCAGACATGACTAGATCTGTCTTATTACAAATCGAACGAGCATTAATAAGACATATATAAAACAGATGTCCAGCTAATCTTAAATAGTTTAGAGTATTTTGAGTGAAGGAGTTACTATTACTGACATGGGTGTGGTACGAGAAGTGAGAGAGGGACATGTTAGGTAAGTTACTGAAACTTATAGGAGGGGTTGTTAGCCAGGTGGAAAGGGGGAGAACGTCGCCTGTTTGAGATTGTTAGTGGGGAGTGATTCTATACTCTGCATGTGGAATGTAATGACTTGAGCTAAATGTTGATCGAAATGTACCACTAGTGATTGTATTCCGAAAAAAATTGAGTAGGCTGGCACTGCAGTGCACTACCGCTTTTAGTATAGTCTTGATGATACCACTGGTTACTAAGTTTACATTTATTCGGAATGGTTTTAACTTGGGGAGGGTTTGCCATGTACTAATGCTAGCTGCTATGACCTCGTCTAAATTTGGGGGTTATGTTTGCCAACTGGCTTAGTAGGGTAGGATGCATCGAGTTATCATTACTGGAGATTTTGCGAACAAAAGCCCGGGTATAAGGATGGGGGGGGGGTGGGTGAATATCTACTTCCACATTCACTATTAACCCTGGGGTTTGGTAGTTGTCTGTCATCAGATAAACACAACATAGAACTTCATACGCACGTACAACAGTTCATGTAGCTGTCAATCAATTAACAGCAACTTATAACTTCGTACGTACGCACATCAGTTCAAGTTGCCATAACACATTAGCACAGAGATGTTATCGTCAATTCCGATCCAATAGAAGTAAATGTAGTAAAGGTATTAGCAGTAGTCCGAGAGGTTATTGTGCGTGAACCATCGTACCACTGAACCGGCATCCTTTTTTTGATCAATAATAGAACTGTTCTTACCCAGAAACTTATATTTTGAATTTGGAGTGGGCAAGGCGCGTATATGACTCATACTGTCTCCGAAAGCAAGGTTCATTGAAGTGAAAATTTTCTATAGATCTATTCTCAAGAACTAAAAATAGAACCTTATAGCAGGCTGTTATTACCCATTGTATTTGCTCTCGTTTCATATACTGACTTTTCCAGATGACTTCCTTGAGGATCCGTTGCTACTAGTCCCTCAGGCTCGTCAAGCGCAAGTTTTCGCTATTCCGTCCACAATTATTTGAACCATTTCTGTTGCTTTTCGAATAAGCTTAATCCGTCAGACGAATATGATGCCAGCGTGACTTCTGTACAACAACAGTGATGAATGAATTATGATATATTATTGCCTGTACAATTCCTCATACAATCCTTATTTTCGCCGCATCGGGCTGCTGTTGATTAAAATCCAGAGACCCTTGTGAAAATTAACGGACGGTAAAGTTGAATAGGCGAAAGTAGTGAGATTTGTGACTGTCGGTATCCAAAAGGTAGTAAGGCATTCACCATTCTTAATGTATCAGAAACCATATATATGTACATATAAGGAACATATTTGTGCATAGTCGGTTTGTAGATAAAGATGGCCGAGATCACCACTACAGACCAGTTACATTCCCGTCGCTGAATATGTTATCTCCACGAATCAAGGACAGAGAAGAAAATTTAGTCCATACAAGGTAGTATGTTTACTAATGATTTTGTGGTATCGAAGTAATACCGAAACCCTGCCAGAAAAGAGGGCCTAAGTTACAGAACAGTGGAGCCAAAATGCCAGCAACAAAAACGGAAAGTTTGAGCGTACAACGAGTAATAAACAAAACTTTTCTGAAACAATCACTGGTACAGTGGGTTATTATCATGAACTTTTCTAAAAAATTAATCGCATTACCTTCATAAAAATGAAGTCACTACAAACATATGTACACTTGAAAAGGACAAATGTGAGCGTACGGAATAAGTTTACATATGGCCATAAGACATTTATAACGATCAATGCACGTTCGTATAGTAGAAGTAGGTTCGTCATTCCAAAAACTTTCTCTGTTTGAATGGAAACTATATAAAATTTGGAGTTACATATGACACTCATCAGAATAAATTCAGAATAATAGGGAAGGCAGATATAAAATACTCGAGATCAGATGATTCTACGGTTATAAAAAACCGATTTGGAATATAATAAGTTCCAAAAGATTATTAAAGTAGCGTTCTTTACGGAGACAACTAACTTCCTTCCGTTTTATTTTTCTATTGTTCTATACTGTGTTTTAATCAATAAATCTCTGAATGGTCTAACTTCAAATCTTCGTGTTCTCAAGGTTATACGGTGTTTCAGGATGTCGACGTTTAACGCTGGACCGGCTAATACAGGGGCTGCACCGTATGTCACATTTCTTTAGATTTTATAGATTAGTGTGGAGCTCACGGCAGGCAAAATCCGAGAAATGATGGCTAATGCACAAAGGGCAATAGCACAACGGAAGGTTGAGCTTGGCCTGGTAGGTTTTGACTTTTGAGGGACTTAATTTATTTTTTAGACAGAGAACGGAGCTGCCAATGGGTTGAATTTCCCACCAGGAGTCATTCCGGATACAGCAACTGTTGACAAAATGAGGCGAGCTGCTCAGCTGCAAGCACAAATAACTGCTCGTTTGAACTCGGGAATTCTGAGCAGCCACACTGTTAATAGTGACTCCAGGTAAAATAGTGATACGTCTTTATCCTTGTTCACTAGGAAGTCAAAGGATATACCCAAGTAAGTGAATTGCTAACAATTTACTATCTGGCTAGTGTGATCTTCGACGAGGAAGGTAAAACTATCGATGCTTCTACTGGAGAGGAAATACAACTTACTCATTATACACCAACACTTAAAGTACATAGATGCTTAATCATCATTATATTTTCAGGCCAACCTCAGAGCGAAACGAGCGCAGCAGTTTAAAGAGGTGCTCCAAACTACTACACAGAAGAAACCTCAAAAATCTTCCGTTTCAACCGTGTTTTTCGATCCTCGCCTAAGGTATAACCGGTTAATAATATTACTTTTCCAAAGAGTCAAAGCTGCTTCACGTCCGAAACGGCCGTTAAGTTTCCACGAACCTGGGAAGTTTGTCAAAATGGCTCAGCGCATGCGAACTAAGTTCCAGCTTCAAGTCTTACAGGAATCTGTCGCTCAGGCTGTCAGAAAAACGGGTATTGCTAGTGCAGCCAAACTATCCACTATCCAGCCAAAGCGTTCCGTCGACGAAACAGACATACCATCACTGGAGTGGTGGGATGCCTATATCCTGAAAGAGGGTGTAACTAGGTGAGTAATTTATTAATTGGTTTATCCTTCTCCTAGTTATTCTACTTTAGACGAACTAGCTATTCATGGTCTGCCTGTCTCTGCTGCTATCAACAAAGCATGGATCACAAGTTTGGTTGAGCATCCAGTTAAACTGAAACCTCCAACTGATCTCTCTAAACCTCCGGAAATACCATTACTTTTAACGAAAAAGGAGCGTAAAAAGCTTAGACGTCAAAACCGTCAGGAGGCCCAAAGAGAAAAACAAGAGAAAGTTAGACTTGGCCTGATGCCACCCCCTGAACCAAAGGTCAGTTTAAAATTATGCGTTTACTGAGTATTCAGCTCTCCAGGTATGATTAAAATATGTACTATACCAAAGTATTACTATTTCCCCCAATTTACCCCAACGCGTTTTGGTTAAGCTTACGATACTGGGTTGTATCGATAGGTATTTCTACAAATTGATGTATCATTTACTCTACAGCTTATACTCTGTCAAATCGTCACTGTCAAATACACCTACCAACATGACTCAGTCCACTTGTCAGTGACTTCATGGATTTCTGCCATTTTTTGGTCTGGTCGCCCCTAGCTTTCTTCCAACCTATTCCTACATCGCAAAATATAGCTCGACGCGGCAGTCGGTGGTTAGTCATACGTAACACATGTTCCAACCACATCAACTACTAAAGTTTCAATACTTCAACTGATTTGCCGTCCGTACCTAATACTCGTTTCCTAAGGGCGCATTGCTTACTCGGTTGTTCCACGATACGCGAGCAATGCTTCGGAGACATCTATGATCGAAAACCAGTAACCTAAGAATATCTTCACTCTGACTGGCCATGTTTCACAGTCATAAAGTAGGACAGGGAGAACTACTGCGCAGCACACTCCTCCTGTAGTCAGCAAATGAATATCTCGCTTGCGCCATAAGTGACGCAGCCAATCAAGCCTTCTGTATCCATGCCGAGATTTTGTCATTCACCAGGACATCAGCACCGATGAGACTCCCAAGATAAGTGAAGCGATCAACACGCTCGACTACTTCACTCCCTATCACTAGTTCAGGTGCCGACGCAACCCAATCTTGAAGCAACATTTTGCATTTCGAGGGGGAAAACCGCATCCCGAACATACTTGCATTGTTGCTTAGGGTAGTCAGGAGACTGCATTTTGTCATCGTCTTTACCAAGTAGGACAATGTCATCGGCATATTCTAAATCAACCAGTGAATCTTCTGGTAGGTCTACTCCTCGAAGTTTAGACGAAGATAATGTTACATCTAGAAGCATGTCGATGACAAGATTGAACAAGAATGGGGAAAATGAACATCCCTGACGGACATCACTTGAAATAGAGAATTCCGACGACAGTTCGCCATAAACTGTAATTCGACCTGTGGTGTTCGAGTAGAGAGCTTGTATAAGGTTAATATACTTCCTTGGTTACACCTTTCAATGACAGACGCTGCCACAGAAACCACGATAGACTGAGTCGAATGCCGCCTTGAGGTCCAGGAAGACGACTATTATGGGGAGCCTAAATGTGTATCTGTCTTTCAGGACCTGTCGTAGTATAAAAAAGGGGTCTATGCAGCCGCGTCCAGGTCTGAAACCAGCCTGGTTTTCTCTAGTCTGCTCTTCACGAGCTCTACCTAGGCGTCTAAGTATAATCGAGTCTAACAATTTAGAAACTATATTAAATAGACTTATTCGCCTGTGTTTGTCACAGGGACAATCAGGGATTGAGACCAGTCGGATGGGATTGTGTCCAGTTCCCAGATTCTACCTAAGATCTCAGTTAATCTAGCTGCTAAAACTGGACCACCATCCTTAAAATTCTCAGGGATCAGTCTATCAGTACCCGCTGCTCTCCCTTGCTTCAGATTTCCTATCGCTTTCTCAACTTCATAAAGAGTCGGAGGACTTACTTCAATTCGCCATTCAGGATGACTGGGGATCGTGAGCAACCAAATTGTGGCTGAAGGCCAGTTGAGCTGATTCTTAAAGTGTTCTGCCCATCGATCTAATATCTTGGATTGAGAGTGAATAATAAGACCATCCTTTCCTGAGATAGTTTCGCTAACAGATGGATTTCTAAAAGCGGTTTCATTGGTAAGTCTGGATAGTTGCCTGTCGCCGTTGCCTTTTCCATCTCTCTCGCTTTCGCTACCCACCACTGTTTTTTATCAGCCTGTGTGTAAGCTGATTCCACTGCTCATCGCCTTCAGATACAGTCGGGATGAGTTTTTGAGCATCCATCAGTTCGGTAGTTGCTACTAAAACCCACGGCTTCTCCCTAACCTTATGGCTTATCTTACCGGCAGATATCACTGCTGTTTCCACAGCTTTTTTGATATCATTCCAAGCTGCCGCAGGGTAGGCATCACTTACTACATGGCTGCCTAACTGTTTTTCAAGTCGTTCCCGGACTCCGTCTGTAGATACTTCGAGGTTACTGCGGGTCCCAAGCCCGGATAAAGGAGGACGGTTGGGATCAGGGTTGGCGACCGCGTCCCGCCAGAAAGCTGACTTTCCAAAATAACGCTAACGAGAAAAGTGACTCAAACCGTATGAAATCAGCTCTGGGAGTTAGAAGGTCTTCATTTGGAATAATTATGACGTCTCGCGATAAAGGTCGAGTTCCTTCGGAAGTTTTGAGGTCGATGCCCATTCTGACGATCAGAACCTTCCCTCGGTGTGGGCAGTCGGGAAGTTACACCCACCCTCATACCTATTAAAGCATACGAGATCATACTGGTCACAATCAAATTCTTTCTACACCTAGTAACTCTCTTATCTCGACCAACTCTTTCTTCATTTATCACCTCGCGCTACTGAAGCAAATGGTTCGAGCTCACGAAAAGTTACTCCTGGTCTCTTGAAACCTCGTACTGTATTACATATTGGAGCTTTTGATGTTCGAACCTTGTGCCAGATAGGGCGACAGGCTTCATTAGCTAAAACTCTGGAATCACGAGCGATCAATGTATGTCGTGTCTCTGAAACGCGCATACAAGATCCGAGTAAAATCATCAATTTGATTTCACCTAGTGCAGATAGAGACACAACACAGTTTACTCTTCGTGTTTCAAGTGGCCCTGATGCTGCCTCCCGTGGCCTCGCCGGCGTATGTATAGTATTAAGTCACAGGGCAGAACTATCTTAGACTGGATCCCGATAGACAGTCACTTATGCACTGTCCGAATAAACGGGACGGCACGGACTCGTAAAGATAGGGACACTTACGCTCTCACTGACTGCAGTTCAGACGAAGTGAAAGATGAGTTTTACAGAAAGCTTTCGGAACTCCTCCAAAAAGTTAGGCGCTCTGATGTAGTAATAATGGCTGGTGACTTCAATGCTCAAGCAGGCAGATTCAGTGAAAGGAAAGACACCTGGGTGCATCTTATGGTTTCGCGGCTAACAGAACAGATAATGCCGACCGCCTGCTGTAGCCGTGTTCAGACAACCACCTGTGTCTAGCGAAAACTAACTGTAAGTATAAGGATAAACATCTTTTGGCCTCTTATGGTTAAGGGTGTGATATTCTTACTTAGTGCCTATATTCATTCTCAACAAGAAAGTTATCATCAAGTTACTGATTTTCAGCAGTTAGATTGGTGTGTTAGCTCTACTCTTCAGGAGGTCTTACCACCGGAGAGATGGAAATCCGTGAGGTATGGCAATTTCACGGTCGACATTTTCAAACCACTTTCTTCCTGCAACATCGCTGCAGATGCTGTTTGTCCGAAAAAAACACCTTACTACTATCATACCCCTCTACAGTAATAGTCAGCAGTACGACTTCGCCCTGAAACCTTGAGTTGCTGCTTATAGTGTTATTGTTCTTCAGTCGACTTGCCTGGCATAGTAGGATATAAAGAAACATATGTCCAAGCCAACTTGACTTAGTTGGATCATCACGACAGGCAAGCCCAACCATCATGTCTAGGTAGCAGCTGCAGTTGGTTATCATAGTCTGTCTAGCGGGAATGAAGATTAGACTTTTGAAAGATGGTTTTGAATCACTAACGTTGGAATGGTTTGTTTTATTGTTCGTTGGATAGAATAAAATTACGTAAGAATCCATACAAACTGCCTTTGTTGATTATAGTATTTATTGTTTCATGCTCAAAATAATCCCTATCGAAAATATTCTAGGAAACCGTTCCATCTATCTACTATATTTATGACTTTCGTAGTATTCATTTTAAATCTCAAGTCTTGTTTATTTGCCAGGTGCGCCTGGCGAACTTGATGAGAGTCCTAGGGTCAGATGCTGTTCAGGACCCAAGCAAAGTAGAAGCTTATGTACGAGCCCAAATGGAATCTCGCAAACGAGCGCATGAGGCTGCTAATGCTGCCCGAAAATTAACAAAAGAGCAAGCTCGTTACAAACGCATTAAAAAAATACGGGAAGATACAACTCATGCAGTTCACGTTGCTGTGTACAGGTAAGTCATTTGTTTTTGTTTTAATTATTTAACATTATTTATTCACAGATCCAGTTCGTGTGACACCACATCGTTATGTAGTACACAAACAGAAGTAGATCGAGTTCATACTACCTGATAATTATATAGTATGAATAAAATAGTTGTTACCAGTTTATAGTCACAATACGAGAATGTTTCTGAATTTTTTGGTACCTCTGTTTACCTAAGGAGATATGTCTAATGGATATGCAGTAACTCCAGTAATCTTTGAATGTAACTTGTTGAAAGTAAAACAGTGACTGTTAATACATGTTACCAAATCCAGTGTCATCAGAAGTAAATAGCCTCAGCATAAACAAAATGATGTAAATAATAATCTTGAACTAATCAATTTTAAAAGGCAGCTCAAATCCCGTATGTTATACTATCAATTCTGATATTATTGCAATAAGAATCATTTAGACTTGAGTTCATGAAACTCATCGTCAGTAAATCAAATCGCTGTAGCATATTATATCGGACACTGTGACCGTTTAGAAATGGTATAAGATAATTGTGTATCTTTTTAAATTTAGAAATGTTCCGGTATTGTAAGTCAATATGTTTTATATCGATACTGCTTATCTTTAGAGTAAAGGATTTTTCCAATCCATCTCATCGATTCAAAGTAGAGACAAATGCCAACCAGCTACTCATGACGGGACTGGTCGCACTTCACAGTGATTGCAACGTAGTGGTTGTGGAAGGAGGACCTAAACAACAACGAAAATTTCAGCGTCTCATGCTTTGCCGAATAAAATGGCGTGACGGTAAACGTGGGGCAGTCAGTAGTAATCCATCAGGCTCTTTCAGCCACGAGGACCGTACTGCTACATCTGAACTGAACAGTGACTCAGGATGTCATTTAATCTGGAAGGTACATTTAATTGCCTAAAATCTCACTATATTTATTTCTTTAAATTTACGTTTTTAAAATTCCATAATCACCCTGAACATAGTCAAAACTAAATAAATGCCACTCAGCATTACTGGCCATAGTCTTAGTTATTATTCGTATTAACATCCGTTTGGAATCTTCAATCACACATCTAGTGAGAGATTAAATATGCTACGAAGAAGCTACCTTAATTTGCTCAAACTACTGTGCAAAGGAAAAGTGGTAAATGAATAACAATGATTTAAAAGGTATTGGTAATTCAGATGGTATTTATTTGAGATTTGTATCAGTCCTTATCTAGATTTTTTAAGGAGAATCTCCTGTCCCAAAAATTTACTGTTAAGCTAACGACTGAAGTGTACTATCAACAATTCCACTTCCAATTTCACCTTGTCATCCGTTTAGGTTCCTAACCTAAACACCCGGCCAAGTGTTAGTGTGGCAAAGCATGTATGCACTATTGGTGTTAATATTTATAAAAGTGGCTATACATCTGAATAAATGCTTACCATGGAGTTCCACTTAGTCATCTTATACCTCAAACTGTGAATAATGAGTGTCGTAATTGAGGCAGATTTTTTCATTTTGATTGAAAGTACATTAACAATCTGTTAATGGTACTTTCTTTGGCTTTCTTGTTTTTTTATGTCTTAAGGACTTTTTATAATCGAATGTTTTAATTCTAATATGTCTGATTTTGCTCATACTTTTTAGGGTACAGTCAAACAACGTGCATTCGATAAAATTCAGTTTAAAGCATGTCCCACAGAACTTTACGCACGTGAACAATTTCGTAAACGCGATGTGGAGCATTATTGGGATCTTGCATACAGTGGAGCTATATTAGAAACTCTTAACAGTTAAAATGTTTCACAAATTTTCTTTTTGCATATTGATTTTGTCAAAAATAGTCTTTATAAAGTGATGATTTTGGTGTAAATAAAGTTGTACATCTTTTTTTTAGTGTTTTATTTGATCATTATTATGCAATAATATAGTGTACAAAAGATTTCATTTCCTTTGGTAGATATCGAAATGCTTTTGAAAAGAGTAAGATGTTTGTTTTTGCGTTTTACTACTGACTAATGTGTTTGTTTCAAATAAGTTGTTTTGTAAACACCTATTGATGGTGATGAGTTGTGTTCTTTTGTTATAAACATGTTTTCATAGTTTCGAGTTGTGTTATTCTTTTTTATTTGTCTATATATATATATATATATATATATATATATTTGTAAGTTTTCCCACTGGTTATTATTTAATTGTTTCCGCTGTATATCGTCCATCAAAGTTTGCTACCGCATGCTACCTTAGTTACTGTGAGCTCTAGATATTCTGTAAAAAAACACGGTTTAACTTCTTATTATTCTAGTAAGTTAGAAAGTATCGTTAGTAAAGTACTTTTGCAGTAATAATTAAGTCGAACAAACCTGTATGAAATTTTCGTTCAAAAAAATCTGAGATTAATTTCTTGACACTTTGTTGATATTTCCGTGAATCCCTGATATTACTTAATTATCCATAGAGTATGTTTGGTTTCCTTCAAAATTAAAATTTAGACGAAAAAAGTTGGTAATACAAATGAACATGATTGTGAAACTGATGTAGCAGAATACCCGATTGAATCGAATAATTTGAACAATTCAGATAAAGAAATTTCGAATGAAACCGTTTCTCCTGAAATCACTGCACTCACAAATTCTGTACCGGAAAAAAAATCTAATGGAATTTCACCTGGACTACATGTTAAACGATCTGTGATTCCTGCCTTTAAGAAAGTCAAACAACCAGTTACACTAGCTAGTTTAAAAAACTGTTCAAACTCATCGCACACTTCTTCACTGTCGTGCAGTAAATCGGAATTGTCAACAGAAGTGAATAGTGATTTATCGAGATGCGAATTGGAGGTAATATTGTTTTGTTTTGGTTGTTTGTTGTACAGTTTCATCATTTGATTATGATGTCTGATAGTTTACATTGTCTAAAGATGATGAATGTGAGAGATCATTTTACTAGTAAGTTAGTGACATTGAATGAATGGTCATCATAACTTTTAGTTGAGTTGTTGGAAGTATGTAAAGGTGTGACTATGTATGATGGAATGATCTGTTTAATTGATTTCCCTGATTGTTTGTTTGTTAATTGTACGGTAACTAGTTGAATGGTGTTCTATCTCAGTCTGAACTTACTGTGTATTACAGTTTTGAGGATAAATATACTATTAGTCAGGATATACGTAGAAGGCCTAAACGTTTATCCACTTTTATGTAAAGATTAGATGCATTTACCGATACATATTTCACGACAAATTTCATTCCTACAGAGACAAGTATTTTCACCTTTTGTAAACTGATTGTTATTGCGCAACTACTGCCTTCTGTTTTTAGCCACTAACTTTTCTACATCGATAAACCTAAATTATTTTATTATCTTTTCAATAAGGAAATCAAAGGATTTTATCGTAGATGTTTATCGTCATCTCTTCAAGAAGTTGAGAGTCCTTAATTATTTGTCTGCTGACTGAACGAAATACCAGATAAATCAACATTTTCCAGTTCCTCAAACTTTTGTGCAAACAATTAGTTGTTTTTTTACTTAAATCAATCGTATTTTAGAAAAACTGGAAAACGTGCTGTACTAACTGTATTCAGCTTACCCGTGAATTACTAATTGATCATTAACATTCAGGTTGCTGTTATCCAATATTTACGACGAATAATTCGATGAAATTTCAAAGTATCCCTTATTTCTCTGATTGATTTCTTATCAGTGTAATTTTAATCACAATAGCTGCAGTTCAACAATTAGGTTCGAAACCCTGATTTTGAATACTTTAGTTTTAAATCCGACCTGAGGATATCAAGTAGAAAAGGAGAGTTTAAGTGTGAAATCAAACAATGAAAGTATTATGACAGTTTAGTTTTAAATACTGTCTGTAAGGACTTGTTACTCTTCCATGTAGTCATATTAGTATTGTAATTGGACTACCTTTAGTATGAACGTCAGAATATTGAATAAATACTTAATGGTGTATCATCACGTCTTCCTATTTCGCCTTAGTTGGTCGCAGCTAATTGGGTTTCGAGGTTCTAGAAATCACCCTGCCAATTGCTTTACCGTTTGTCAGTGGTTTACAAACGATGTATATTTATTTGCAGATTCACTACTTTCTCGTGAATGTGTTGAGATTATGTACCTTTAAGAACCAGTAACTCTATATAACTCCATGTCCAATATAATACACGTAATTCCGATTTTTGTAAGGCCAGTGTAATGTAAGATTCATGAGCTCTTTACAGCTTAACAGTAAATTTTCTGTGTAGATGAGAATAGTTTGTCTGTATTGAAGAACGCATTTAAATGCTCTGTTATAGTCTAAAGTGGAAAAGGTTGGCTCGAAATGTTCTCGTATGACTAAGCACATATAGCCACTTCCAGAGAAGCCCTACTCATTGCCTTCCCACGGTGGGTAGTGTTGTTTACGAAATTGATAGGAGGAAAAACGAATGTCCAATTAGGCTTAAACAAACTTAATGGGTACGGAGGATCCATTTAGATGAGTTAAAAAGCCTAACTTTAACTAATGGGGGATATGGGCCCCGAGATCCAGCGGAAACAAATGGTGTATAAGTCTATAATTAGTCACTGGCCATCATAGGACCGCATTTCCCAACGTTGCCCCACCACATTGTGGATTAAACCTCTATGTTGAATGCTTCGGTCTTGCTTCCGGGCAGCATCCTAGCCTACAAACAAACTGAATGATTTGTGTGGGTTATAAAAATTGAGCGTCCCTTTATATCAATAGTTATGTGTTTAGATAATTAGTAGCTCACTGACTGACTGACAGAAAAATTGATGAAATGAAAGAGGTTATTCGGAACTAAACCTTAAGCAATTCTATATGAAAACAATCAGTCTTAATGGCTCAATTTTTTCTTATCTTCACCAACCGGATATCTATTTTACTGGATACAAAGATACTATGTGATGAAATTTAGTAGGGGAAAAGAGGAAACATTTTCGAAGAGCCGCAAACTTTTATACCTTCAGCAAAATGGTTATAGGTGGCAACATATTCCCACACAAACACATACACGAAGCTATGTGAGTTCCACTGGATTACATAATGCAGAAACAAATCGATCACATCTGCATCAACAAAATTCTGAAGTGCCATGGAAGACGCGAAAAAACAGAAGAGCTGATATAGCTTCAAACCACCACCTGGTGCTGGCCAAGATGAAGCTGGAGCTAAACAAGCACTGGAGTTTATTGTAACCTTACTGTGTGATACTGAAAAATTCAACCACTTTAGAATAGCTCACACTAATAAGTTCCAAGTTTTTCACGGTTTAATCAATGAAGAGGAAACTATTACGATCAACAACTGCGAAGTTATTAAAGAAGCAGTAGCTTAAATGTGTCATTTGGTTCTGGGTCACAGGAAGCATCATCAGAAAAAATGAATCTCTGTTTATACTCTGGATAAGATTCAAGAAAAAGCGAACAAGAAGTCAACAATCAATAACAGCCGAACATGCTTTACGCTCCTTTCCCAACACTATGGATCATTGTTAGACGACTAAATGAAAGGAACAAACACTATACATTTACTTACTTGACTGTGAGAAAACACTTGAGTACGTGAATGAGAATCTTATGTAACATTTTTAGACTATGGTTTACCTGAGATTTTCAACATCGTGCAGAATTCTGACGACAGACTTCACTGCATAGTTGTACACAGTTGTTCACAGATATAATCCGGATGGAGGACGGTGTCAGGCAACTTTTCTTATTCTCACCCTTTCTCTTTCTTTTGGTGATCGACCGGGTTATGAAGATTTCAACATCTCAGGGTAAGCTTGGATGCAGCAGTACCATTCGTACCTAGCAGGTCACCAATCTCTTGTATCTCTGTTAGGGTATTCATCCAATATCTTAAGAGAATTATTGGTCTGTTCCTATTGGTTGATTCCTACTGGTCAATTTTATGGTCATCCTAGATATCAATGTCACGTGCTCCAATGTTGTTTTTTATTGGTTGTCCTGACTATCAATGTTACTTTAAATGTTACTTCCTATTGGTCGTCTTAACTGTCAATGTCACAGACTTCGATGCTGTTTCCTGTTCGACCAAAATGTATAAATACGCATTATCTGTAACGGTTTATGACCAGGACCCGGTCCCGGATCCCTAGTCCGGGATCCTGAATCTCTTCTGTATTCGGACCTCGTACTTTCTGGACGCTTGTAGAATACAGGTTCTACTTCATATCAGGTCTTCTTATTTTTACTCAATATGGTGGTTGGGATAATCGGTTTTGAGTAGCATGTCGTGTCGCCGGTTCCTCGATCCTCGTTTTCCGACTAGGTAAACTCGTAATAGTTCAAGCATATCAAAATAACGTGATTACGTGCAGGCGTAACAATCTCACACACAATAAGTGCCGGAGAATATAGTTAGTGTTGCAGCAGCTTCTGCAACAGTAGGTCTCAACATACACATAGTTAAAATGAGACCCTCAGATACAACTCTGTACTCGCCGGCCAAACCACATTTGACGGAGAAGCTTCGGAAGATTTGGAAATGTCTAAATATCTGGGCAGCATCACTGATCAACAAGGTTTATCTGATACAGATGTAAAGATACGAATAGGAAGAGCAAGGGCAGCAGCAGAACATCTGGAACTCAAAACAAATATCGGCAAACACGAAGGTCAGGAATTCCAATAAAAATATCAAAAATAGTTCTCTTATATGGAGTGGAACCTTCGAGAACTACCAGAGCTATCATCCAAAAGATATGGGTGCTTTTTAACAGTTATCTACGCAAGATGCTGAGGATCCGTTAGGCAGGATCCATTAGCGAAAACCTACTGTGGGAGAGAAAAAACTGGCTTCTAGTTTGGCAAGAAATTAGGAAAACGCGCTGCAGGTGGATAAAATATGCATTATGAAAATCACTCAGTTGCATCACCAGGCAAGCTTTAGCTTGGAATCCTCAAGGCCAAAGTAATAGAAGTTTGTTGAGGAACATACTGCTCCAAGAATTGGAGATAGTTATGCAACGAATTATTATCACTTGGTGACAACCGGAAAAAAGAGCCTAGTACAGATTAGGTTGGATGTTCGTATTCGTCAGCGTATGCTTCATGAGGGGTGTTAGGTGTAAATAAGTAAGTTCATATGTTTATCTATCAGTTTCGCTCGGTTTATAACTCATCAAATACTACTGACCTTGCCTTGTATGATGGAATTTTTCTGTTTTACGTTATTCGTGTTTACAATTCTACAATAAATAAGAAAGTGAAAACTTAACATTTTTGATTATATCTTAAATCCTAAAGCTATTAAAATTCCTATTGTTCAGTTGTACTACTGTTATTTATTTCAGTTAGTAATATTCAGAATGTATTTAGCCATTACTGAAGAAAGTTTAAATTTATCAACAACTATTTTAGAATTATTTATTCGTCAGAACCCAATTCTCAAATCAGTTGAGTATTCAGACTGTCATAGTAGTTTATTACTTTTAAGGGAATTATTTAATAAATTGTTCGATCATGAACTTATGTAAGTAGCGTCGCACTAAACTATATTTGGTCGTTTTGTTTCGTGATTCAATTCATTCAACGTTTGTTTTAGTTTTATCCAGTTTACTTATTAAGCTTTTAATCACGTCGGTTTTTGAATTCATGATTCTTCATTTCATATGATCATTCACCTTCTTGAACTGTTATTATTGACCCTTAATAACAGTTGTTCTTCTCATGTAAATGTTTACTTTTTAAATTAGTTGAGTTTATGCAGTTTTGTTCTGGTCATTACATATGATATTTTTACTCTTCTTCCTTGTATTTTTTTTTATAAAAGATAGATTCTTAGCTGATACTGAAGTGTTTACTGTTAATTGTATTTATTCTAGAAAGCATTAAGACAATTGCAGCCGTTAGATTATTATTATTAATACTATTATTATGATTTTTCAGATAAATTTAGATCAGTTAATCGATAGTGTTATCAGTAGGTCTTTATCTGTAACAACTGATCAACTTTACAAAGAGTATTTCAATGAAAAGTTTGAAAAAGACAAATTATATAATGAAATTGTTAGTCTGTCAGATGAAACTTCTAGTGTAAATTTTTCAAAGAAACCGTATGATGAAAATACACTTGAGTCGAAAAATATATGTGTAAATGAAGTCAAAGAATTACCAACAAAACACAATAGTGATATGAGTAAATGTGCTAATAAAAACAAAGCAAGATTAAAAAGATGTTCAAACTCATCGCACACTTCTTCACTGTCGTGCAGTAAATCGGAATTGTCAACAGAAATGGATAGTGATTTATCAAGATGCGAGTTAGAGGTAATATTGTTTTGTTTTGGTTGTTTGTTGTACAGTTTCATAATTTGATTATGATGTTTGATAGTTTACACTGTTTAACGATGATGAATGTGAGAGATCATTTTACTAGTAAGTTAGTAGTGACATTGAATGAATGATCATCATAACTTTTAGTTGAGTTGTTGGAAGTATGTAAAAGTGTGACTGTTATGGTGAAGTGATTTGTTTAATTGATTTCCCTGTTTGTTTGTTTGTTGTACGGTGACAAGGTGAATGGAGTTCTCGAGATCTCTCACTCTTTACATACCTACTTACTTAAGCCTGTTACCCCTAATGGAGCTTAGGTCGCCTACTAGCATTCTCCAACTTACTCTGTCATGGTCCTTCCCTTCCAGTTCGATCCAAATGCTGCTCATCCTCTTCATATCTGCTTCCGATTCTCAGCCCCGACCGTAGCTGCTACCTTGACGTGGTGGTCGGGCTTGCCTATCGTGATGACCCAACCGAGCTATATTGGCTGGAACTCATGTTCCTGAAGGTTCTACCATACCAGGCAGGTCGATTGGAGAACGATGAGACTAAAAGCAGCTACCCAAGGTTTGAGGGCGAAGTCGTACTGCTGACTGCAGAGGGGTGTGACAGCAGTAAGGTATTTCCCTCGGACAACCAGCATCTGCAGCGATGCTGCCTTTTCACAAGGATGGAAGGAAGGGGTTAGGCAAGGTCGACCCTAAAAATTTCACACCTCACCCTACCTCATGGATTTCCGTCTCCGGCGGTAAGGGTGCCCACTAAGGGCTTTCAAGAGCGGAGTTAACACTCAAAACACCTCTCATAAAAATGCCGTGCGTGACCGGCCTCAAGCAGTTGTCCCTTGGGCTCTGCGGTTACGCACTCAGGTCTCTAAGACCAACACTAATCTATCTTCCTTTTCAGGTTCCTCAAGTAACAACCTTCCTCGGTGTGGGCAGCCGGGAGGCAACAACCGCCCTCATACCTGTAACAGCACGCGAGACCAAATTGGTCTAAATCGAATCATATCTTCGCTCCCCAATCTTCTCCATTGCTGCTAATAATTCTACTATCGCTATCACTCATGGATTTGAACCGGCAGTTTTGTCTCTGTGCTGACGTGGTATGGAAACCTGAACTGATGTACTTATGTACGAAGTTCTGCGTTATATGTCTGTCTGTCTGTTCAATTCTCAGCATAATACACAATGTACATTATGCTATTCATTATAAAGAAATCAGAAATTACTCACTGATTCTAATGCTCTGCATCACTAAACACCAATACTGTGTATTGAAGCTTTTATTTCAATAGCAATATTGTCTTCTGATCAATTTTTAACATCTGATTTCCCTATCGAGATTGCTATCACTATTTTATATATATGATAAATAATAATATGTAAATGAGATTGATATCTATCAACTGTTTAACTACTATTATTGTCTAAGTTGATAATCACTTGTAACATCTTGTTTTTCATTAATTAGATAACAATTGATGATGGATTTTGTTATTAATAGAATGTAACATTTGAGATAAAGTTCACCACTTGTAATGCATTTTACTTTTCTGTACAAATGATAAATTCAAAGCTGCTACTCGACTGCCTCGTCGAGCTTTGTTTTGTAGTGTAGGAATAGGTTGGAAGAAAGCTAGGGGCGGCCAGACCAAAACATGGCATAAATCCATGAAGTCATTGACGAGTGAACTTAGCCATGTCGGTAATTGTCGACTACCTGGTTGGGGTCCGCGAGATGATAATAATCGATGGCTAGAGACCTTGAATGACATGGCTCAAAATCGTTCGCAATGGCGCCAGTGCATTTATTCCTTGTGTTCTCTCAAATCCTAATGTTCTGGATTCTTCAACACCTCTAGTTTTGACTTTCTAAACTTTTCTCATTGAATCATACTTCGTGAATAATATCTTCTAATTCTAACCTCTCCGATTACTTCTAATACCTTTACTACCTCTTCTACTATTGGATTTGAATTGGCAATTATATCTCTGTGCTGATGTGGTATGGCGACATGAACTGATGTACTTACGTACGAAGTTCTACGTTGCAACTGACTGACTGATTGACTGCTACTGATTTATTTTTTCACGGTTAATTTTGATTGATTGTAGAAAGTGATAGAACTGTCTCAGCGTTTTTAAACGAATTCGTTAACATAAAAGCTTTTTTCTTTGAATTTAATGCCTTTTTAAATCTTCTTTTAGGTAAATTTGGAAAAATTAATCGACAATGTCATCAATAAGTCTTTTTCTCTAACAACTGATCAGTTTTATAAAGAATATCTTCAAGAAACACTTGATAACAATAAAATTTACAAAGAAACTGTTTGTCTATCAGAAAAAATTTTCGATGTAGAACATTCTGAGGAAATAACTCAAATCGGTTCATTTGATTCACAAAATAGATGTTTGACTGAAATACATGAATCACCAACGAAACACGATAATGATAGGAATAAATGTGCTGAAATAAACACAGAAATGAATATTGAACAAAAATCAAGTGTTCACGGTTAGTTTGATGGATAACATGGGAACTTGGATTTATATATATATACGTATATATATATGCCTGTATATATATACATTAACTGTCATCAGGAACTGATATTGTTGTAGGTTTGATTTTCACTTCAAAGTATCGAAGTCTGTAATTTAGGCCTGAAGCAGATTTCTAGTGTGCAACATTCAAAACACGGGAAAGCAGTTGTAGAATGATTCGTTGATCCTAACGATTGTGTGAATAGTGTCGATTTGTTACTTTTGTTATAGTAGTTTGATTCTACGCATTAAAAGTCAGAACTGCAATTGATGGCTGTATTGAGGCAGTCTGCACAGAATGCACATATGTCAAATGAGGTTAATCGATTGCAGTCCTGACTTTCAATATTGAGGATCAAACTACTAATAAAGTAGTATCAAACTTCACCGGATTACATAAGCCGGTAACCGTCTGGAATCAGTAGCCAAGTGGATAACGCGATGGTGTTTGCAGTGGACGGCACTGGGTTCAAGTTCAAGAGTGAATTTCAACTGTGGGATGTTGGTACATCCAGATGCTAAGTCCCACTACTATCCACTATCGGTCTCTGTTTATGTCAATTTATAATTATTAGCATTGCTAGACTAGTTAGTTTATTGAAATAATCTATTTAATTATTATTAATAACAAGTAAATTACTGTCGTTTTTCCTGTTTAATCCACAGGTACATGGGTTGAGTGTGTTTTATGCCTAAAGTGGAGATTTCTCAAAGAAATACTAGATCCTAGTCTTCTTATTGAGTCATGGCATTGTGGGCTTCAAGAGAAATATATCAATGTAAATGAATTTCGAAGTGAAATTCTTTTGTACGCATCAAATCCTTGCGATGAACCGCAACAAGAATTGGAAAACAATGAAAATTCAAATTCATTTGTGTACACTAAATTTACAGCTGGTTCATTAGTATGGGCTAAATTAGATGGTATATTACATTTCATTTGAATTTAAAAATATTAAAATGTTGTTTGGCATTTTATGATAGCTTCTTTTGTTAATATATGTTTGATTTTCATATATACTCTCTTTGATTGTATAAATATGATATTGAGGATAAATAAAAAAAAATACTATTAGATCATTTAAACAAATGAAAGTGATTTCACATTACCTACCGATACATGGATCGGGTGAAGAAAGCAGAGAGAAAGTTGGTTCGTGATGTGAAGGAAATCTGTTTAGGACTGAAATTTATCATTATATCACAACTCCACTGTTGGAACCCTAGAGATGGTGCAACTCACTAACTTGAGACGATACCAGATATGGCTCAGAACAGTAACCAACGGTGACCCTGCTGTAGTTTCCTTCTACATATTTCATAAAATTGTGAAGCACTTATTCTACTAAAAGAAGTTTCTCTTGTTTGTACTGTTAACTGAACTGCACATCATATTATATTACTATTTTTCTCTCAATTCCCCTTTGGTTGCACTCTTTTCTCCTATTTTTTCCTTTCTTCACACTGTATTTGTGCGGCACTTTCTGTTTTTAGTGCCTGGTTTTATTAGATTTACATAAATAAATAAATTAAAATAAATTCTAGACAGAGGTAAGCAGATCTACCTGTCGTTCGATTCTGAATAAAAATATGGATTTTGTTTGGACTGCAACACTATTTGCTACTTTTTACAAACAGAAAAATCTTGAGATTTTCAAATGTTTTTATAAGTTTACAAAGTAAATTTTACAGGCAAAGTTTCTGATGCTACAGTATTTCTATAAACTATCCGTATGTACCGATAAAATTTATATAACTTGAGTAAATCACCTTTGTTTTCAACCAAACATTTCTACACAGGATATCCAGAATGGCCGGCTATGATTGATTGTGATGCAACGGGTCATTTCGCTGAATTTGATCAAACAACTAGAGAAGTAATTCGTTACTGTGTAGTCTTCTTGGATCCGCATCGTATCACTCATCAGTGTATCAGAGCTAATCGTATTCGAAAGTATACCCATGGTGAAGAAAAAAAGATTTCAAAGGTAGGATATACAGATATGAAACACATAGGTTTAACAAGAAAATTACCTATTATTTACTTATCTGAATGATATTTTATTTGACCAAGTGATAATTTTGCGCTAGTTGATTTTATGGTTTTGATAATAACCTTAATTGTCATAAACATTTAGTTAGCAAAAAAATGATATCAGTTTACAAAACTTGTAAAAGCTCTATAGTCTATGCTTTGAAAGTAGTTACGTCCTAAATAATTATTTTCATATCATAATTAAGAAAACAAACACTATGACAGTTGATCGATTGGTAACAAAAATAAATTTTCATTGTTTAATCAATGGCTATTTTAGTCTTTATTTATCATTCTAACATGAATCTTAAACTATTCATTGTTTTGTATTTCCTTTCGAAAGTCACTTGAATACATACTGTAAAATGCTTAATTGCTAGATAGTCATATATATACAGTTTTCATTAGTTAACATACTTTACTGTGTATTCAATTTTAGAGTTCTCGATATTATCAATCACTAATTAAATCTATTGAAGAAGCTGAAAAGGCTCTGAATATGTCATTGGAGGTAAGTCTGTGAAATAATAATGGTTAATGAGCTTGCAGATTTATTGATTGATTGCTGTTAGCAGTAAAGACAGTTGTTGTAATTCAGTCTACATGCATTGAGAAGCTTAAATTCTCGGGAAACAGCTTACAAGTTTATTTGTTATTTTTATTTCTCAACTTGAATTTTCAATTTTGGTGTTAAAACTGCCCTCTAGACCCATTCTTCGCTTTTACCTCGACTAAAAACTCTATTTTCGTATCATTCAGTGGCTACTTTATTGTGATGAATTTCAACCATACTTTCTGTCATCGCAAGCCGCTACATGAATGGTACAATAGTGAGATAAGACAGCTGTCAAATATCTTTTGCTTTTTAATGGTTACGTGATTAAAGTCAGGGAACATTTTTAAAAACTGCATTAACTACAAATTAGTTTCTTTTTCACCTATCTAGCACGTCTAACTTCTGCAAATCATCAGGGTTGGAAACCTGAAGTAGCTTCCTGTCACGCTACTCATGGATCACCTTTCAGCTCTTACAGTGAAGTTTGTTTTTCCTAACAACATTTTATGTTTGTTGGGAATGTGTTTCTTCAAACAGACATAGCTATTTGCCTATAGTAACGTACTAGGTTATTTGAATTTATTACTAAAAAATTCTTAGATCAATATTAATTTTTCTAAGGAATTAATGACATCAAAAAATTTACTGTTTTGTTTCAGGAACGTCTTTTCATGTTTGGATACCCGTATTCAGAACATAAGTGTGAGGATTCACACAAGGTGAGAGTTATTTAAATTTTATTGAAATCGAGAAATGATCCGAGTAAGACCACCGCCCAAACCTGTAAGCCCCAGAAGGCCGTTTTATTCTAGTATGGAACTTCTAAACTGTGTACACTCATGTCTCCTCACACGAGACCGAAGTTCCTAGGTTGTATTTTGACGTCCAGTGCTTTCAGCCTGTCAACTGTTGTTTAACTTGAAGCAATTCGTTACGAAGGTTCGCTAATTGCGGTTACTTAGCTTACATCATTGCACTGATACTTCAAATCTCATATTAAGGAACAGGTTTCGACACTGTGGATGGGGTAAGAATAGAATGTATTTGTACTCAGTAAATGATAATTAGTGTAAACAGTCAGATAAGTTTATTATGTATTTAGAATATCAGGAAAGGTTATCATATTTTTAAAAAACTTTCATTCAAACGTGAACAAATGGTTTCAAAATAATTGAGCTCTGAGTAAACGAAAGGCATCATTAATAGAATCTCATACACATAGTCCCCGTTTATCATCTTCTTCTTTCTCTCTCTAAAATCAGGAAATTGAATTCTGTGTAATCTAATGTTCACATTAGTAATTTCTTTGTTAAACCATGCAATCTATACGTCACGACATGCCCATGATCGGGCCGATTAAGATACACCATTTCACATAGAACGCAAATAAAACAGAAACCTAGTTTTTTTTTAAAGTCAGATCAAATTGTGAGTAAAGCCAGGAAGCTACGAAGATAAAAACCTTGGGTGAGCCCGAAATTTCAGTTTCAAGTTTATTTTTGATAAGTTCGCTAAATAAATGCATAATCTGATTTCTTTTTATTAGCCTCCATGCTAAATCTACACGGCATATTGAACTTAAGAGAAACCCATGAAGTGCCAAAAGAACTCCAAAGTTACTTCATGTACAGAAAAATGAGTGTACCTATAGAGTTAGTTATTCGTGACCTAGAGGTTTCGAGAATCATGCTAATTATAGCAGCAGTATGACTAAATATCCAACCCTAATTGTAGCACGTGATTCTGCATTTTCTAGGTGTTTCTGCGGACGTTCCATTCAATGCTGATTGAGTAAAACATTTCCAGGAGCTTCTGGGCCTCTACAGACTTCTCCAAGGAATGCGTTTTAACTCTCCAACAATTTCACTACATCCTCATTGAATGCATTGACCCAATGGCATATTTAATCTCTATTTTATCCGAAATCAGAAGATAGGTGAGCAGTTGTATCGATCTATCTCGAGTATTAATTAGCTTGCCTTGACTGTTCAACCTTTGACTAACCAATGACACGATAAATGTGTGAATACAGCTGACGGTTAACGCAAGGTGACTATCAACTAAGAATTCTTTTTTGGACGCTCACTTGCCTAATAGTCAAGATAGAGAACATGTCTGTATCATGTTAAAATAAACCGTTAAATAGAAATGTTATTTTATGAATAAATTATTTTCATCAGAATAATTTTGTATTTATGAATGAAAAGTATATGATTCTTTCTTATAAGTATATACTTTCTAACTTGTTTCTTTTAGGGGAAAATAAAGCAAAGAGGAGTAAATAAACAGGAGTCTTCCAGCAAAATGTTTAATCGCAGAACTGATAAAACCAGTAATAATGCTAATGATGATAATAAAACATCTTCAGACAAGGTATTTATCATATTTTATCGTAATTAGATTTAACGTATTTAATATTACTTCTCTACATAGATTAATAGAATTCAAGAAGTCGATTTAATTCCTTTAAAAATTCCGAAAGTTTCAAATGAAGGTAATATTATCGGTATTGATTTTTAACATGTTATATGCGTGATAATATAAAATAAAATAAAAATAAACATTATTTCTGTATTTTACTAACAAATAAAACTTTTTTATTACTATTTATTTATAGACAAGTTGGGTTATTCATGTTTTTGATTTATAAGACTATTGAAAACTAATTTGAACTGCCCACTTGCTTTGTTTCAGTTTGAAAATCTTAAGACGCAATTACTCACCGCCGGCTTTCTTATAATCAACTCAATCACCATTTGAGTCTCGCTGCGATCATGATACCATTGAACTTTACTCCACTTTGCAGTCTACTCATCTAGTTCGTTTGAATTTAAACTAAAAGTTTGTGTTAATGAATATGACATGTGTGACAACGCAACGATGGAAATAGTAATTATGAAATATTTATGTCTAGTTTATTTTAGAAAAATAATTCTCAATAAAAACTGACAACGCTATTCATAGTTGAAGTATACAGATATAAAATATAAAAAACATAAACTTATGACGATGTTCAATTGAAATCATCAACCACTCAATGTTAGACCACCATTGAAAACCTGAAAGCACCGAACAGGTTCGATTCCCATTGGCAGGTTCATCGATGCGTACTACTGTAAGAGTCCTATACAGGTAGTCTAACATTGATGTATCCATGATTTGAATGAAGCACATCACTTTCCACAACCCTATACTGTTATGTAAATGTTGTTTAACAGCAACATGTGACAATAATTTTATTCTACACCAAAATGTGGTGCATTACTTACACAATGTTTTGGAAGATCATTTTATATATAAGTGAATTTGAAAAGTTCAAGAGTATGAAGCTTTTACAGAAACTTATTGACAAAATAAAATCATGTAACATCTTAGTTCAATTGTAACATAGAAATAATATTTTAAACAACAGGTTTCGGCCATTTTCCACATCATTTTTAAAAAATTAAATATAAATCTATTTATTGTATGAAATTATTAATTAGTTCATATTTTAAATAAGGCAAGTAATTGAGACCAATTAAATAACAATTGAAAATCTCAATTTTTTTTTCATTTATTCTGACAAAATTATTGTTTTCAGCATTAGAAAATTGCTAATATTGTAATATTTAATTAATTTAAAAAAAATTAATTTACACAATTCTTTTTCAAACTTTCTAATTCTAGAATAGTATTCTAAAGAAGAGCATATAATCAACTTCAATGAATGCTAATTAATTGTATACTCAAAATTAAACAATTGATTGGCTAATTTTGTTACAAGTTAAATGGGTTTTTTATATAATAAAATTTTTTTAAAAATATAAATGTTTTCTCCATTTTTTGAAAAATATTCTTATGATTAATTTGAATTATTTGTAAATGAAATATATATATATATATATACTTTTTTGGATATTTATTTATTTATTGCTTTTCTAAATTAACGGAAAACATCTTGAAGTGTAACTCATGAGAATGAAGTTACCTAGAATTGTTTTAAATTCTGTCATTTGCATCATTCATTCTGATTAACTTAATGAATTTATGAAGAAATAAATAATGTTTAGGCGATATTTTGATTGAAGTTGTTAAAGCATAATTATATTTTGCTGTATTTCAATCTTAATAATAATAATAGTTAGTTTTTTTGTTCCAATAAGTTTGTAGCTATTAATGATTCTGGTCTTTGTGTATGTATATATGTAGTGCATAATTTCATTGAATCATATAAATTGAACGTTATAAGTGTAATTACTTTATTAGCTTTGAATGTATATCTTTGTTAAAAACTTAACTGAATTATATCAAAATTTGATTTGCCCAATTTATATGTTCTTTGGATAAAGCTTACTGATCTAGAATATGCCGATGACATAGTTCTATTCGGTGAAGACGCTGACAAAATGCAGAGTCTTCTGACTACCATAAGCAACAATGCAAGCATGTTCGGGATGCGGCCAGACCAAAACATGGCAGAAATCCATGAAGTCACTGACAAGTGGACTGAGTCATGTTGGTAGATCTAGACTACCTGGTTGGGGTCCGCGTGATGAAAGTCACCGATGGTTAGAGACCTTGAACGACATGGCTCAGAATCGTTTGCTATGGCGCAAATGCATCCATTCTTTGAGCTCTCTAAAAATCCTGATCTTCTGGATTCGTCAGCACCTCTATCTTTGTCTTTCTAACCTTATCTCACTGAATTATATCTTTTGAATAATATCTTCGAACCCTATTCTTCTTCATTACCATTAATACCTCTACTATCTTTATCACTATGAGATTTGATTTGACATTTGCGTCTTTGTGCTCATGTGATATGGCAACTTGAACTTATGTACATACGTACGTAGTTCTACGTTGCAACTGACTTACTGACTGATTAAATCTAAGTTACATTTGTTTATCACAAAATTTTTTTGAAAAATATGGAGTAAACTGTAATTAAAATGCAAATTACCGAAAACAAATCATCGTAGTAAAGTGAAATCCGTATAATTTTAGTTTTTACCAACTATTATTTTTTTCAAAATTTAGATACCTCTATTTTGATTTCTCTTACCATCACAAGTAAACAAGTAGCCTTAAGTTGTATATGTTTAATCATTTTATTTCTACTCAGGAATATATTACACGCCTTCACACCTTCAGTAACAGATGAATGTTTCTGGATCATTATCTAAGCAATACTACTCCTTTTTTTCTTGTTATCTGTCATCCTTATGCAATTTTTAATCTATTTGACTGTTACCAGATTTTTTATGGTCTGTAATGGTGTACAGAACCTGCAAAGGTAGTTCTGATAAATAAAAATGCAGTGATTACAAATGGGTCTACTGGTTTGAACAGTTTCATCTCTAAAACTTAATACTTTTGATACCGGTAACTTAAAAACTTAGAAAAAAAGTATAGTCATTAATATTTTGTCTTTCAGTTTTGAATATCCATTCATAAATATATTCAAAAACTCTGAAGTATTGGTTAAATAGCTTGTTTCTTTTAAAATCTTTATCTATAGTAGCTTATCCTTCGTTCACGTGACCAATATTACACATTATAATTTATCTACTCTAAAGTATTCTAAAATGTTTGAAGGATGAGTTTTGCAGTAAGAGTACAAGCCTTATTCAAATGCATAAATACATCAGCGTCGCTTTCATAAGTGTCTATTAAAGAGGCATGTATTGGTTTTCTGTCAACTCAGAGATGTTAGTGAACATAATGTCTGATAGTACTTTTCTATTGTCAAGCTATTTAAGGCACTTCGTTTTATAAAGACTTATGTTGATCTAAGGTCTAAATGATCTCTAGGTTAGAATGCAAAGCATCAAGAAGGAACCAATTCTAACTAGATTACCTTAATTATAGCCACAATTGAGGAGAACTCTTAAAAGTTTCATTAAACTGTGTTTTTAATTGAAATGAAAAGTCATCCTCAGAAACTGTCAAAGGGTGTCATTGATCATTGAGGTGATATAACTGTGTCGGTAGATTTAGTCTATTGTGAAAACAGCTAAAGAGGAAATTTTCAATGAGCCGTCAAAGGTTAGGTAAAACTGCTATTTCTTAGCAGTTATTTCGTGGAACCTAATGTTTACTAACATCTCAACACGCTGCAAACACATGGATGTTGAAAAGCAGCTGAAAAATGAAAAGCTAAATATTTAAGAAGTAAATATAAGCACAGATGTTTAGTTAAATATAAAAAGACTAGGATATCAATCCAATTTTTTGAATTCTGTAAGGAGAATTCTCACTAATAAATCAAATAAATTATCTCACGAAATTCATATTGTTTACTTATGAAACATCTTAACACTTGATTTACTCACAGTTTATATGAATAAACGCTTAACATATTTTTATTAATGAGCAAGTTAGTCATTTTTAACAAGCGTGGAATGAACATCATTTATATCAGGATGAAGTTGTAAATATTTTTTGTTTATACAGGAGTCCAACATCTCAAATTTTGATAAGTTTCTGAATGAAATATTAGATAGGATATCAACAATCCCTTCAAATATATTATATTCAAACTATTTCAATTACTCAAAGTTAAAACAGAATCATCCAGCTAGATTAAATAAAGTTCAATGTAATGAAACAACAACTCCTACATCCAAATGCCTGGGTTCAATGGGCAATCATATGACAAATCTTTCAAATGGAAATAATCATAAAAAGAACAAAAGACGTTCTGTGAAAATCTCAAAATGTTTTACAACTGCAGAAGTTGACTGTACACACTATCTTCACACAAATATACATAAGGAACACGACTTACCCGGTAGGATTTTGGGTTTTTAAAAATATGGAAATTCAGTATTTATTAATATTAATAATAATATTATTATTATCAGTATAATTTGTAGGGAATAAATTAAACATCACAGTGGTTCATGAATTTCATACAAGTTACTTTGTTCCAGGTAACGAGTCAAGTAGACAAGTAATGAATTTTACTGGGTAGATATTTCATTCAGATGACTTGAGCATTAAGAAGTTTTGAATGAGACCTTTCTCACTAATCATCTATCGATAATCTTCACATTATATAGTTAATTTCTTCAAAATGATCGTATACACTGATAAAACTTTGAATTATCTTAAAAACATGGATTTTTTTCAGTAAAAGACTTTATTTTGATTATAATCTTATTACATTGCATTTGGAATTAAAAGTGTAGGAATAAGGACGACATTACATTACAACATCATTACAACGACCAATCTAGCTAGATTTACTTAGTTATAAATAGATTTTATTGCTTTTTAATGACCAGTTAACAAGTATCATACAGAAATGACGAAGTGTGAATATAAAAATCCGTTTACACTGAATTAATGGAAAACGATTTCTATATGTTATGCTAAACGTTTATCACAAATTAATACGGATTAATATTATATTGAATAAATTTCACTCTGGATGAACAACAAAATGAATATTTAATATATTTATCTCATTGAATTAAAACATTGTTTCATACTATCACAAGTGTTTATACAAAACAGTATATCTAGAAATCGAGTGTATGTATTTTTTACTCAATGAAACATGCATGCATGCATTAAGAAAATTTCTGGAATTTCAAATCGTGTTCAAAAATTCAAATGAAACTGTCTCTGAAAAATCTATTACCTTTAGAGTATTGAACTCAAGTTTTGTGAACTGATTTAACATTTAATAAGTTTCAGAATTATATCATTTCAATTATCTCAAAACAATTGCGTCTGCTGCTACAGATTTCCAAAGAAACTATTTTTATCATAGAACACTGATAATCATTAACAGTTTGTTTATTTCAGCAGGAACAATTTGCATTGTTAAATGTTTCTTTTCTTTAACTTATTTTTAACAGAAAATATCAAAAGTATAAATATTTTCTAAGTTATGACCATTTTACAAAGGTTAAAAATAATTAACAGCTAAATATTATTAAATATCAACCATTATAACTGATTCATGATTTATTGTAGGTATTTTGTGTAGAATTTCAAAACAGCACTAATATAAAAAAAAAGCAGATAGAGCCTTTCATCCATCGAAACTCAGTTCTGAATGTCTCAAATATATTTTTATAGAATTTTATAAGGAAAATGACTTGTTATTTGGTCTTTTAGTCATTTGGTATGATTAATCTACGAGTGATGCTTATCAACAATCGAATATTCGTTTTTTTAAATTGTTTCTACAAAATTATTATATTCTTGAGTCATTACAGTTTTTCTTATGATGTTCACGATATCTTTTCGTATGCATATTATCGATTAGGTACTTGGGTTGAGTGTAGCTTTTGTTCCAAATGGCGATACCTACCATATGTTCATGATCCATCCCAACTCAATGATTTATGGTACTGTGCTTTAAATCCTAAATACCTCAAAAGATCAACTGCTGATTCCACATCCAATGAATCTATGCATAATCCCTGTGAAGAACCTGAAGATCTAAGTGCTGTTAAACACGAAGATGAATTTATTTTTGGACATTTTTCTGTTGGATCAGTAGTTTGGGCTAAAATGCAAGGTTAGTTTGACATGAAAAGAAAAGAATAATTCTTCATTTCAAATAATAAACTGTATCAAATGTTAACTTCTATAATTTGTATTTATGATTGTTTCATTTTGCACTTTTCTCAATAATGCTTAAACATGCATATCTAAACTCTAGACCCTTCTAATTATACCACGTTTAAATTTGACTCTCTGTTTGTTTCGACGTAAATTTTGATGTATTCAAACAATTGTTGCCTGTTTGTACTATCCACCTTCATAACTTATTTGCTTCGTGATAGTTTTAGTAGGTGAACAGCATAAAGTTGATGATTGAAGTAAAGGAGATATGACCATTGTAGAGTTCCAGTTTGTATGCCAGTAGCTTAAATTTTCAAATAACTTGGATTTGTTCCTACTTAAAGCACAATTTCCACCGTAGTGATCGGATCTCTTTCTTATAGTTAACTTAGATTTAAATCTCGACTTATAGTGAAGAGCAGCGCAATTATTTATCAATATCTTAGGCTTTATATAAGTTGGCGAAGTAGAAATTCTCTCAGATCAGATTTCAACTCATGTTGACATTTAGTTTGAATAACCATATAAAAGGAATTATTCTGGTTTCGTACTTTTGCTTTGTAACCATAAGTCTACCATTTAGTATTTTTGCGGGTCAATGTGAACAATGGTTAGTTAATTCATCATTGTTGTGTTGGCAGCCGGCCTGAATATAAAGACTACCTGTTTCCTAACATCAGAACATTCCATCAAGTTGCCTTTTTTTGTTTGATTTAGTATATCAATTATGTCCGTTATTTGCATAAGCTATTCAGGCTTGCATACAGAAATTTAACGTCCCATCACTGCATAAGGTACAAAAAAGTGCAATCCGAGACATCGTTGTGGCTGGCAATATACGTTGAAAGGGAATCTTGTTGATTTTTTCCGTGCTGAGAAATTCATGTTGTGCTAAAAATATATTGCTAAATAAAGCCGTTATTATTATTATTATTATGCTGAAATAATTTATTTATTATCATTACTTTCGACCATAAGATATCAAAAGAATTTTTTAATATCAATTATAATGTGTTGTGAATGTAAAGTTGTATTATTAACTGAAATAAGCATCAATTATAAAGCTTTACGATTAAGTATAGAAGTACCTTTCTGTCGAGTGTGGAGCTCTAACAAAAGTCGAGGGAACTACTATCTTTAGTGTATATGTTCTTATCCAATCTTTGTAACGTTTAGAATTTTAGCCTTTGTCTGCTGATAATGAGCGTATTTAGTGTTATTCGTAAGATTTTTCACCCCCCACCGTTGTTAATACTTGGGACTACGAAAAGTGCGAAATCCGAGTTTCTGACGGAATATCTACACTGGGCAGAGGATGCATCCATATGTCGAATTCTAAATTGGAGAAGGCAGGCGTCCAGGCACAATCCAGCTATAGTAATTAGCATTAGTTATTTCGTTTTGAAATAGTTCATAAAAAATTAATTAAAATGCCTTAGAGTTACAGAACTGTATTACAATCATGTCTACGAAACTAAGTTACGTGCTAGTGTGCAAAATATTTTGCACATATATACTTAATTGTGCTCGACTGTTCATTTGTAAGTTGATCTTTATTTTTTAAATCTTTAACTACTTATAAGTAGGCAAATATATACACATAAAAAACCTTATTTTAGGCTATCCAGATTGGCCAGCAATGATTTATTACAACAATCTGGGAAGATACGCTGAATTTGATGCAAGCAGTAAAGAGATCACTTACTACTATGTAGTGTTTTTGGATCCTAAATGCTCAACAATGAGTAAAGTACGAGCGAAAAGGATACATAAGTTTACCGCATTCAATGAAATGGATTTAAGCAAAATTGTAAGTCTTTTTTTAATTCTCTTCTTTTGAAAGCAAACTGTACAAAAAATTGTACGGACGCAATGTCATTTATAAACAATGGAAAAAACGTTAACCTACAGTAATAGGAAATCATCACTGAATTCAGTTTACAATTTTTAATGGTTTGAATCTTTTGAATATCATATAGATATATAAGATCATAAATAGCATATCAATTTTTTTCCATAACTTAGGTAACTTAAAATTGTATTTGTATTGCTTAAAAAATGTATGAGGTCAGTAATTTTCAGTCCATCTTTGAACACTGAATTCATATTTATTAGTGCTTTCCTTGGTCATTAGTGGTGCTTCTCAATTTGAATTTAACATCCGACACCGTAGATAAAGAGCTTTCGTAAAAGTATCAATAAAATAGAGAGAATATATCTTATGAAGATTCTTAACTTAAATATCTCTGGTTAGATTAAAGGTCATGATAATTTACCATCACAATTTGAAACATTAAGTGGAGTTTTTCAGAGTTGTTCTCTGTCTACATTATTTTTTAATTTATTCATAGAGATCGTTTTAACAATAACTCCTTTAAAGGCTTGATCTCTAACCAAGAGATTCTAGAGTATTCTAGTTCGTTGAAAACTCCGAGGAAATGACGATTCTTCTAATTGTTATGAATAGCAAAGTCGGTATATTTAGAATGCATTTCTCTCCTTCGATAATAAAAATCCTGCTTCGCGTCTGACCTGCATTAGTGCTTATTTTATGTGTATCATTTATCTCTGTGGACTGGTATCTGATAACATCTCAGTAGGCTGTATGATTAATGAACTTTACACAAGTGCAGATTAGTTTTCTGTAGTAAATAAAATAGTTTTCCATCTTTTTTGATGGTGAATTTCATAGAACAATTTGGCAATGCTTTAATTAACGATATTAAATGAAACAAAGATTTGTATGTATCTGAATGTAACAGTTATTATAAGATTACTTCTGTTAGGACGACTAAACGAAACTTTTTTTCGAATATATTCTAACAGAAAAGATTTGATAATTAGATGTAACCGTTATTCATCATTTGTTTGTTTATATTTTTCTAGCCAAAACGATATTGGAGAAGATTACGAGCTGCTGGACAAGAAGCTGAAAATGCTCTGCTGCTGAGTGTAAAAGTAAAAAGGGAACATTTTTGCATTGTTTTAAATATTGCTCTTAATATCTGTTTCGAAACTACTCATTCATTTTGCATGGTTAACTCGAATGTTCATTAAAGTTATTCGTTAATTACTGAACATCAATATAAACTCTGTCAAACTTATCAGTTACTTTTCTAGACTCATATTACTAACTTTCCTAGTACACATAGACACTTTAACAAAAAAACCTCATTTCTTCTGATAAACTGAATAAGGTGTTATTTGAATAGTTATCGATTTTTTCTGGTTCATTCTACTTTTTGATGTTTCAATGTGTTTCTGCCGAAACTGCCTACTACTTTCTAATACCTATGAATACAATATTCAGCGATCAAATGTTCATTTCAATATAAACACATGATGATCAACTGTTGGACTGATATCTTGATGTTATAATCTATGTAAATATTTATATTTATAAATGATATCTAAATACATAGAAACATAATTAGTTATCTTAAGCATATTCAAAATGTATTCGAATGGTTAGTGTAGGTAAATTAAGTTGTGTAAAACCGTCAAGGAGCTGAAAACAATGATGATGAGTAGTAAAATTCAATTTATTTAGAATGCATTTCAAAATTTTTTTAAATAAAGCGAAAAATGAAATATACGAATCGTTTTCTATAAATGACTGCGAATTTGTTGAAAGAAATGATCAATATGAATTTACATGAATTTATAAACTTAAATAAGAATAAAACTTCGTTTTGTAATAATTTACTATATATATATATTTTTTTTTCGGTATCTTAGGATAGAATAGCAACTTATGGTTATAATCACAAATACGAAGATCACGCGGTCAAGGTAAGATTAAATGTAATATTATATAGCTTTCTGTATCGAAAAACATGTTCAAATAATTCATTTACAATTCTCAAAAGAGTATTTTTTTTTCACAGATGACCTTCATAAGTAGATTGCTTTAGAAAATATATAGCCATGATCACGTTTGAATAAATAAAAAATAGTATCCTTTATAATTTAAATTTCTTTTAATAAAAATGTTCAACGTTCATAGTTATTTTCATGTTACATAAAGAAAATATTAACAGCACCCGATTTCCATCATTGAACGAATCAGTACATACTATTATATTTGATCACTTGTTTCAGGTTTCAATTTACATAGCATGATAAGTGAAATTTTATCATGAATAAGAACGTAGGACAGTAAATAACCAGTTAAATCTTCCTCCAAATGTCAGTCAATAATTTTGGGCTTATGATTGTACTTAATTTGATTTAACTCAAACAACTATTTAGTATCTTTCATGCAGTTTGTTTCATATAATTCTATAATCGTTGTACTTATAATAATAAATTTGTATAAAATAAATTAAGACTATAAAATTTATTATCAAACAATTAATCGTGTAAATGAAGGTATTCTTAGAGACTGGGTTTTTTTTTAAAAAAAGGAAGTAGTATACAGAGAAACAAAAAATGTCATAATATGCACCTGGGTGTCTTGGTGTAACAGTGGGAAATCTTGTTTAAATTGCCAATTTATTGACTTTAATATATTTATAAAGAAGTGAATAAAAGTATGAATGTTAAATAGAATAATTTACTTTAAACAAACAAATAAAATAGATAATTATCAGATGTATATTATTAACAACCATTTAAATCTGTATTATTTCTGAAATTTTTATTTGAAATGGTCGAAAGTCAAAAATAGATGAAAATTTCTTGAAAATAAAAGAGAAATTTAATTTTCACTACAACAACAACAACCTTGATTATCAAACAAAACTTTGAATTATTTTTCCTAAAGGTTTTCAGCTTCATATGAAAAAAATGAAGATCTACAATTTCAGTAGTATTGTCTATATATACATTTATGTTTATGTGCTCTTTTGTTATTGCAATGTACTCTTCTAAATAAGAAAGTGAATTCCTTAATCAAGACTTAATAATTTGATTAAAGTTTCTCCATAGAATGAAAACCTGATTGTTACGTTTGTCGAGCAGTGTATGTTAGTTGAGGAATACGAATTTCATTAACTATGTAACAGGTTCATATTTGGGTGGCCCATTAGTATCACTATCTTATACAAAAAGTATGAATCAGATTGCAATACACGAACCTGTACTTGAAAGATGAGTTAAATCGACTTAGTTCTTACTGATTAATTGTTACATATTCAACGAACAAATAACTAATATAATAAGGTTTTCAATATGAATTAATTCTTAGTTCACTAAAATGATAAAAATAAAGCCATATAGACAATTTTCTCATTATTCTAATGAAATATTTCATGCTTAGATGAAATTACATAATCATGCATTATCAAATTACTTTTTAAAATGAATAAAAATAAAAATTTATTATTCAAACAGAAAACATTTTGCTAATCCATCTATAATTCAATAAGTAATATCAAAATAGACTGTCAAAACTGTTGACTGGTCAGTCGACAAAAACACCTTACCAAATAACTGAATGTAAGAAAATTATCAGTATTTGTAAAGAACATAATCTAATTAAATTCAAATGTTACAGTCATTTTAAAATATTTATATGATCAATATTTCTGTCAAAAAAACAGATAATTGAATTTAATATATAGAAAACTGAATGAAAAACGTATATTCATGTTATCGATTGAAGTAATCACTTAGTTATTTCAGAAAGTAGTATATTTTATTTAAGAGTATACGGAGAAATATTTAATCATGTACAATCTGATATTAGTGATATTGACTCAGTGTTATAGGAAAATTTAATGAATATTGGTTTGAGAATAAAAATATCACACTGTATACCAATACGATCACATAAACTTGTAGGAAAACTGTAACTATCAATCTTATTAAACTTATAACCATTGTTCAAATCATTTAGAAATTTTTATTCGAATGCATTATTCTTATATTTCTCCTGCTTGTGATTCCATAGTGAGTAGCGAAATATTAAACATTTAAGTTGAATGCATTCTAAGAAAAAATATCTATTTCCGTTTAAATAAATTTGACCTTCAATAACATATTATTTCCGAAATATAAACTAAGTTTGTTGTTATTCTTTCATTCAGATCAATATATATATATATATATATATATATATATATATATATATATATATTCTAGAGTTCAATAAACTATCTGCATGAAAAAATGTGTTCATCAAAGTCCAAAAACAATTTATTGTACAATCGAAAGCTTTCAATACACAACTGATACTCTTTTATTTCCTTGATCTTAATCATATAAATAGTCACATTGCAGGGATTAAGCATAATTGTTTTTATAATGTATAACATTTAAATGATTTCATAATTCTAAGGCTTATTTATGCGTGTGTTTTAATTCAGCTCTTTTTTTATCTATAATAAAATACTTTTATTAGATAAGGGATCCATTTTATCAGTCTGTGACCTTACTTACGTCCTTACGCCTGTCACCCCCAACGGAGCCGACCAGTCCTGGGATTCTCTTTCCCGTTCTGTCCAATTTTCATTCATTCTCCTCATATCTTTATCTATTTCTGGACGTAATGTGGATTCCAAGTGAGGGCTTGCCCTGTGACGCTTGGGAGCGGCAGTAGCCCCAGAGGGGCTCCAGGCGGAGTTACTGGCTTACCAGTCAAATAGTAATCTGTTAGCTAGTGAAAAGTCGTGATTGATGATACTCAAAAATATCTGAAATGAGGCAATCACCTAACGATGACTGCAGATTATTATGGTATATTTTAAACATCTAATGAAGTTGTATTTATCAACAAATAGGTGCTAACGTAGTAAAGCTAAAGAAGTTGCTACAATATCAGAAGTCCCCTAATGATACTATATGTGGACACTGTTAAAGACTTCACTTGTTCATCAGATATCCATTCCTCACTGTTTCATTTATTTGACTTTTGGTTTATAATCTCAGATTACATTATCAAACAGATACATAATATGCATCAATCATTGATTTTTTTTTCTGTTCAAATTTCTAATCTAACGAATATACATTTAAATATTCAATTATCAAGAGATTGCTAAACTACTTAAAATGATATGTTATTCACTTTGCTTCTTTTTATCAACTAAATATTTGACATTCATCTTTATTTCTATTCATCAATTATTATTAACACTGACAGATTTCTAATCAAATAAAAAAAAGTTTCGGACCTTATCAAAAGAAATCACAAAATATTTCAAATGATGATAATATGAAACAAAAAAGAGTTTACAAAAGAAAAAAACCACTTACTCATTCTTGTTCAATAAATGAAAATGCAAACAAACGAATTGACTGTCAACCGTACACTAATTCTAATCATACATCAAATGCATCTCATCCTGATGTAGAAGTAAGTTTACAAATGTACACTCGGTAAGCGTATTTTCTATGTAGAAATATTTTTATACCTTACACTCACATATTTAGTTTAATAAATCAACCGTGTTTGATTTGTTTAATGTTTATTTCATTTCTTTCGGAATATTTTTTAGATAACATGACGTTCCTTTATTTTAAAACTAATTTTTTTTTTGAGCAGATTTCAAAAATATAGTGAGTTTTGTAAAATAAATTGTGAATATTTTGAAATCAATAATTTGTACATCACCTTTTTCATATTTGTTTTCACAGCAACTTTCTAATACCAAGTTAAAAGCTGATACAGATTCTCACAAAGTATTAACTACAAATAATCATGAACCTGAAGAATATAATAAAGAATCAAATAGTCTCTCATTGAATGAATCGTCTATAGAACATCAAACATTAGATATTTCATTAACGAATAATAACCTATTGACAACGAATACAATGCATACTATTGATGTGAATGTTGATCAGTATTCAATGGTTGACAGTAATATTATTCTCAATGATTCATACGAGAAATTAATGACAAATGATGACATTGATTCAGTTGATTGTTGTTCACCTAGTTTTCTTCAACCAATTGATTGTGATCAAACAATGAAAGGATTAATCTGTTCTGTTGATCATTCGTCAAATGTCAATACGCAAACAACTGACATTCCAATGAATAATCCATCAATAAATGCTTATGAAAATAATTTGATGAATGCTCAAAATTTTTTCAAGTTAACTTTTCATGATTTATCGATTTATTGCAATAATAACACTGTCAACACTGTGAATGATGTACAAATGTCTTTAGATAATAAGAATAAGAATACTGTTCTATACGGATCATTGAATTGTAATAATAAAAAGATTTTATATGAAAATATACCATTCTACTATCAATATTTTGGATGTAATGAAGCTTAATTATAGAGATAAAGAAAAATGTAAAGTCTTGTATAAAAGAATGATTAATAAAAATGTTATGAAGAATTAAAAGTCACTTAAAGATGTTTTATATATGTACATTCTAAAAAATGCAATAAATGTATATAAAAAGTGCTTATTAACATAAAAGCATTTATGTAGTTTTACATTGAATCAACCGAAAATAAGTTTGTGTTAAACTTATTCTTTTTTATATGGAAAAGAATATTTATTTAGTAATGCATATACTAGTTATATCTGTTTGTTAACCAAAGGATGCGTGTATCAGTTCTCTCCGTCCTATTATATGGATGCCAAACATGGCCAGTCAGAGTAGAAGATATTAGTAGGTTTATTAGTATTCGATTGTAGATGTCTCCGAAGCACTGGTCGCATATCTTGGGACTACTGAGTAAGCAATTATATCGTTACGAAGCGAGTACTAAGAGGAGATAGCAGATCAATAGATGAAGTATTGAAACTTCATCAGTTGAGGTGGTTGGGACATTTATTACGTATGCTCAACCGCCGACTACCTCGATGAGCTATGTTTTGTGGTGTAGGAGCGGGTTGGAAGAAAGTTAGGGGTGGTCAAACCAAAACATGGCACAAATCCATGAAGTCACTGACAAGTGGACTGAGTTATGTCAGTGGGTGTAGATTACTTAATTGGCGCCCGCGAGATGATAGCAATTGTCATTTAGAGACCCTGAATGACATGGCTCAAAACCGTTTGCAGTGGCGCAGGTGTATCTATTCTTCGTATTCTATCAAATCCTAGTTCTCTGAATTCCTCACCATCTTCATCTCTATCTTTCTGAATTTATTTAATTAGGTTGTACTTCTTGAATAATATATTCGAACCCTAATCTTCTCCATTACCGCTAATACTTCTTCCTCTACTGCTATGGGATTTGAAGTGACAGTTGCGTCTCTGAGCTAGTGTGGTATGGCAACTTTAAATGATGTACTTACGTACGAAGTTCTACGTTGTAACTGATTAACTAACTGACATATACTACTTAGGAGAAAATAACGGTTTTTATCAATATGTTTTTATTGGAAATTACATCGATTGCATGGGAATAATTCTTCATCTTCTCTGTACTGCCTTGGAAATTGTCTTTGAATCAAAACTTATAAAAACAGTGTAAGGCACTCATTTAGCTTATTAATGAATTTCAAAATTGTGTAAATACACTTTACACATAAAATAGACAGTACTATCACTGTAAGAAGAAGCAACTGAAAAAAATACATGCTACTGAGAGTGTAACGTAGTATAAGATAATGTGCAATATATGTACGTGAAAAACTTAGAAGTATGCATATAGATTATGGGCTCAATTTTTCTGAAGCTTTCTATTTTTAGTCGTCTGTTTGTACTGACTAAATATGATACCACCATGTTTTAATTGAATACAGCAATAACATCTGTAGTGAATGTAAATCAAGTATGAAGTATTCTGAAATATTGAATATATTGACCAATGTATACATAATCAATTTTGGATTATTTTTGTTTACTTATCTTTAAGGCGACTAAATTAACTGTTAACGTTTCGTTAAACAAAATATATTTATATTTTTAAAAAAAAATTTCGACATAATTTTATTTGTTTTGATTTTGCAAATACCTTTACAAAGAATTATTTAATTTCTAATGAATTGAAAATTCCAATCATTTTATTTTCTATCGACACTGAATGAATCTATTGGCGTCTGAGAATTTTAAGGCGTTGTTTTTCTTTTATTCAAATATTTCCATAAATCTTTACATTGTTTACTTTATTCACTGATTAACGAATTAACAATTCACAGTTATGATTTTGTTACGATTGCACGTCACTTGCTATGCTTGAACTAATACGAGTTCACCTTAGCCGGTAAACAAGAGTGAGGATTGATCATCAGGCGAAACGATAGGCTACTTTAATCCGCACGTCCCAATCCCTCACGAAGTAGAAGAAGAAGACTTTATATGAAGTAGAAAGTGTATTCTACAAACATCCAGAAAGTACGCGGTCCGAGTCCAGAAGAAGATGAGGATCCGGATCATAAAACGTTACAGATAATGCATATTTATACAGTTAGGTCGAATAGGAAACAACATTTGAAGTGTGACAATAATAGTTAGGATGACCAATAGGAATCGATCAACAGAATTAGACTTACAAAATAATTATCTTAGGATATTTGATGAATATCCCAACAGATGACTATATCTTAATCTATGAGCATCAAGACTTTCATTTAACTAGTGTTAACATTATTTACGTGTATTGGCTTAAGAGTTGAAAAAAACAATTTTTCTTACTGATTTACACTGTGTACACAATTTTCATTCAAATTAGCTGATATCTTCAGATATGAGTTGATATTGCATGTAACATCGAATCACCCAGAATAGTGGCCACATTGTAACCTGACCGATAGAATTCGATCAGCATTTCGATGGACCGGACGCAAATGACTTTGGCAGTCGGTCGATTGTAAATATCTGATATCCCCCATGTCTTTAGATCTATTCACTGTCATTTCTACTCTGTCATGATGCAATAGAACCTTTGCGTAACATAATAACAATGTGAAGTTTCTATTTTCATAATTAACTTCAAAATGCTGATAGGTAATATTGCTTGCTCTGTAAACTTTGTGCTGAAATCTATAAGTAATTGTTTTGAATCTGATTGTATTGGTATAGAGCGCGACCTTGATGTTTTGTAAATTAGGTCTTTAACAAGTGGGCAGTGTTATTACATTGACCAAAGTTTGGTAATTATAGTGCTCGCTTCATAATTAAAGCCGTATAATAAGTTGACTGATTGATAATGAAACATTCTCAAAGGTTAATTGTCTGCAATTATTGTGATCTTTTAGAAAAAGTGACATATTTTTTACTTACAATTTTAATGGAAATCATTGGTCAATTACTATCATGTCAGTCAACTTCAGGGAAATAACATCAAATACAGTGGTTATATTATGCAAAACAGCTTAAATCTTTATTTCATAACTTTTTTAAGTTACACTGTAATCTGTTGTTTTAAATTTAAAAGAGAATACCTATCGAATTAGTAAACAGAATTTGATAATTTATATGTAATAAGAGCACGTCGAATTCGATACCTCGTAAAATATTGTATCATTAAACACTATAAAAATGCAAATTACAATATTTACAACTAATAATAAACGCTTTGTTTCCAAAAACATTTTATTTACTTGGAAAGATCAGATTATACACAAAGTTGACTGAAATACAGTACACAAAAATGGTGAAACAATACAATTTATGGATGGTACATACATATATGTATATATGTGTATATCATATCACATTTAGGGAATATCTGTTCATTTCATATGGTTTGGTATGTGTGAATTGGTTGTGTTTTTTCTTTGATTTTGTCAATTGGAAAACATACTTTAAAAAAATTGTATATCACAATCATTTAGACAACCTATGATTGCTTTGACTATAATGCCGTGCAGTCGTCAATGACATATATTCACAATATATGTTGTTTTTACAACAGTTGCGCCGAATTAAAACCAATGTCAGTTACCAAGATACGTATGAAGAAAAGAAAATGTTTAATGTCATTATTCACTTAAATCGGTGAGGACTGTAATTCACAGTTTTCTTAATACGGTACATAAGGTTAAACATTTTTAGTGTTTTGCGAGGTTTACTTTTCTTTCAAGCTGTTTGTAGTAATTAGACTAGTAAAATAGATAGTTAGTTATCTAATGCATTCACAACAAGTATACTCTGATATTCATCTCTTTTTAACAAAAAAATTATTCTCAACATTATGGGCCTTTGTTATCTTTTCGACTATCCTTATTGGTTGGTATTTTGTTATAAATACAACAAATTGACCAATCTCAAATGGGATGCATTAAAATGTTCAATTGTATGATGAAAACATCAAGTGTAATAAATAATGTTTATATGTAATTATTTTTATGGTTATTGATAGAATTCTTTTTATACTTAATATCGGTTTTCATTATTACTATTATTATTATTATTACTATTACTATGATTCATTTGTTTACTCGAGCTGTAAATTGGTATTTTATAAATAAAATTTGTTTGTGGTTGATTTAAATCAGTGTTTGTTGAGTTTACAGATGATACAACCAATGATGAGGTAGAAGTTAATATTTTAGCACCTGTTGGTGAATTAATACCGGAATATGGAGGCGATGATATACTGTATGAAGCAGAGGTTAAATTTGATTGTAATTCATTATGATCTTGTTCACATGATGCCAGTGAATTCTTCTGAGTTTCAAAATTTTCAGGATAAACTAAAGAGTCTTGAAGTAAGTAAGAGAAGAAAAAAACGAATACAATCAGGTTTATGATTAAAGCTCAATATATATTATAATCTTATATGAGTATCTACTGTTTTACCTAGAAGTTGGGAAGATTTTTGAGTTAGTTTGAAATTATGAATCGATCAATGTTAGACACGGAAGCACTGGACGACAGTTTCGTCCTGGTATGGGACTCATCGGCGGCGTGCACAAACGAGCCTCGCTACTCGCAGGAATCAAACCTAAGACCTGTCTTGCCGACAAATGCCTTACCTTTGGACCACTGAGCTGGCATCCAACGGTGTTATTGTCTAACACGGATTAATCCACGGTATTGCACAACATCATCTACTGTCTTCGGTGAGAACTGCTTCACACACTTGTTAAGAAGATTTATATATGAAACATAAAAGGTCAACTAGACAAATAAAATGCACAGTTAAGAATGAAAATTAACACAAATCTCACTACCCTAGATAATAAAACAATATTACCAAAGTACAGTTAGAGTGAGAACAAACTGTTTTTGAATATATAAAAAGGATTTAAACTTTCATATGGACCTTAGCGTACTTCCCTGAACACTTATATAGAACACCACACAAGCAGACTCTAGATCATTCTTCTGACCTGTTTCAACCATATGTTTGGATATAACGGACGATGGATGTTTATCATCTACTCGTATTAGGTCGATGGATTATATTTGCTTTCGCAACGATCTAGGTACACATTCAGACAGGTTAATATGCAAATCACGATTTCACCTTCCTATGTATGTGGCCACACACATTTAAAATGATAAAGGCAGTGGGATGTGATGCATCGTTTATATGCTCATTAAGTTTTCGATGAAGTATGGACCTATGCTGCGTAGCATGATTTTCTAATAACAAATTTCAACCTTCGTTTCAATATAAGTCTATTTGACTCACGTTGCAACAGTAGAGATGCAGACACACATGTTTTGTGTCAAAGATGTGGTTGCTCGCACTCCACTGTGATATTTCCATCGATTTATGAATTCTGAAGGGTAACCATCCTCAATTTTTTTGTTCAACAACTTCACTTGGTTTTCAATATCATCGCTTGTTCAAATACGACGACTCCCACTACATAACACAGATTGTATTGAGCTAGGCAATAAATATGATAACAAAAGTACTTGCCTATTCGAGCTGAATGTCTAGAAATGGATAGTTTATGTGAACCATCTTCTTGCCTGTTTATAAGCATGCAAGTACGATTGTTATTCTCCTCTTCATATGAAAAACTGATATGGTTTTGGAGAGTGTTAAGTTAATTCAACAAACAATTCATGCTCTCCACTTTATCACAGATAAGTAAGTTATTATCTACATATCTCTTATAAACGGATAAATATTCAATTAGTTCTTCAGCTAAATTTTCAACATACAAAATTAGCACAGCTAATTATTGTCCTAAACGATTACCCATGATAACCCCATCGATCTGGAGAAAGTATTCACGTTTAAATGTGAATTTAACTTTGTCAGTTCATAACACGTAACAAATCTTTCAAAATCATTTAAAGAAAAATTAGTGTAAGGTTGTTTAAAGATAATATATTCATATAAATTTTAACGGTCTTTTTTAAAGGTACCTTGGTGAACAAGAAGTTCACGTCAAAAGAGCACATTGTCTTTTCCTTGATATGAATATCAGTTAGATGTGTTTTGAAGTTTGATTTTATCATAGAAGCTTTAAGCAAATATTTATATTAGGTTTTAAATTCGACTCTAGATTTAGGCACAGAACTTTTGGACAATTTGAACGTAGTGTTTAAGTATTACACTGGATAATTAAATGATAATAACTACCACGACATCCCATTATTGATCAAGTAGGGAACCATTTATCAACCGTTTAGTATTAGTTTATGACTAATCAGTGGTGAGACCCCATGATCTCAAAAACAAATGAATACAAAAGCAATACAAATTGAAATAAAAGCTACTTTATAAGGCTTCAAACATTTAGTTTATGTAAATAATAATATCACAGATTTCCCTATTTTGGTAGACCAGTAATTTAGAATGATTACTTACCGTGACTTTGGTGATTATCGTCTAAATTTAATTGATCTACTGCTTTTAATATAGACTTGATCTCATTTTGTTGTGTAATATTATCATTACCAGTATTACTTGCACTAACAGTATTATTATTTATTGTTGGACTTGTTTTATAATCTAGTGTTTCTGAAGTCGATGTAAAAAATATATCACCCTAAAGAAGTAAAATAAAGTGCAAATGTATTAGTTAAATGAAGAAAAATATCATAAGTGAATTTGTAGTACACAATCTAGATTTTCAGTTGATTTATCTCAAACATTTTAATTGATTGACGTAAAATGAATACAAAAGTTGAGAAATGGCATAAAAAGCTCTAGTAAATATAACAACATATTTTATTTGAATGTGATTTTAGTTGTAGTGTATCTTCTTTGTTCACTTGAACTAGAGAAATCTGGTTGTGCCAAGATTCATCATCAAAACCTTAGGTCGATTGCTATCTACTACTCATATAAATACTGAATTCCCGTAGATGCCTATTAAAACTTTTTTCATTCCATATATAATTGTTATCAACCGCATTCTAAAAATAACTTACATAGATTAAGTGTATTTTTGTCGAGTAAAACTCTCTATCTATTCAAAAATTAGTCGATTTAAATACGTGTAGACAAATATGAATTTGAATGGTCTGTTAAAGCTCAGTTCTCTTGTGCATTGTATTTATTTGTAACTTAAATTACATAAACATTTTTTCATACACTCAACTTTTTAATCATAAACTTATATGTAGGATTTTTATATTTCCATTAACTACATTAGCATCCATTTTTACATTAGCGATAAAGTGGAAACTTAAATGAAATGCACTTCAACAAAATGAGTTAAGCAGGCAAAGAATTTTTCGACAAATATGAATGTGTTTATGCTGACAAACAAGTACTTAATTATGCGTAATTAGGCTTGAAGTGTTCTGTATAGAATTATAGGCAGACAATATACAAAGCGTAGGTGAAATTAAGAATGAAAGATTGAACAAATTAATGGTATAGTAGATTTGTGGAAACTGTAAGATTATCACAGTTTGAATATCGAATTGATCTTAGCTAGTCTACCATTAAAAACCTGGAGGCATTGAACGGCTGTTTCATCCTACCATAGTTTTTTTCTCTAGTTATGCTCATACATGACCCCACTATCGCGACGCGAAGGCAAACCCATCACTATCGTGCTTCGAAAGTGAAAATCAACAAATCAATGGAAAATGTGACATACCTTAACAGTAATTAATCGACAATCGGTTACAAGCATTGTGTGTACTAGGCTTCCATTAATTAATAAACGTATTTCAATTGCCGATGGATTAAATCCAAAAATGTATGGAAAGCACACAGCTGAAAAGAAAATAATGAAGATAATAACTTAGTAGTAGAGTTTGTAAAATTCTCCTTGTTTTCTACGAATGAAACCATAAGTTATGAACCTCATCATTGTCTGTACTTCTAAACAAATATTTAGCGTTTCAGTTTTTAGACTGAAGGTTCTAAAAAAATAAGAATTTTCAAAGAGAGTTAATTGTGCTGTGAATTCAATTTCAAATTAATGTATTTGTTATTTGCTTTGAAGGTAAGTGCATGGTAATATGGTCTTAGTACTGAAACACAAAGTAATATTGTATCGAGTATTGAAAATAGTTCTAATAAACGGACAATAAACTCCCTTATTTAAATGCACAAAATATTGATAAGGTTAATAAATGAGTCTGAAAGTGATCTTGTCTATTATAATATTTTTCACACGTATATAATTTGTAGGTGAAATTTATTGGGGATTGTGTCTGTTATTGGAACGGATGTTTTTTTCTGTTGAACGGCAAAGAAAAACTCAGTTAGATGGTTCAGGTGTGAATACGCAAAAGTCTCCATTACTCTAAGTGAAAATAAAAATCTCTTTTTAATGTGTCGATTTCCATCACATGATCAATGAACAATAATCATTAATTAATCAACTAATCTGTCAATCTTAATGTCATCTCTTTTGGTGTTATATGATACTGATATTACTCAATCCATCTAAATACCATAGAACATTCAAAAAATGAATAGAATAGATTTTATTTGATAATGATCGTGCTATATAATACTGACGATTAAATTTCTTACCAACTTGTTGTGGTTCAAATGTCCATGCAAAATCAAAATCACTTGTTTTCACTTTTTCTTCACATGTTAAATTCAAATTCGTCGAGCTGAATGTTGGTTCAGGAGAACAACTTCTAGCCACTGATGATCCACTTGTGGTTGAACTTGGTGAATCTAGTGAACTAGATCCTGGTATTTGAGATAATGTCGGTGATGATTTGTTTGTGCTCGTCTCGGTTGATGACTTAATATTCCAATTGAAGCTTGAATCATTTGGATTACTGGTAGAAAGAGGTTGACGACGACTATTAATACCAGGTGTAGTTAGAGAAAGTTTTTGAAAATGACACGTTCCTATAATACATGTTGTTTTAACAGTAGAAAAACCGATAAAAGTAAAGCATAATATTCATTAAAGAAAATAATTCAATTTTTAATTAAAGTTGAAAGTGCGTTTCTTCCTAAATATTACTGATCAGCTGGATGTATTCACACTTGAGTGTGGATGTCAAGATTCAAGATCCACTTAAAACTTTACCGCATTATCCATTGATCTAGTAAGTCTAGAAAACCATCAGCTGTTAATATGAAATTTATGTATATTCTGTCATGAATGTTAGTATTCCATAAGAACCTATAAGATAATTACCGTTTCTTGTCTGTTCCTTAGTAATAATATATTTTAAGAAGATAATTTTAACATTTCGAGACATAACAACGCAGGTTAACCCTGAAAACAGTAATAAAGATTATTCTAGTACAATTTCCAATAAATAGAACTCATACTCGTTGCGCAAGCGAGTGACTGTCTAGACTCGTTAGGTCGGCGGACAACGTGTTGGCCGTCTGAGACGACAGATACTGGGTTAAAGTTCCAAACTGAATATCAACCGTGTGTAACAAATGAAGGTATTTCTAATTTGAATTTTTAACTATTTACCAATTTAGTTTCTCTAAGCATTCTTTCTCAACATATTCAGTGGCTAATTCTCTCTTGATTCAACTATTTTATGGTCAACCTACAGCGAAAACTAGGTATAATATGCTGTTTTTAAGAAATCTAATCCACCTGAAGTACTGTGTATTATGACTGCTTTAGGTAACTAGATTCAGAAAATAATGATATTCTTTCGGGATCCACAGTTATATGTAGGAATAATTCTCTTTCAGACGAACGATTGTATTCGTGTTTGCAGTAATAGTAAATTAGACTAGTGTACAATTAGCCTGTATTTTATATGACTTTTAATAACACAGTGGTAATAAAACCAGAAAACAAGAAGGAGCTTTCAAGTTACATTGGATCGCTTGATTATCAGTCCATTGAAAGATTGTCACCCACGTGTACACCGATAAATACATACAACCATATGTACTTCTGCCATACAAACGAAACCAATTACGCAGTCAATTCATCCTCTGTCTAGATGCGTTGGTTGAGTATTAAAAGCCTATCTTAGACATGATTTATATTTATTAGACGAAACGATCGTATTACATTCTAAATTAAAAAAGGAATTGTCATTTAAAAGCTAACAGAAGTGATAGTTTTCTCATGATTCCATTTGTTATTAACGTATTTCACTCTCGTAACACCGTTAGAATTCGTTACTTATTGACGGGTTTTTCATTTTCACTGTCAGTGACTGGTTTGATGCTTCAACATTGAATCATGTTATTGATCTAGTTTTCACTTGTTGGAAGATTGCATCTTTGTGGAAAAATATGTTAACAATAGACTGGTTTGATTACCTTAGTTCGAAATACTCTTTATAATGTTTAAAGATTTTTCTACTCAGAAAGTTTGGTATTTACCATCAGTTGTCTGTTTACTATGTTATAGAAAACGTGGCCACTAAAGACTTTGAAATCCTATTGTTTGTACCTGTCGATATTTCGAAAGGATTATGTGAATTTTTATAATTCTTCAATATCTATTTCTACATGTTAAAGGATGTTAGAATTAAGCTGCTTAACTACTCCAGATCATGATTTATGATAATTGTTTTCAATAAATAATAATTAGTGACTTTAATTTGTATCCGACTTTTATGGTATGTACAATTAAAGAGATTCAAACCTGAAATATATTTTTATGATCTGTATGCACAGATTTCTATTCATTTACCAATAAAAGTAAACAATTTTGAAACCTATCGTTACATATTGAAATTACCAATTAACTAGTTCTTGTTTTATTGTAATATTAACAAGTTTGAAATTTACATTCGTTATAAACTATGTCAACTTAAACAAGAATCAAATTTTCTGATTTCAAAAGATTGTATATTAAATAGTCAAGAATTTTCCACGACAAATTACACTTCAGTATATTACTTTAGTTGTAAAATGTTTGATTGCGACACAAATGAAAACTTCTAAACAACAAAATAAAGTCATGCATTTACTTGTAAAGCAAAGTAATAATTCATGTTCATCATCAGCCCATAATTCTAATGCAGAGACAACTTGATTTCGACTACCTTCAGTACGAAATAATTGTGTTATTTCTTTACTGCGTTCATCTAGTAAAATAAATTGATTTCTATATCCTACGCATAATTTTCCACCGGGTATGCCTTCAATAAAACTTAAAGTTTGTATTGAATCGATCATATGAACTTCCTATAAAGAGAGAGATGTATTCAAAAGAAAATACAAAATAAATAGTCATTATTAAAAAAAAACTTTACTAATTATTAATAAGATTAGTTCATCTAAAAATAAGTAAAACTGAAAATTACGCAGAAACTCTACAAACTGTATGTTTAGATTATTGATATATCAGGAATTCTTTTTATAAACCTTCAGAGATTAAAACTTAAGTCATAAGGTTTTACAATCAGGTTTGTTCTAATCTGAAGATAACAAAATTATCATACTAATAAATGTGTAAAAGTATAAAACGTCAGTTCATAGCATTCTGTGTGTTATATTCAACGACGTAATATCATAAACAGCAATGTTAGTTCGCTCATTCTGATCATATTGTGTATAAGTATAATAATATAACGTTATGGTTTAAATAGGCTCGTGTATTATAACAAACAAGCATATTTGTTTTCATTAAACAATATCATGTATAATTATTTAAGTAAAATAAAACATACTCTAATTAATTGAAAATTTTCAACTGGATCTGGTTGTGCTAGTTGATTCCATGAAGACAAAGATCGACCAGTAAATAAATGCCATTGAAAAATTACAATTCTTCGATTGACAGCAACTGCTAATCTTAATGGATGACTAGGACTTTTACTAACAGTAAACAATTGAGCACCTTGAAATGAAAACGATAAAATAGACATAAAATTTACTCCTTTTAAAACATTTAGCTTGAACATGAAATGGTATTTTCAAAAGAAGCTCACATAAATGATTGATTCTTTATTATATGTAGTACAATGGGATAGAGTACATTTTGCTGAAGGAAATTTACAATGAAATGTGCTCTCTATTAGATTTCTTTTTGTATATTACGTTTCGTGGTACCACTGAGTTAGTAGACCAATAGTAACAGCTGAACTTATTTAATATGACAAAGAAAATCCCTCTGTTTGAATAACGTAACTCGGTATTTCTCACTAATCTATATAACATTATATTATCTTTTCATAATTCGTCTATATTCACCAAAGTATCATCGCATTTCTCAGAATTTCAATGAATTGAGAATTTGAGATTAAGTAGTCAAACATTATTCTTTATATATTCAATGTTATCTTCATAACAACTGTAAATTCATTAAACAAAATTAATAATAATAATAATAATCATGCATTAACCTTAAACCATTTCAACAAAATAATTGAAATTCCACTACAGTGTTGTTCAGCATGGATTAAAATCACATTTAACATAAAAATTCTTATTTCAAATCCTAAAAGTAATTATTGATAACAACAAAGTTATTTTAAATTTAATGAATTCACTAACTGATCTTATTATTGCATGATCATCATGAATAAACATTGGATATTCAATAAGAAAACAATTATTATTAATATTATTATTATGAAAGCAAACCTTTTGTTTTCTCTAAACTAAGTTTTTTAACTTGTAATCGATCAATTGGTTTAGTGGAAAATGTTAAACAATTCAACTGAATCACAGCAACTTTTCCTTCTCGACCTAACAAACAAAGATAATTGAGAAACAAAACGAAAAAGGGAAAATGTTTGTTTCTTGTATTATATATATATTTTTTTCATTTAAAAGTTTTTAATCATGAAAATGTTTATGAAGAATTCATTTAAATCTCCTGAAATATATTTAGGTAAACTTTCATTAAGATGATATTAAGTTAACAAACAAACTCGAAAAACTAATTCAAAGTGAATTAGAAAAATTAAAACACACATATACACATACATTTGAAAATAATAATCTTTGCTATTATATTGAAATGACCAAATAATACACATAATCATTATCGAGTATTTTAATAATTAATTAAAATTGAACATATTTAAAAAGTTTATAATTGCTCTGAAATTAGAAAAAAATCTTTCATCTTGAGTGGGAGGGTCCGGAGTCTCGTTACTGAAGAGTCCTTTATTTACTATGAAACAACTGTTCAAAGCTTTCTGTTTGTCGAAGTAAAATCAATGAATGGTGTAATCTAAGCCCCATTTATTGCAGATGAAAATGATCACCGGAAAAATATGTACGCTATCATGATAACTGGAACAAGGTACGTTATTATCCGTTGAAATTTAGATGAGGTTACTTGAAACTGAAGTAGTTTAATATAATTTTGATTCTAATTATTATCAACAAATTCTCGTTCAATTGAAAATGTCTCATCATTAACATGTGAGCATTTTAACAGAAAATAAATTACTATATATATATATATATGTATATATATATATTATATATATATATATAATATATATATTATATATATATATATATATATATATATATATATATATATATATATATATAAATCATATATTATATATAAGAAATAAGATTTATTCTATTTAAAAACTGTTTGTGACAAATAATCTACCATAAATTCATTGTCATAAGCTAACAAATGACAAGTAGACAAGTAGACATTTCATTTAGACACAGATATTTACACTGATTCATTTTGATTTATTTCCATTTCAATTGGTTCAATAATTTTTTCAAATAATGCATGCAGTAAGCAATGTTATTTAACAATTATGATTAGGTGTTATTGTTAAGCTCATCAACTGATATGCTTGAAATTCTTACGAGTTCACCTTAGTCGGTAAACAAGAGCGAAGACAAATGATTCAGTAACACGATAGGCTAGGAAGAGCGTCCCAAGGTCCTACTAAGTAGAGGAAGAAGTCTTGACAAGAAGTAGAAATGGCATTCTACAAGCATCCAAAAAGATTTGAGGTTCACAAGTACACAAATCGAGTTCATTTATATAAGATAGAAACGTCCTTGAGAGAGCCATAAATATATCGTACATCAACCAATAACACCCAAGGATTTTCTGGGTTGGAAATGTAATCTCAAGGTCAACTGATCAACCCATGCTCGACAACATAAAATCCAAAATTAGGACCTATATTAAGTGAGTTATGGGGATCTAACGTACCAAACAGTTATATCAACAATTACTACAAGAAACTATAATCAACATATTCAGAAATAAATTGTAGTTTCTGTTTGTGTATGATTAATTTACGATATATTTTGTAATTAGATTACTTATCATTTCTTGACTAATAACAAATCTTGAAATGGTGACAATCAAAATAACCGGTTGATGAAACACTAACGATGTAGTCAATAAAATCGAATGAAGCAAATTAGATGAATATAAATTAAATTAATCAACAACAAAATTGACTAATTAGAATTTTGTCTTATCGTTTGTAAACATGAGTTAGACATGAAAATAATATTTATACGGTAGATGATAAAAGCGACAAAACAAAAGCTAATTGAACATTGAACAAAAATAACAAAATTTAATTGAGTTTCTATAGAAAAACAAAAGAAAAGATTTTAGCTGATTAAATTTACGAAAAACTTAATATTATCAATACGTCTTGGCAACATAACTAAAGAAGATTCGTAGATATATTTGAAGAGAACAATTGAAAATGAGTGAATATTAAATAACCGTATTCTTTTTACTTTATGAATGTAACTACTGAGAAATAATGAAATCGTTTTAAAGAATTCCTAGAACTATAGTCTATATTATGAAACTAATGTTCAAGAAGCCTGTTGAAAGTCCATCTTCACAGTAAACAAACTTATGGAGTTAGGGTCATATATTTCTTTCCTAGCGCATTCCGTTCCTAAGATTGTGTAGTTGATTTTAGAATTTTTTTTAAATCCATAAACTATTGAATGACTTACATGTGATTAAAAAAACGTTAATTAAATGTATATGTCGATATTTGAATAGCCTAAACAATCAGACGGGCAATAATATCAATCATTTTAGATTGTAGGCAATCACAATCAAATAACTGAGCATGAAATGATTGTTCTCTAATTTTTATACTGTATAGATTCAACTTAAAGAAAGTCATACTTCATCATTAGTCACATACAAAAAGTAAATTGAATATTGAACAGATTAAATCCTTTCATCAAAATCGCATCTTCACATATTTGCATTTGAAGACTAATAAAATATTTGATGTAAGTAAAACAAGATGATGAATTGTATAGATTACCGTAAAGTGAAAATTTGTTTAAATTATATCATATTACTCATCAAACTAAAGTATATAATATCCTACCTTTATCATAACGAATTATCAATAATTCGAATTGGGCTACTTCCAATTGTTTTACTTCTACACTTTTATCAATTAACAAAACAGGTGGTTCATGATCTGCATGATGTAAAAAAATGTTAAACAAAATGATCAAACAATCGTAAACTGTACAATTTAAAACAGATACAAATATTTATTAGGCTATAACGTCAGATAAAAATTTACACTCACTCAAACATCATGGTAGGGAAAGATATGAGAAGAATGAACAAAAATTGGACAGGACTGGAAAGGGAAGCCCAGGAAAGAGTAGGTTGGAGAACACTGATCGGCGACCTATGCTCCATTGGGGGTGACAGGTGTAAGTAAGTAAGTAAAACATCATGGAAAGTAATAAACAACCAGCTGTTATTTTTCGCTTTGTATTCATTGTATACTAAATAACGAAATTCAAATGTATATCTCTGAACTGAAATACGTGTTCTTTTTTCTGTTACACATTCATAAGAATTTGACCACATCAGTAAAGAAATCATGACGTAGTGATTTCATTAGATTTGGAGGAATTCACAGAAGCAAACTTCAAATGAATGGACTGATTCAGGAGAACAGTCAAAGAAGGTTAAAATGCTGAATTATTTTTTATGTTAGAGAAAACATGATGATAGGATTTATAAATGGGTCAGGTGATAAAACCAAATCATCTTACTTGTTGCTAATATGAGTCATCAGAGCAATCTTTCTCAAAGATTTTATATTCGTCTGCCATCGTGAGTGTATGTGCCAGGATGGATTGAGAGATAAACTACGGACTATGTGAATTACATTATCTTTAACAATCGAGTAACTTATCAAAAAAACGTAAAGTAACTGAGGTTACCAAACGGTTTCTTAGGTTACACAATCGAGTCTTAAAGGCTAGTCAAATAATTATTAGAAGATAAAAAAGATTGGTGAACTAAAGATCGTTTTACTGACAGATTATTACCGTCCTAATTGTGATTAAAAGTTAAAAGTACTTCAAAGTGAATTTAGGCTACATCAACAGTATGTTAAAACCTGATTAATATGTGTCACATTTAAGTTATCAAGAAAAATTATTCATAACTTACCTTTGAAACCAAAGGTTCCTTGTTCAGTACTCACAATCACTTGTTCACCTTTTGAATACAGAAAAATTCATAAAAACAATTGATAAATTATTTATCAACAAAACAAAAATGTTATGGAATCATAGTTTGAATCAGTATTGGTTTTTTCAGTCTTCATACAATATGCACGTTATTTAAAAGGATAGTGGTATTTTTCATTGATGTGTTCAATTTATAATTTTGACTGTTTGTTACTCATCTCATCCAGACTAATGTTTTCACTTTGACTGAATTACTTTCAATGAAAGTAACATCAAGATTATCATTTTTTCCTAAAGTTTGCATCTGCATGCTTATCGAGAACATTGACTTTTTTCTCTTTGCTGTATTTTTGAACTTAACAGTTCTTAATTCACGTAGTTTTCTGACTACTTATATCTGTCTCCACGTATTTTTGTGTCTAAGCCATTTAAATATTTCTGTCTGATGAATGGACAGGGCAAAATAAGTAGTTTCCAACATACAGACTGTCGATACTTTGTGGAAAGTGGCATATTATGTGATGAGTGAAAAGGAAGTTACCATGGTTTTTTATCGAATCTAACAATTGCGGTTAACATGAATGTGCGTCATTGTGCCAGCAATTCTGTCGGATGGAAAGAGCATGCTATTTGAAGACAATGCAACAGTAAAAGCTGCCAAAAACCACATTAGCAAGCTCAACCGAGAAGGCTTTATTGATGCTCGCTCAATCGACAGATATCAATATGCAGTCATCCTTAATAAACTCAGAGTCAATTGGTTCATATGATCAAAAGGAAGAATTACCGACTTCAAAAAGACCTGTCAAGAATAAAAACTCAAGTAAGCAGGTTTCTTCTATGCACAGTCCCGAAAGTGGCAGAAGTCAAGAAACACCTAGAAAACCAAACCGGAAGGCTGGGCCAGCTTTTTAAGAAGAAAATAACAACCTGATAAACCAAGTCATCAATAGTTTTCCAAGATATCACGTGTTTAATGCTACTGTGAGTGCTATTCCTGCATAAATTGATTAATTGATGCAAGTGAAGAATAAGAAACAACCAAATGTCGTTAAAAAACGCAGCCTCCAAACAGTAGGTAAGAAATCAAAGGATGATTATGGTGGGTAGGTGAGTGATCATTCACAGAGTCAAGTGGAGGGAAGTCTTTAAGATCAGAGCTTGCTTTAGGTATGATTATGGATTCATAAAAGGTCTACTAGTGGCTCAAGATATATTTGTGGACACTTTTAGGAAACCAAACTTGGGTTCAGCATGGAGAGAATTCAACAATATTTGGATTGGCTACGCAAATGTCTAATGCTTGTTCCATAAGCTAACGGAGTCAGGTGTACAGATAGACTCTACGAGACGGAATGTAATCGTAATCACGAAAGCTTTGTTGACCCAATCTGTAGACAATAGGAAACTAGATATTGCAACCTTCACACGTGTATGTAGGAACGAAACCCAGAAGTGTTGAGGAAAGAGTAGGTTTATTCATCAGAAACAATATTTTCTTTACCATTATCGATATTTGCATACCTAATAACGCTTGTTACTCCTCATGTAATATTGACCGCTGATCAGGATTCTCCAACCAAATCTGACCTGGGTTCTCCCAGTTCTTACCAAGTACCATTTAATCTTTTGTTGTCTGCTTCCGATTCCTAGCTCAATGTGCTCTATGGTGTTCGTCGTTTCCTCCTACTTTCAGGATCCCAAGCTAGGACATGTCTTGTGACTCACCTTGACGATTTCCGTAATGTTTGTCCTATCAACCTCGAGAGTTTTTTCTAATTTCCCCTTCAACTAGAATCTGGTTTGTCCTCTCACAAAGTAGGTTGTTATTAATGATGTCCGGCCAGGGAATCGGGAGTACCTTGCTCAGACAAATGGTCACAAACACAAGTATGTTCTTCTGCCCTTGCTCTTCTAACCTAGATCTTCCACCCCACACACAACATCAAATGCAAGACTAGAAAATCTAAGGTTTCAATTGTCAGATACTTCTTTCGAATAAAAATAGTTCACGCGGTTACTGCATGTTCCATAGCGTAACATGTGAAAGAAGCAACTAGGTACGACGCAAGCTCAAAATAATTTTTACTACATATCATGTTGACTTATTATGAGATTAGGGTCACAATCCTTGATTATAAGTCAGTCGAAGTGAAGAGCGTTTATGCAGTTTTAGTTTTCGATTTCCATATTGTTGTTAACAACGACAAATGAGCTAAAGCCAGACCATAAGTCAAGAAAAGTCATGCACTAGAAACAGTATATTCGGAGTCCCCTGTTGTAACGGTTTAGGTGGCATCTAGGAATTTGTACATAAAAGTTACAGTAATACCTTTCCTTGGACTACACGGATGAGTCCGAAAAACTTCCTACTGCGGTTCAGATAGGTATTGTAAACTTCTCCGTTTAAGAAAATCAATCCGGAGTAGTTATAAGTTTCTGGGTCAACAAAAGAAGCAGCATTCCAACATTGTGGGAGACAATGGTACTTCATCATTAGTGAAAAACGATTGTGGTTGAGCTCAGTTAGTCTCATTTGTCTATATGAATGTATATTATGTAGAGATTCCCTTCACTTTGGTTTCTACAAAACCATCCGTACATAATCCGGACAATATGACCACTAAAAAGGTTGATATCTTCGGTCTATAAAATAAGCTTGTTATAACAAATCCAAAGGACCCAATGTAATTTATCCTAAACTGCTATACGAATTAGTACATTTCATCACAAATTTATCACGAAAATGCTCTAATCGATCCGTAATTCAGAGCAGATTACCAAACAAATAACGCCATAGTAAGTCCGATCTTTATCACTGGTACGAGACACAAACGTTCGAACCGTCGAGCTATAAGCCTAATCAGCAACAGTGTTAAGATTCTGCAAAAGATTAAATAGAAGGAATAGTTTAACCAACACGACTTTAGGATAAGCTATTCATATCTTACAAACTGATCAGTAACCCGTGAGGATTTCCGCACAAGCAACCAATACTCACATAAAAGTTGAAAATATGCTGTTAGAAAGTGTTCAAGAACAGTAACTAAGAAGTTTACCGGATCGTAAATGTGCCTTATGACGAGAGACTATTTCCCATATCTCATAGAAAGACCAGAGGCGACTTAATCAAAGTTTTTAAATTAGATAATGATAAATTTGAGTTTCATATGCTCTCACTTTTATTGACTTCTAAAACAGAGAATTTATGCCGACACTCTAAAAAGGTTTATTAGTCCAGAACAAATCATTTGTCAGATGACGATCGAACATTCGATCGAATCACCAACTAGTGGAACTTGTTGTCTTAACATGTAACTGAAGCTCCATCTATCGACGTATTCAAACGAAAATTGGATTAACTGTAAGACCAGCATTGTCAGGACTGACACAGGCCATCCAGCCTCCTATCCTTTCCAGACTGGAGTTAAAATGAAGCTACTAACTTTATTCATGTTTAAAAGGACGTTAACTAACACTAGTTTACTATCAGATTGCCTAGCGTGATATTTTGAAAAGAATTTCCGTTACGAATTGAAGTCAGGTCAATATTTAAACAAAAACAAATTATTTTTGAACTGTTATTTCATCAAGGTTTCACAGTTATCAGCATATCATATCATAGTCTTTCTTGATCTTAAATGTGTTTAAATCTACCAACTGATTATGCTCAGATTTAATGACTTTTATTCTCAAATCGAGTCATTTTGTTATAGAATAGGATTTTGATTTGATGATAGTCTTATATATCATATGATTAAGTTCACTCACTATTAGGAGACTAAAATTAGAATGGAATAGTCTTTTCAGTAGTGTTTACTTCCTAAAGGTTCTCTGTTTTGCATTGTTTTTGGACGATATCATCTGAATTTATTGAAAAAATAACTAAAGTATATCATTTTGGGTGTTTACTGATGTTACATAGATTAGTGATTATAATATCTAGCATCACAACCATTGTTAATGGTATGGGGCGATTGTTTTGACCAGAATACAATTATTTCCTTAGAGATTTGTGTATTTCTTAATTCAATGGTGAGCATATGTATTGAATAGAAATTATAAATAAAAAGTCAATACGTTTTATTGGAATCGATATGCATTATCGATATCTACATTAAAAGAATGAGATTTTTTTGAATTCTTGAATAATATTCAGCATTTCATTATTGAAAAACTGTATCATTTTCCCACATCTACAGCTCCCCAGGTACATTGGTTTATTGAATTTTTTTTATTTTTAACCAGTCGATAGAATAACCTATACAGCATTTGGTCGCATTCAGAGACAAAACCAATGATGCTTATCATTACATTAAGAACATGATGTTAAAAAATCGAATTACGATTTCGGTTCGGTTATTGGTACAAATTTTGTTCTTTAACTCACGTTGTGGTGTGTGCTACTTATGCGGACGATATAAGTAGTATAAGAAGGGAAGTATGTAATGTTTTCGTTTTTAATTGACTAAGAGTGTATAGCATATATATATATATATATATATATATATATATATATATATATAATTATCTTACCCCAAACATCTCCACATATAATCTCTGACTGAGTGCATTTGTATATTAATTTTGGTTGCCATAACTGGAATCAGAAAAAAAAATTAAGGTGACCTAATCAGTTAATAACAAACATATCACCAGATATTTTTGTATTGAATAAGCAAAAATCAACTCTTTTCTTTTAGTCCTGAATTTCACCTTTCTTAATCAACAAATGAGTTAGGGGAAAATAAACTTTTACTAACAACATCAACAACAACATAAGTCTATTAGTAATTTCTATCAAGTTTCTTGAACTGTTTGTGTATATATATATATATATATATATATATATATATATATATATATGCATATATTTTTTTAAGCTTCATAAAAATAAGTCCTAATTAGTTTGACAAATAGAAATCAATCATAAAACAAAGTTTGAAGATTGACAAATATAAAACATGCAATGCAATATTTTAAACAAGCAGAAAATTTATAGTCAAAACACCGGTAAATTTCAGATAGTTTTTCACCCTTATCGTTAAATAACATGATTTTCGATTTAAATATTAAAAAATATTTATTTATATTAGTATGAAAAGTGAAATGAATAAGGAAAGTGAAAAATTATTGATCGAAATCATGAAGTAAAACAAAACAATCTTTAGAGCTCATAGAGAACGAAATATAACTCACTATAATCACTAACATTCTAAGGTATTATGTCTACGATACATTAATTTCAGTCAATATTTAAAGGTATTTTTCCTCATACTCCTATTTAAGTTAAAATGTTGCATTGATGCGATGATCGGAGCTTGAAGAAACATAACATTTATTAAGGCGATGACTATATACAACCATCGCATTTACAAATCATTCTGACTAACACGGAATTACTGTGAGTATTAGATTGAAAATCTAGATTCACCTCTGGCACTAATCATTAAGTCGGTCTGCTAATCAGAGACAAGACGCACATCCCAGTATGAAACTCAACGTTTGGTGAAAAACAAAACTTTCTATCTAATGCACACACAGTGTAACATTAGAGAAAAATCAGAAGTGTGATAATGATGAGGTCGTAAAGTAGAGAGTTTAGTTAAATGCAATTAGAGGCTAACCCATTCAAGTGTACTAGTTTCGGTACCAAAATAAGTATAGATTTTACGACAAATAAAACCTTCTGTTCATGACCTTTCGAATTTGTATTATTACTAATCAACCTAGAAGGAATTCTTCTTTCATTAGAGTATTTTTATAAATAAACAATACACTCTGTGAGCTTACATATTCTACCAATCCTTAAATGACCTAAAAAAAATTGTTACGTTTGTCAGTGAAGATTGAAGTATTCAATATATATATATCCAAACTCTTATGAATTCAGTTTTTTAAGTTCGTATTATTACACCCAGCCTGATAGCCGACATCAAATAGACCAAACTATCCCAAACATCAATAAACATTGAAGCTCGAATTGATTTCATGATATAATTCAACTTTTAAAATTTACTAAGGAAACTTTCGCTTTCTGATCCAGTTTTCCACCCATTTATTTAGTAGTTTTTTATGGAATGCTAATGAGCCATGATAAACAAACAATAGTCAAACCCAGTAGATTGTTATTATTTCATGGCTTATATATATATATATATATATATTATTTGAGCTTATAAAAAAGCCTATTTCTTTGAAATTCATTTTTTTCATCAAAATTGTTTTCTATTGACTTTTATTTCTGAGCAATGAATCGAAATCTGGAAGTTTTATGACCATAGATAACAAAAAAAATAGAGTAGAAAAGAAAACAAAATAACTTGCATGAGCTTTTGAGTGTTGACTCCTCCTATTCAACAACTCAATCTGAGTGTCTTTAAATTCATTTTTTGTTTTCTAAATAACCTCTTTAATTGACATAAACATAATGATTTCCAAAAAATGATAAGTTTCACATGTTTATATAGAAAAAATATATATACTTATTGAAGAATATCTCTTTCAAAGTATACTATATTTTTAAATCTCCTTAATTACTACATAGTTAGTCTATGGACACAATAATTGAACTTCTATTCAATGTTGAAGATCACTGATTTAACTTTTCAAGATAATAATGGTTAGTACATTGTATTAAGGAGAATGAAATGGAAATAAGTGTTTTTAGGAATTTCAATGATTGAATTTAAAAAATAAATTTAAATTTAAATTTTCTCTCAGTAGTCTATTTTGAACATGTTCAAGGAAATAGATGATCATGAATATGCTGATAAAACAACTATGAACTGAACAAATGATTACTTATGTTAAGATGTTAGATGTGGATTTTTTAAAATATGAATATAAAAAAATAACAGTATGCTAACTGATATGCTCGTCAATTGATGTACTTGAAACTGTTACGAGTTCACCTGACTCGGTTAACGAAAGCGAAGACTAATGATACAGTGACAAGGTAGGCAATTCTAATCCATTGGTCCCAGGTCCAGCTGATTATATCAAGAAGTCTTGATGAGGCATAGAAGTGTATTCTACTAGCAACCAGAAAATATGAGGTTGACAAGCATATAAATCGAGTTTATTTATACATGATAGAAACGTCTTTGGGTGAGGCATAAAAATAGAGTACTAAAATAATACATCAACCAATAACAGCCAAGGATTTTCCGGATGGGAAATGTAATCTTAAGAGGAATGGATCAGCCCATGTACGAAAACACAAAATGCAAAATTAGGGCCTTTATCAAGTGAGTTCTGGGGATCTAATATCCCCAACACTAACAGATTTCAATAAAGCGCTAATTACAAGGTATTTTGCCATTTAAAAAAATTACCAAATTACTTCATATATGTATTCTCTCAAATAAAAACATAGATAAACCACGTTATCATCTTATACAACTTTGAACATGTAAAGTAGATAAATTTTGGTAAGATAAGGATCAGCAATAACTGGTATTAAATTTTAATCTGATGCGATCGTCCTTAAATTTTCAATTTTTCACAACTAAATGTATTCCGTTAATCTTAATTCACTAGTCTATCAAATGACTTACAGTTTCGTTGATTTATTATGCAGATTAGTTATCTGAAATTTTAGACCAGAAATGTACTTAAGCTTGTTCATTATTTCGATAGATAGATACGTTTAACACTTAAGCAGGATTTTCTATCTTGATAACATTTATTCACTAGTATTCACTAAATTATTTTATAACGCATGTCAAAAACACAAGCTAATATGCTTTTCAAATTTTCATATGAAATTTATGATCATTCATGGCTCACACCAGCAAATAGCAGACTAAACACTTAAGTATACATCCTCCATCTTTAATAATCATAAATTGTTTTCAGGAGTGGGTTATGAAATTAAAACATGCATGAAAAATGATATGAAACAGATTTATACTTTTGAAAACGAAGCATGTTTTGAATTTTGAAATTATCTGATTGCAATTTATGATTACAAAAATCCAACGAACAACCTATGATAAAAGTGGGAATTTCCACAGTAATATGAGAAGCAAATTCAAAAATGAAATACGTTTAACGTGTTCACATAGTAAACTATTCAGTTCTAAGGTGACTAAATAAAAGGTTAACTTTACGGTAATTTATATTGGCCCAAATATCGATTGGTGTTATTAAGATATATTGATTCCCTTTACAAAAACACCAAATAAATTACACTTGGCTTGTGGTGGAGTTTCATTCTCTGAGCTAGATGTTTTGGTAATAAAGCTTTCATTGTCCTTCTGAACAGCATCATCAGTACAAACTTCATATAGAAGTGAAATATTCGAATTTCTCAGCGTTTGACCCGTAGTTTGTTCTGTTAACCTTGATTTTGGCTTATTTTAAACGCTTACAACACTACTCTCGTTAAGAAGTTCAGACAAAACGAGGTATTTTTGAAAATACAACAAACATAACAATCTATGAAATTGGCTTACATTCTTTTTTGATTGACCACTAGTTATGGAACTAGTTGGAGCATCTCCTCTGATTATCGTGTTTAACTTCAACATCTAACGACACAAAATAAAATTAAAAAAAATCAAATCAGTAATTTAGTATGAAGCTATTGAGAAAGTGAGCAAATTGTACCTTATCTAAATGAAGTAATATTATTGTTTTCATTAGTGAATTTCAAGTTGTATTCTTCAATGTAGCATATATATAAAACTAAATAATCAGAATGAACAGTGTATACAACTATTGGCCAACTCAATAAAGGCAAAACCCATGTTTCATGTAACTGGATTTTTACATAGATTACTTTCGAATTATAATCTACTCATGTTGACAATCGTTGCGAAGAAAATAATCATTAAGATAGAATTAAACAAGAGGAACATTCTCATTTTCTCCTGGTGTTGGATACATTAAAACTGTATTCAAGTAAAAATAAACTTGCATTTCATTTAAACGGTATGTGTAATTTATCGATTTTACCTACTTGTCCATATCTGATGTAAGCATCATTACGACTTTGTTCTTTACTTGTTGTCACTCCATTGAAAGAATCTACTACAACATCACTGAATGCTCGCCTATAAATTGCACCATTCTTTATGATATCAACAAAAAAAAAAGAAATCGGAAAACAGATTATTTATCAGTATAAATCAGATAAAATAAAAAACATTGAAGAGTTTATATATTGAATATTGATTTTTATTTAAAGAACATAACTATGTTTTATAATTCATGTCAACATGGACAGTTATACGGAAATCAATAATTTTTTCACTCCTGAATACTTTTCAACGAGTTCTATGAGACATGTATCGAGAAAAAATGTGATTATTCAGTTAGATGAACAAAGGAAAATCATGTAATCTAGGCAAACTTTATAAGGCACCTAGAAGAATAATGAATTTATGTACTGTTGTTAACACAAAAACCCATTTAACTTATAAAAAATATGCAATAATAAATATCGATTTAAACAAAGTAGGATTACATGTAGAAAAAAATGTTTAAAGCGGATTGATGTATGACACATTTTTAATTAGAGAATGATTATGCCAAATGAATGAGAATTAATACATTGATTTTAATTTAAATTTTGATGATTGAATCGGTTAATTTCAACGTATAAAAATTTCTCTTCAAGTGTTTATGATTTTGCAAAGATATTATGTTTTAGAATCAGTGAAAGCTAATTCCCCAATTCTTTATCTCTGCCATGTAAATTATTGTCATCAGTCACATTTTAACAGTATTAAAATGACTTCGAAATATAACAAAAATCTGGTGAAACAGTTTAATTTCTAATCATCTGCTTTTATTTTGTATGTTTTCATCTAAATTTAGTCATTCTTCCTGCTTTGAATTATACATGGATTCTTTCACCGGCCTGTCTTTTCTAGTTTGTATGAAGTATACCATGTCCTAAGTCTTTGTACCCAACTCTTGATTAGGCATTCTATGAAGAGAGGTGGATCAATAAGTATTATAGTTTTAAGGCATAGTGACGCAATCCTGGTCGATATTAATTTGTAGTGAGATCTAGTTAGGATACACTTACTTGTCATTCTTTTATCTCAAGAATTACTTATAAAAATTATATTTGGGATCTAATGTTAAGTCATACATTTTAAAAAGATGCCTATTCATACTTACAATGGGTTTTGTTCATTTCACAAAAGAAATATAAACCAACCAGCTTTTATCTGACACGCTACTTTGTAAACTTAGATACGCAAAGATAGTTCAGAAAAATGAATCTTGCGTGATTTTAATTTAATCTGCAACGATGTTAATACTATACATAGTCTCACACAAAATATATATACATATGTAAGCAATGTGGAATTGTATCAGTCAGAGGAAGTGTTAATCAGTGAATGAATTCCCAAAAAATAATAAAATATCAGGAAGTTACAAAAAAAAAATAATTCACTCACATTTGCTTCATTTGTATAAGTAATACATATTGTATTCAACAACATCTCTAAGGTGCGTTGACGTTTTTGTGCAAACACTGGTGATCTGAATGCAGCTTTTTCACCGTTAATTACTAAAGTTTGAGAGAAATAGTGAAAGTTAAAAATATGGATGTCAATCATCTATATAATGCTGAAATATATGAAACTAGTGAAATCTATATTCTAAATAAGTGTTAAATTGATTTTAATAAGCGCTAAATTTAGAGGTATCATTGTTAAACTATATAACAATCACTGTAGATAAATAATAAATGTTAGTATTGTGAAAAGTCCAATACAAAGTCAGTAAATGATCGAATATGACAAGACAGACCAATTAGTCAACTAGGATAGTCACCTAATGCACAGGAAGGTTTGACTAAAAGAAGAATAATGATATTACAGGTCGTTTGCAAACCAGTAGATTTGAAATTTAACTATCATATCTGCCGATTGCTTGTCATGTCATAATGTATAAGTTTGAAAATTAGTAGATACTATAAAAATTGTTCATTAGAAATGTTTTAGCAGTTAATGAGTGTTCATCGTTATCTGTGTGCTTTGCAAAAATCAAATACAAGTTGAATTCTACTGCTCGATAATTATATCTATTTTAATGTTGAATCGTTTGGTTTGTGACGTTAAACAAAAATAAAGACAATACAGTCAAGAAAATTTAATGGTAATCTTTATAAATTCTACAAATATCATATGATGATTATAGTTTATTTCAGGTTGCTCAAAATGAAACACAATGAAATCCAATCAACAGTTTTAACCTAGTCGTTTGTTTTGTAAACTTATCGTGATTACTCAATCTCATGTTTATACACGCGTAATAAATTAGTTATTTACAACTGATTTTTTATTACCAAATTCTCTAGAATTCCGACTGTCAAATTATTGATTCTTTATGCTTAACAAAGAATCGCAGATATATAGGCAATAATTTGTTGTTTTAGAAAACATTTTATGAATAAGAATTGAATAGATTGAGATTTTATCATAGTAGCATCTGTGCATAACAGAAATATATAATTATGTTCAAATCGACGACACTAATAAATTGAGAAATTCACATTTCGTAATCAAAAGGTAGACAAATTCGTTTCTTGTACAACATAATTTGCAATAAAACATTAGTATTTTTATTGCAAAATGCATAGTTTAACTTAACATCTGTATTAATCGATACGTAATGACAGTCTTATTTCTTGTTGACTTGTAGCTTTCAGTTTCCAAAATGATTTCAGTTTGATTAAATATTTATTTTAATTATTTCATGATTAATCAACATTACAGCTTATTAATTTGTGCTGAAAACTAAGCCCTACTGAAGTCTAAACAACGTGAAAGGTTTTTGAAGTTCATACAGCAAGTATATTATCAAACCTTTTTATTTAATTTTATCACTGAGTTAAAAGTGTTGTCAAAGGTCAACAGCATCGGCCTTCAATCGATTATTTGGTAATATTTAATTAATGACGTTTTTGAACAGACTTACTGTTACACTCGTCTCTAGGTATGCTTAAAAGTATTATGGGTTCACCTTAATCGAATAACGAGAACAAAACAATGTACCAACGCCCAGATAGGCTACTCTGATCCCTTGACCCAAAGGTACTAGCAAGAAGTCTTGATATAACGTAGAAAGTTTATTCTAAAAACACCCAGCAAGCACACAATGAATCCAAGCATACAAATCACGTTTGCTTATACACCATAGAGACGTCCTTGGGAGAGTCACAAAATAGCACACTAAAATAACACGGTAACTAATCACAGCCTAGGTTTCTCCTGGTGAGAAATGTGATCTCAAGGTCAACTGATCCGTCAATGAAATAAATCCAGAATAAAGATATTTATCAAGCGAGTTCTGAGGATCTAACATCCCCAACACTTACAAAGATTCTGTTCAATTAATTCGCAGATATTTGTTTTTTTGAACATAGATCAGGTGATACCATTGTACCATTGTTTGTACTTAAATGTGCTTATAAAGCATTTTCAAACCATTTTTCACACTAATAAAACTCTATAAAATTCTGCAGTCATGAATAAGTTATCGTATAAAATACTGAATTTATATAAAAGATAATTATCAATAGTTTTTCTATTGATTCTTTTGTTTAAATCATTTTTTTTAACTGGAACAATGAACAGGATTGCATGAATTGTACATAAATTTAACTAGGTCAAACGGAAATCGTAAATATAGAAAAAGACAAATTATATACATATCTATATATATTTTTTGAAATGTTGTTGTAGTATTTCAAAGAATAAAGGTAAGAACTAGGTAAAAAAAAAATACGAGGTCTACTTGCCTACAGTTTAAACAATTTTGTTTTTAAGAAAAACTCCACCTCGATTCAACTCACTTGAAATAAACAGGGTAAAAGATAAAGTAGAGTAAAAGCAATCCGTAATTATTATTGATGGTGAAGAATTTTTCTTACTTGGGCGAATGTAATTATTATTTTATATTACAAAAGGTTAAATGTTTTTTTTATAATAAAAATAAAGTAGAATTTTGTAAGTTTGTTGAGAAAACCCACTAAAAATATTGTTTATCATTATTCTAGATTGTTCGAATAATGATTGGAAATAAATGATGTTCGAACATTACTTTTATTTAGTTTTGTAAACAACTTTCAAAAACATTGAATCTTTGTTCTTGTAAATGTTAAGGGTACAAACGTATGGCATACTGATAAACATGTTATAATTAGACTGAATTGAGAAAAAGAAACCTGTACTTAGTATTGATTTATTTGCTTTGCATCGCAAAACCTCAAACTCATGCAATATTTATGTGTCTAGAGGGATCTATGTTTTCAATGAACACTGAAATTGTGCTTCGACAAATCATGTTTCACTTCAAATGGAATATATCTATATTTACCGTACAATCACTGGCTGATCGTGAAATTTTTACCAGTTGTTTTCCGTGTATGAATTAATATTTCTGTTTATTATTCCTTAATATCACAAGAAAATGTAAACATGCTGTTAACTAGAAACCAGCTGTCAAAATGGTGGACGTAAAGAAAGTTTCTCTTATTAAGTTCAGTTACCAAAAAAGCTTTTGTAGTACCTCTACCTATATAAAAAGAACACAGAATTTGCGGTATTTTGTTGTGTGTCAGTTCAAATTTAATGTAGCCGACAAAACGTAGAAATTTGTAAATTATCAACAAGGAAAGTATAGAAAATAAATCGGTGTATATCATGCATTTTTAAGAAAAGCATATCAGTTTTGTAAAACGAGGAAAAGTTACGCATTGAATCCTCACTTACAGGAAGCTCTTCTGAAGCCTAACTTAATCACAAAGAGAGGGGAAGGTGTCAGAAATGATCAAATATTCAACTGAATAATTTAATGTATTGTTATTTTATACAGTTAAATCATTTTTTTCATAACCAATCGTAAATATAGCATTAATTATAGACTAAATTAAATCAGCCACTGCCTCGTTCCACACAAATTCTCCAATGAATCAGAAAACAAAATCACATATAATTCATTGTAATTTTGAGATATTTATTGGATCAGCAGTTGTTTATGCTGTAGGATTATTTCTAATGCCAATAATTTCTCAACAGTAGCTTTACCCCATGAAACCCTATTAAGGTAACTGCCGGTCCCGAACTTGGATACAGGAGAAGAGTTGGACATCGGGTTAGAAACTCCATCCCGTAGAAAATAAAAATGCTAAAAGACAGCTAACCTCGAAGGCCGAGAGACCGGAACAAGCATTCGAGTTGCTGCAGAAATAAAAATTTAGAACCTAATGGTGCTTGAAATGAGTAATATCTATTGGTTAGAAAAGATTAGCTTCGGTGGAGACTCTGTTGTTCTCCAACCATGAGGCGTAAAAAACCTCACATGCAAGAACTTGCACTGATGCTGTGCAAAGATGCATAGATGGTTATAAGTGGCAACACATTCCCACACGAACACGTACATAAAGCTGCATGGGTCTCACTATACTACACTGTACAGAACCATATAAATCACATTTGCATCAACTAAAAGTTCCAATGAGCCATAGAAGACGTAAAACAAAGAAAGGTGGTGAATTAGCTTCAGATCACCACCTAGTGATGCCCCTTATGAAACTGAATCTAAAAAAGTACTGGAAAACTGGAAAATCAGTATTACAAGAGTTTCATTGACCCTTCTCTCGGGATATTAAAGCATTAAAAAAATCCAAGGTAGCTTTCAGCAATAAGTTTCAAGCCTCACAACATCCAATAAAAGAAGAGGAAACTATTATGGCGAACAACCGGAAAAATATTAAAGCAGCAGTTAGTTGAACATATCATGAGGTTCGGAGTCAAAGAAGCACGATCATAACGAAGGGATCTCTTTTGACACTCTGGATAAGATTGAAGAAAGGGAGAACGCGAAGTCAACAATCAATAACAGCCGAATATGAACAGAGACATCAAGGTCATATGTCGAATACACAGAAGTATATATAAAACCTAGCAATGACGACAGAAATAGCCGCAAGGGTAGGAAGTATAAGACAAGTATACGACACAGTGAAGAAGCTTGCTGGAAAAAATCGTCAACTAGAATGATCAGTCAAGAACAAATAAGGCGAGGCAATCACCAATATTTAGGAACTGCAAAACAACTGTGTCGAGCACTCTGGAGAACATTGGAATACACCGCCCTCAATGAACTTGGCCAACATTGAAGCAGCACCTACATACCTTCCGATAAATTTCACTCTACCAAGAATGGAAGAAATCAGCAAGGCCATCCGAAAAATCATTAGTGGTAAAGCAATAGATCTAGACAACATATTAGTTGAAGCATTGAAGGCAGATACAATGATGCACCAACCTCTCTTCAGCAAGATTAGGGAGGAAGAACATGCATTAAGAGACTGGAAGGAAGGAAACCTCACCAAGCGACCAAAGCAAAGAGATCATAGCAAGTGTGAGAACTACAGAGTCATCATCCTGCTCTGAGTACCAAGAAACGTCTTCAACAGAGTTTTGTTGAAGAGAATGGAAGATTCAGTAGGCACTCCACATTGAAATTTACTGACTGGATTTAGTGGCGATCGATCATGTGCCGACCAAAAAGTAATACTGCAGATCATTGTTCAAAAAATATTTGAATCCACCACTTTGCATCAACTTTCTCAACTTCGTGAAAGCATCTGACTAAGTAGGTAGAAGAAAAATATGGAAGCTTCTTAGACCCCATGGTGTACGTTATAAGACTGCCACCATTTTACTGAGCTTTAACAACGGACTGTACTGCAAATTAGAGCACGGAAGGCAGCTTACAGACGCGTTCCCAGTGAAAATCGGTGTCAGACAACGTCGTTTACTCTCACCCTTCCTTTTGATTGTCGACCGGGTTACGAAAATGTCAACATCTCAGGGTAAGCTCGTATGTAGCAATACCATTTGGACATTGTAGGTCATCAAGCACTTCTATCTCGAACACAATAAGTGCAGAAGAAAGCCAGTGTTGAAGCAGCTTCTGAAGCAGTAGGTCTCAACATACACAAAGGAAAAAGTAAGATCATCAGATACAACACTACATGCCTCAAATAAATCACACTTGACGGAAAAGATCTGGAAGATGTGGAAACATTTACATACCTGGGCAGCATCATTGACAAACAAGGTGGATCTGATGCAGGTGTAAAGCCATGGATTAGAAAAGCAAGGGTAGTATTTCTACAAATGAAGAACATCTGCGACTCAAAATAGTTATCGGCCGAGACCAGATGCTGAATTCCCCTGTCAACAACAGGGGATAAGTCCTGGCTGTTCATTCAACTATTTATCCAAATAACCATTTTTGACTCTGTCCAATATCTATACAATTCTATACACATACATACAGTTCTCTCATCATATTTAACCCTACTTCTCTATATCACAAATTACCTGCTTTTCCTTACCCAGCTTCATACACACAAATTAACACTTTTATAGTGCTCACACAAGATTATCTTAATCGAAAATGATATGGCCTATGATGATTTTGATTGTACTAAGAATGTTCTACTTTGTTACCTTTTCATTATTTAAACTCGCACTAATTTGTTTCAGTCATTTATTTATTTACTCTGAAGAAGTAACTTGCATTAAGTCACAAAACATCAGAAATACAAATTTCTTCTCATTGGGATATTATGAAAAAAGTATAACTATTTTATTGTTATTATTAACTTTCTACTCAGTGCTCAGTTTATTTGAATCGATTAAGTTCAACCTTGGTGTTGATACCTACAACTTTTACCAACATTTTTATATTAAGCAGAATCAATTTATAATCCAGTTGTGTTCACAGTCAAACTGAAATCACCATACCAGTGACAATCACAGTATGTTTATCAAGTCATTAGCGTAAGTGATTGATTTGAGATATAGTATTCGCTCTTTACTTTAATTAAAACTGACATATGAACAATGTAAGTTTGATACAGTTGTTTCTAATTTTTCAGATTTGAGGAGTACAATTTAAATTCGGAAACAAATCAGTCAGCAATAATGGAAGTGACTTTATATTGTCATTTAATGTTATAACTAATTATAGATTCTCAGTGTTCATGTTTACAGAAAAACATTCACATTGGAAAACAATAGGCGAATAGAAATTCATAGTCAAATCCTAGAAAAGTAAGTTAAATATACTAAGAACATTATACATAGGATATATATATAATAGCAAACATTCATTTACGTATGTATATAAATAAACGTTGGTAATAGTGTCACAGATTTCTTACATTTCACTAAAAGAAATTCACGAAATTCTTGTGGATTTTTAAATTCTGGAGGATTATGAAGTGGTGGTCCAAAAAATGGAACTGATTCTTCAGCGAATATATTAAGTCTAAAATTAAAATAAAATGAAATTTTACATAGAATCGAAAATGATTGAATTACCTGTAAACTTTTGCTTCATTATCGTATGTTACAACAGCGAAAATATCTGTTTGCCGATTGAATAGTTTAATTATTAAGGATCATATGATGTATAGATAAATAAATAAATTTGAACCTTATGAATACATTGTAAAGTCTTTAACGTCCAATAAAAAAAAGTATTTTTAATATACATTTTCATTTAGACGATATATTTAATACAACTTCATCATCTGGAAAAACAACTGTTGCTTCTGATTGTTTTTTTCCATTGAAATCGTAAATCAATCATCGTTAGATCACCATTAGGAACCTGGAAACACTGAACGACCGTTTAGTCCTTGCATGGAACTCATCAGCAATGTGTATCCACGAACGCCGCTCACAGGAATCGAACCCTAGACCATAGGTCTCGCATACGAACACCTGAACTCTAGACCACTGAGCCAGCGTCCAACGGTCCTAACGTCTAATTTTGATGAATCTAAGGATTTCATGCAACCTCACGCATTGTCTTCGGTAGTTACTGTCTATGTTAATAAGGATTCGATGGATAGTGGTTTGTAAATTCAATCAATTCTGTAGCATATTTACTGATGATTTTCTTGATAATGATTTATTTGGGCTTATTTTACTTGTTCTGCCTTGTGTTGATCCCACCGACATTTCTAGATCCAATAAAAACATACACTCTAAAAAGAATAATGACTTTGGGGTTTGACTTCATTTTCAACAGATAAATAAATGAATGTTAGTCGTGCGAACCAAAGCTTAGTAGTCAGAACATCTGAAGTTGTTCTGAAGTATAAATATTTAGTATTAAAATAATCTCGCATGTACTCCATTTTTATTAAATTATCATAATTTTGGTGGAAAAGGATACGAGTAAAATGAGTTCTCATCATAGACGGAGTCCATGATGGTTGTTCTCCAGGTGGACATCCATCAACAAATATAATATTGACAATATCATTACCAACATGGCGTTTTCGTTCAATCTAGAGAAAAGAAAAAGCATACTATGTATCTATTCACTAAAAAATTAAAATTTTCAGACTGATTTGTTGATCGATATTATTCCTATGCTAAATAAACCTATCAGTAGGAGATACATGCGTGAGATACATTTTCAAATATTGTGACGAAACTCATTCACAAGTGAAAATGAACTAATACTTTAAATTACTAAACAAAACTAGTCATGAAACAATTAGGTTTATTCAGAGACAGTCATCAAGCCAGTTGTAGATAATTTGACGTTATTTATGCTCAAAGGTCAACAGAAGCAGAAACATCAATGTCTGTCTATTCATCGAACCAAGATGCATAAATTAATGTTTCCTCACATTGGAGCACATCACCTTCACTTCAGTCTATTTACATTTAATTTGCTTATATCCTTTAGTCTCTAGTCCTAGATCTGACTGGTAAATAAATGCAAGTAATAAAATGAAGTATCAGATGATAATATTTTCAAGCGGAACCGAGCTAATATTTGGAAAAGATAAAATGCCTATACAAGTGGTTGAAAAATTTAAAAATTAGAGTTATCAAGGAAATACTTAACATTCAGACAGAAGTAGTATACAGCAGTTACAAGCTCAGTTTTACCAGAGATGAATCCATAAAGTCAACCTCTTCTGACGAACTATGTCAAAATTAGTCTATGGTTTAGTTCAACAACAGCGACGGCGTATAATTCCCATTAGAATAGGTATTGGACAGAAAATAAATTCTGTGTTTAAACTATATTCTCCGCAAAACACATATACGAAATATAATATCCGGAACGCACTGAAGTGTATTATTTATTAAATAGCATGATAAGGTAATGTTTGTTGAGAAAAAATGTCATTTGGAGAAACATTAAAAACTAGGTAAAACTAATTTGATGTCTGATTCAAGGCCATTAAATTTAGTATTGAATATTGATCTTTAGAGCCAGAATTTAAAAGCTTACTTTGACCAGTTTTATTACAGTATAAATGAGCTTTGCTGTAAGAGTTGAAAACCCATGTCTGTGGAGTTATAATAATTATATCTTCTATACCCCAATATACAGTCTAGTCATAAAGTTATACCCTGTTATATGTTCATAGGATACAAATAGTTTATAAATAAATACTTCTTATCTCTTTTGTCGTAAATTTGAAAAGAATACAATTCCAGACTAACAAACAGCTGAATTATTAATAAAGTTTTTAATTACGTGAGTATCTCTAAGCGAAAATTATGTCTAGTCAGCTAAGTAATCAATGTAATAATGACCATTAATTGACATAAAGTGTTTGTTAAACTACTGTTTCAAAGTAGGAAACTACTATGAAATTAATGTTACAGAAGCTGCGGTTAACATCTGCAAATTAAAAACCACAAAATAGGCATCATTTTATCTTACATTCATTAATTATTCATAGTCAAATCAATTTATATCTGCTCTCACTTACTTGTTGTCGATTCTCTGTAGAATATGGCAATAAAGTGGATACATGAAACATTATTTCATGACCTTCATAAATTGTATATACTGAATCAATACCGGTTGTATTCGCTGGAATGATAAATTAAAATGTAACCATAACATTTGATGCTCATAAGGAAAAATTACGTCTGTTTAATGTGGTTATTATATCGAAATTTTATACAGACATTCATTCTTGACAGAGTTCACTTATGAACCTAATAAGGTAAATGGTGTTTTCTAAGTAGATGTTTACAAACTGATTCATCTTAGATAGGAAACTGACATATTAAACTGTAGCTATTGTGAAATATTTTTCAAACTTTCTTCTCAGAATGTGCAAGTATGAAACCGGTTTATTAGAAAAGATGAAATAGAATTGAACAAGAACTGATTAATCTGTTCATGCTGAACTTGTAGTTGCCTTCAAACAACCAAGAAAAATTTTCACTGCTCCTGACTTTTTAATGACAAACTGCATAGAATTGATTTGTGATAAATTATTACTATTAAAAAGTGATCAATGAATTTAAAAAGCACCCGATATTTATATACGCATTTATGAGTCAAATTGTAAGCGGTCTTTCATTTGAATCTTAAACGTATTTCGTATATATTTACTACGATGAAGGTTGTTATGCTTAGAACTATGTTAAGAAAAAAGTACAACTTCACTGTCTATCAAGCTGAAACTATGACTGACATAAAATTCTTTTTATTATCATGAGAATATAAATATCACAGTGATGGGCGGTTTCAATTTGAAACATTATTAACACTGTATTTTCATTAGGAAACAGTGCCTAACCACCGACTGCCTCGACGAGCTTTGTTTTGTAGTGTAGGAATAGGTTGGAAGAAACTAGGGGCGGCTAAACCAAAACATGGTGCAAATCCATGAAGTCACTGAAAAGTGGACTGAGCAATCTTGTCAGATGTAAGCTACCTGGTTGGGGTCGGCGAGAAGAAAGTCACCAATGGTTAGAGACCTTGAATGACATGGATCAAAATCGTTTGCAATGGCACAGGTGTGTTCAATCTTTGTGTTCTCTCAAACCCTAACCTTTTGAATTCATCAGCATCTCTTTGGCTTTCTAAAATTATCTCCCTGAATTATACTTCTCGAATCAGATCTTCGAAACCTAATCTTCTCCATTACCACTAATACTTCTAATACCTTTACTACTATTGGATTTGAACTGACAATTGCGTCTCTGTGCTGATGCTGTGTACCAACCTGAACTTATGTACTCGTGTACGAAGTTCTACGTTGTAACTGCTGAGTGACTGACTGTCTTTCAGTATCATCACTTTAATTAATGAGTTGATCGGATGAGGCTTTTTCTTCATCTTAAAATCACATTAAATTTTGTCACTTACATTTTGTATCCAAACCTCCTTTAAATCGATCCCATGATTTCAAGTTAATTCTTTCTCCGAGAAGATCAACAAAACGCTCGAATTGTTCACTGCCTGTTTCTATAATTAAAATAAATTAAAAATGTTTGCCTTGATTGCAAGATTACATATTAAACAATCATACTTTTAAATTTAACCAGCATACATTTTCAACAGGAAAAACGTATTTTTTTCAATGGATTGTAAAATTGTATATTTACTAGAGGCTTTTCTTTTCAACTTGGAAATATTAACTACATTGAATGTAGACAATTTTTGGCTTACATTCTGACTTCAGTTGCTTGTAATCAACCAATTAATAAACTTGTAATATGATCGGATTTGTAAGTGAAATATGAAATTTATGTTATTATTACGAGTGATTAGTTAAATTTACATTAGTTAGCCACTGAATTATATGTTAATCGAATAAAATTTCGAAAACAGCTAGCATAACTCTTCGAAAACTGTCTAAGGTTTAATCAAAGATTATAAGTGTTTGGTATGACAGTTCTTACACTTTTCTGTATACTAATCTCGAATTATACCTAATCAAATTGCGTGTATCACTGTGTGTTGATACTATTGTGGTTGGAGGTAGAATTCTCTATAAAGAAATATATATGAAATTATTAGCGATGCGATATAGAAAACACAACCAGAAATCGAATGATCAATACAACTCGTTTTCCAGATAATTTTATCATTGTTAAAGAAATGTAAATTTATTCAACTCAAACAAAAAGAAAAATTGATATGAACAAAATAAAAAAAAATTTTCGATGTTCATTCTCTTTTCTCTCTGTGTGTATTCGTGTATCGCATGTAAAAAATAAATCTACTAGATAGGATTAATATTTCATAATAAATATTATTCTGTTTCTTTTTGTCTAGGTTTTCAAGCTTTCATGAATGATGCAATATTCAACCAAATAAATAAAAAAAAATAAAGAATTGTTTTTTTTATCGAAAATTCTGTTTTTTTAAAAACTCAATATTTCATTTATCTTCATTATTCAAGAGCATTTATTTTAATGGTAATGTATGGATAATTCATTAATGGTTTTTTTAAAACAAAAGGAGTACAAACAAAACAACATGGAAAAAAAGATGGCTGAAAGCTTCTCACAGACATTTAGATTTGAAGTTAGATTTAATATTCCAGTCAATTATTTATGATCAGTGATAAAGAATGATGAGAGATATTGAACATATCGTCCATTGATTACTGTCTAGGAATTGCAAATCATAGACAGTGGTGAGATCGCTCAAGATCATTGAAATCAAGATATATTCGAAATTTAAACTAGTAAGAACACAACATCGTAATTAACCTTTAGATTACTTATAAATTATTCTCATTTAAAACCAACAACATATCTGATCTTGTAGTCAGTCAATCAGCTGAAACTTTGAACTTGATCCTCAGACCTTAAGTTGTTGTTTTTACTAGCACCATTCTCCAATCAACCTGCCTGGCATGGTAGGACCTAAGGCAACAAACGTTCCAGCCAGTAGAGCTCGGTTATGTCATCTCGATCGATATGCAAGCTCAACCACCACGTCGAAGTGGCAGCTACGGTCGACTGACCTCGTAGAGTCCAGATCATGAATGCAAAATCATAATCCCTACATAGTTTTCAAAAGTTTCGGTTTTAAAGTTTGGAGAAATAGCGAGGGTGACTATCATGAACTGATGCCAAGGATCGACTATCCCGCAGAGTCAGCCAGAATGTACTTGTTCTCATGGAGCTGACATCACATACTCACCCGAGCGCAGGCACTCAGCCAAGCTGGATTGTCCCCACCACATATGGATGCGCAGACATCATGTTCGATCAAGGGCCAATAGGTGCAAGACTCCATTCACCGAACTGGAAACCCTTGTTTAAGGGGGCTCATCGCCAGTTACCACACTATACCAAGCAACTAGAGTGCTCAAGGGACCACACAGGGTTGTTCGTCACATAGTCCATGATCTATGCGGCTGCTTCTCTGAACAAAGTCCAAGGCCGTTCTAAGAACCCTGGATCTGCACCACATTTAAAGTATTCACTACAGCATTGCAAGCACCACGCTGCCACCCAGCATCAAAGCGGACGTGATAGACGAGAAGTCCTCAAATCATTATGACAAGCAGGAGTGAGTATCAGTGTTTGCACCCCCGTACCTTAAGGTCAAAGCGCTTTTTATGGTTATTGTTCTAACATAACGCCAGACCTGGTTGACCCAAACGAACCTGGTCCCGACACCAACAGGAATACGTAGGCTGTGCATAACCACGCTTTGTATACTGTGTGCCTTCGCCAGATGGAAGGAAGATCGGTTTAAAGGCTTTCGGTCTGTTTTTCTCAACTTTGCATCCAAAGACTCACGTGCGTGGACACATACCTTTAATCTAGACTTGCTCCTCCTTACGTACGATCGAACATGTGTGATTTGGCCGCTGCTCTATAGACAGCGTGTCGATTCTAGCGAGGCCACGAAGAGCTAGTCGCCATCACAATTCTCAGAAGGCTCCATATATGCCGAAGCATTTGGCATTGTATCTTTTAACAGCTGATACTTAAAAATCCTTCTGTGAAACATCGCACTACACTACTCATCGCCAACTATTTTTAGTTTCTCTTTATCCTAATGGATCGGTGACTGGTGGTTTGTACCACATTCTTATTTTTAAATAATTACTAATGAAGATATTCGTGGCTGAAAATTATTTTCCCCTAGTGGAAACCTGAGGCTTCGTTAAATTCATCCATTTTTGAATAACGACAAGCATATTTCTCTCATATTATTTTGAGATTTTGACGATGTGTGTCTGGTGAACACAATTTTACCGAAGTTGTACTCTTTGAACTAGACGGATTAGTTATGATGCTCTTATTGTTATTCTAGACACCATCAAAGTCAAAAATTTCCAAGTTGCATTTGAAATGATACCAACCCATTAGAAATGCACTGCAAAACTACAATTTCTTCCCAGTAGAATATGTTATTGAAATGAATGAATGTTTAATAAAAATCTACGGTTTTTCACACCTTGTTTTTTTTAATACTGCTGATTTATTTCCCTTTCTATATTTCATTTTAGTTTTTAAGCATGAATTTCCATTTTGTATCTAATAAATTAAAGCTGTCCGCAGAGAATTTTCAGTATGAATTACGTACAAGTTTAAACAAGTTTCATTTATCTTCTGTCAATCAAATTATTAGTTCAAAGAAGAGAGAAATAACTGCTTATTTTTGTGACTACGTTCAGTAATATTTTGTAAATTAAAAAATGCAGTAGAGTATGTTTAACATTTTAAGGCTATGAAACAGTGACGAATAATAATTATTTTTTTGCACTATGGGGTTGTGGAGATTGTTGAGTTACTTTCTGAAATCATCAATCGATCATTGTTAGACCAACATTGGGAACCTGTAATCACTGGACGGCCATTTCGTCCTGGAATGGAACTGATCATCAATACTCATCCACAACTCCTGCAACTCACAGGATTCGAACCTAGGGCCTTTGGTCTTGCGCGCAAACGCTCAACCTCTGCTGTTTAGTCCCATACCAGGACGAAACGGCCGCCCAGTGCTCCCAGGTTTCTAATTGTGGTCTAACATTGGTCGATTCATGATTTCAAAAGAAAATTGTTTTTTTCGTTATTGTGCGATTCGAAATGATGTAGAATGGATTAATGCAATGTGATCTTCTTAATCAAAGATCAAGATAGTACATTTTCAGGTTAGACAGGATTTTTAATTTTTGGTAAAGATGGAGTAGTAATACTGATAGTAACGTCTTTTACAAATGTTCAACATAAAAAATCGAATGATTAGTACACACCCTTAGATAAACCCTTTTCATAGCCTGAGAACAATTTTATTCAATGATTTTGACAATTATTTAGATCGTTGTATAATGAAACTTTCAAAGCACTTACCATTGTTATACATTTCTTGATCTGATGTTTGACCTTCAATGCAATAAAGTACGCCAAACTTAAAATTTACTGAACCCTTTTGCAAAGAAAACAATAATAAAATATGACTCAATGCAATGTATTTTTTGATTGATGTGAGGTGATAGTATGTTAAATTTCAAAACAACTCATTATCCTTTCAATGTCGATTCAAAAGTTTAGTTTAGTTAGTATCAAAGAAAACCTTATTCTGTTGTAATCCTATCAATAAAAATATCGACTTTTGCTACATTAACTTGCTAATATTTATGCAGTTTCACATGTTTTAAAGATAGAATAATCATTGAAAAATACCTCATCGATTAAGATCCTATTGAAAATAATTAAGCACTGAACAGATGTTTCCTTCTAATTTGGAATTTCTCAGCAGTGCCCACTCACGACCTCATAAAGGATTGGACACAGAACATTCTGTGTCCTAGGTTGAAATACTAGAACGAAACAATTATTTCGCGCCTTCTGGGTCTTATTAGTACGTCAATCAATATCAACCTGTGACGATTTATACCTTCAAAGCATTTTATAAATACACATAATCACAACTATTATCAGTGGGATTTTGTCTTCTTATTCTTGAATTGATTGACTCATTAACCTTCCAGTTGTGTCATATGAATAGACTCTTTAAAAATATAAACAACCAGATAATGATGCACTGTTGAATTGAGATACTTCATTAGAATGATAAATAAAAGCTAAGTCCCATGTTACATAGTTTTGTGATTGAATGTTTTTCATATGATATTATTATGTATATATGTATATACATATATAAATATCAACACTGTTTTTTCACCTCAAGTTGACCTCAAGAAACATTTAAAAAAACAGATTATTATGCTCTCATTAGTAATAACCACTTTAGAATTAATGTTTTAGTCTTAGGTTTAATGTATAAACCATAATTTATTGCAAAAAAATGGTTCGCAATTAATAAGTATATTAATGAGTTTTTTTTATTAAAATTCATCATACGATATTATTTACTATTTTTCAATACTAGAAGTAAGAAATCGCATTGTTTCGTTAGTTTCAATAGAGGGAAATAATATAGATTCAGTTTTATGGAAACTTAGGGAGCGGGAGTCGTAGATGCGCACTGCTAATGAGTCCCATACTAGGACCAAACCACTGTCCAGTGCTTCCAGGTTTCTGATGGTTGTCTAACAGTCACTGATTCATGATTTAAATGTGAAAATTGATAAGTTTAATAACTTATAATATGAAATCGGTTCTTACTTCTTGTTCTTCTAAGGTGAGTGCATCTTTCTGTGCTTCAAAATTCAATATTTCACGCGGTCCTTTCTCTACACGATGAATATCAAAAAAGCTGTTAAAAACAAAAAAAGGAATCTGGGAGATTAACGAGTACAAAGATGTTGAAAGTCAAAGAACTGAATCGTAAATCGTAAAACAGTTAATATTTAATTTATTGAATAGCTTAATTACATAATAAACCATGCAATTTTCGTTGACGGATTTTGTTCTTATCGGTAATGATTTATAAATAAGAATGAAACTAAGTTCCTTAGTTTGTCTCCCTCAACCAGTTCACTGAAACTTTATTCAACACATAGCTGAATTGAACAGATCAAAACAGATTAAAGCAATCGTTACTTTTTAAAATAGATTTTTAGCTTGCTCTAAGCTTATTCCATACAGTGATAATTTTCATTTAGAAATCTGATGAATCCCTAAATCAATTCTATCATACTTTTCTGCTGAGAAAAAATTTCACTTACACAATAAGTTTATTTGACAAATATAGAGCAAAAATTGTTATCGAAATACGAGAAAAATTCGTTGGGAATAAACTGACGTCAATTCATCAAACTAACAATATGAAAAATAGAAATGAATTTTGTCTCACTGTTTATTCACTCTTTTTTCTTTAATACAATAGTTCTATTTCATTCTGTTAATTGTAAATTTTATCAAGCTTATCAGGATAGAACAATATTAGCTACTACTGATTTAAAAAGTAACCAATGAATCAAAAATTATTTTCTGGACAATGGTTGTTCTCTTGTTTTGTTTGATCAAGCAAAACTATTTTTAGTTTGAACATTAATGATAAAAAATGAAATACTTTTTTCCGAAAACCTCATTATTATTAACGTGAGTTGTTTGAGTGTTGAGTTAAGGAAATCAGATACGAAGTAAAACGTAATTTTAAGACTTTGAGCTTTCTAGTAACGCAACAAAGTATAGTAGACCAAAAATTATCAGTAAAAATATGTCTGACGTCAATTTACTAATTACATTAGTAATTAACTGGTTATATGACAACGTGATAAAATTTATTGATGTGTTTATGGAGAACGTTGAAAAGGACGTTAACAAAGATTTGCAGATGATAACTTTTTCAAAAGCTCTGTGAAATTGATAAAAGTGATAAAATCCAGCTGCATTTCATCTCTTCCTATAATGCTTTTGATCTAATGACAATACTGAGGCAATCTGCACAGAATACACATATACCAAAACAGACAGACCAATTGCATTCCTAAATATCAATTGGAAAGATTTCCATAACCAATCAAAACGAATTAAAATTCATCCTATTGCACAAGTCAGTGTCTATCTGAACTCAGTAGTTTAGTGAATAACGCAATGGCTTTTGATGCCAGTGGTACCGGGTACGAAACCCGGGTAGAACATCGAATAGGGGATGCAAGTACATCCAACTGATAAGTTGCGCATAAGACGACATGTACATCATCGATGTTTGTACTGTTATTTTATTGTAATCAAAATCTATCTTCTAACTTACTTTAATACCTTTTTTGCGGTCAATGCATTTGTTGGATTATATGATATGCACAATTTTTGACTACCCTATTAAAACAAAAGGAAAATATTGATTATTATTGTCCAATAAAAAAACAAGTATTCAAAAACTCTGCCATGTCACCGTCAAGTCAAATGGCTATAAACATTTCTTCAGATTTTCCCAAGATGAGTTCGTATATGTACAGCAGTTTAAGCAACAGTAACTCCCTTACCATTAGACCCATTAGAAACATATAATGCAAATGATATCAGTTACATGAAATGACGTATCTTTATTCGGGAACAACTCGATGTTGTTTATTTCTGAAGATGTACAGTTTACTTCAAGTAGACAAATAAACGGAAACCTAATAATTTAGCGCGAAGCTTAATTGCTCGGTATTAAAATGCGTAATTGACGTGGGCACTCCAAGTTTGTTTACTAAATATCAAATTTACAGTTAAACTGCATACAGCTTAGATAGTTCCCAGTTCTATTCGATATTATGGAAACAAATAAATTTGACGATAATTTCTATCACAAACTGATGCTGAAAGCCTGAAAAATCGATCAACTGTTTCTTATCAGTGTCCATATATAACACCATTGACGACCATTAACTCTCGAAGTTAACAAAACACACAGTGAAAACGATCACATAGATAATTACTACAAAATTACTAGATTAAGTAACTATATCTTACTGTTTTTCTCCATAAAATGGCACGATATTGACTAATTCCATATGTTTGTATATCATCTTTGGCAACAGCCAATAGAAATGGATCACGTTCAGTGAGGTAGCCACAATGTAATTGATGATCTGAATCATTTAAGAAAAATAAATAATGATGGATGAACCGCAAATGAAATGTTCTAGAACTCAAGTTGTCATGATGATCATTTATCTATGAACTATTTAATGTTCATTGTTTTACAATGTTAGGGACTTGTATTTGCTGTGACTAGTGATGGAAGTGTTTCAAACTAGTTCTCACAGTGAACTGTATTACTGAACTGTAAAATAAATTATATTCTTGAGTGGTTTGGTTTTATTTTAAAATATTGTTTCTAATTAATCTTTGGTGCTTATTATCAAGTACATTTTAGTTGACTTCATTAATCTCCAAACAGCAGGGAATAGATGTACAGTATATGTACACTATATGTACATGTTTATGTATATCATCTACTTAGATAGTGAATCCCTTTTATTCACTCGTCATTTAGGACATTTATGATAGCCATTAGACGGCCTTTTCATTTCTCCACTTCTGATTAGTTCGCTATATCAAACTATTTGAATGGATTATCAGCAGCAAGAATAACTATTGTCTTCACAAAATAATCTAATATTATATACTTTGTATTCTTTGGTTAATTTGCTCAAGAAGTACCTTTCGGTGATAAATATTTTTTGATAGAACAGTGAGAAGAGGTAATTGATCTGAAAAATGTAAGGTATTTGCGCTATACAGTTCGAACAATCTGGTCACACTTTACTTTATATGAAGATTAATAAAAGGTCAATTAAATAAAAGTTCAAATAGACATAAGGTGATAATTGTAAATAAAGGAGAGAGAAAATTAACGTAATATGAAAAGAATAAGAAAAAGGGTAGGAAAATTGTTACATTATCCTAGACTTAAAGATTACCAGGGTAAATCCAAGGTTATGACAAATTGTTTCTGCACACATTAGGGGGCTTTCAATTTTCGAATAGCCAAGGCCTCCATAAACCTCAAAATTCGTCCTCCAACATGTCTATACAATGTTTTGAAGGCTGTCTTGATGTCAATCTTATTCCCTGTCTCAGTTATGTGTTTTGAGATCGATGAATATGGTTTTCTATTTCCCACGCTAATCGGCTCATCTGACGTTAACTGATTTTGAAGCCACTTAGGTACATGTTCCATAACCCTTGATTGCAAAGTCCGACTACTCCTCCCAATGTATGTCTGTCCATACAAACATGTAAATTGATAAATGCAGTGGGATGTGATGTAATGATTAGAGCACGTTTAGGTCTAACTTTACGTTTAATTTCTGATTCAGAATATTCTACGAAATGTTTTCACCGAGTTATTTTATGAACTGTTAAGTGAATATTACGTTAATTTTCTCTCTCCTTTATTTACAATTATCACCTTATGTCGATTTGAACTTTTATTGAATTGACCACCTTTTATTAATCTTCATATAAAATGCCTTGACAAGTAAATATGTGTGACCAGATTGTTCGAAATTTGTATATCTCAAATACATCAAATTTTTCAGATCAATTACGTCTTCTCACATTTTTATCAAAATTTATAAAAGGGACTAATTGTTTTAAATAGCATGTCAGTTTCAATCTGTACACTTAAATAAACAAAAAAGCTTTTATGCGAAAATTCATCCAAATATCATTTGAATTTTTGTTTATATTTGCATTTTCTTACTAAAAGAAGCATGGAAATCTTGTTCAAACAACAATCTAACTCTAGGCAATTCTTGATTTTGAATATCAAAGTGATAAAAATCCATAGTCAGTTTGAGAAACATTCCCGTATGTTTGTATGTGTGTGCGTGTGCGTGATATGTACAAACCCCCAACTGTCTATCAAAAGTGAAAGCATGATGAACAAGCAAGCGTTCACTTGTTAAGAAGGATATTTTTTTTATTTGAAAGCGAACAAACAAAAGCAGATTAAAAATTTAGTAAAAAGAATAAAACAATGAACAAAATTACTTTTTTTTTTACTCACTACTTATGTCAATAACAATGCAATAATAGTTTTAAAAGATGAGAGGAAGGAATTATTGCTAGTTGGATTTGAAGAATAGCTATTCTGTTTTAAAGTATGGATTATATTTTTTTATAAGTATAGGAGTAAAATTTGTTTATTTGTCCACAATAGAAAGATATCAAATTTCTAGATCATTTCAAGGAGGCTCAGTGATCATTTATTTGATGCTTAGTGTAATCAAACTCATTGGGTGTTGTCTAAATTCACTCACATTAAATAGAAATTGAAGAAGAAAAATGCTTTCATTACACATTGAACCTCATAAACGTCTTCATAATATTCATCTAAACTCTAAACATGACTGACATCCTAATACAATTATCTAAATGTCAACAATATGGTTAAAACAATACCGAAGGTCCTGGGTTCGAATCCTGCGGAGTGCAGGGGTCGTAGATGGGCAGTGATGATGAGTCCCATACCAGGACGAAACGGCCGTCCAGTGCTTCGAGGTTTCTAACGATGGTCTAACATTGATCGATTCATGGTTTCAAAAATGTGTAACTTAACAATCTTCACAACCTCGTAATGCACATGAAATAGTGTTTAATTTGTAGTATGAGGTATGTTGTAGAGATCTATTTTGCATTTACTATGCTAATCTACTGTCATAACCCTATCTATTTAAAACATTTCTTTTTGGCTTCTATTGAAACCAAATCATTTTAACATAGAAGATATCGTTATGAATAGTTACTATGGTAACACATTTTTATTAATTTCTTGATTAATAGATGAAGCTATCAACTGAGCATCAAAACAAAGCCAATTTATAACTACTGCAATTTTGTGGATTAATTTGTGAAATACTCAGAACTTGGTTATAACAAAATGAATCAATAAAACATTTGTGGAATTGTTTAGATTTACTGAAAAGTGAAGTTATTTTTTTATGTTGTACAGGTTGTATTATCCTAACGAATAAACAATTTCTACTGCATTGATCGTGTTCTGAAACATTTAACAGCACTACGGTATATATACTGTGTGCTTTATTCACAGGCATATTTGAATTTCACTTCTATATAATAAACAAAATGAGAACTTTTATCATTATGTAGTGAGCAGTTTATTGAAAATATTTTACTTCGTCATATCTCTGCGAGTTAATATAAGTGACATATGTTAGAATTTTGCTGAAATAAAAATATATTTCTGTGAAAATACAAATCTAACTAGTGCTCACCAATAAAATATCGAATAGGTTGTTTCTTATTTATTAGTTTTATGTAACTTTTACTGAACTTATTGCTTGTTCATTTAGAAAGAACGCTTGATCTATTTCAAGAAATACTAAAGAATGAGTAATGAAAAAAATTATTTCATCCAGTCATAGATTTATTGGATTTAATATCAACTTGGGTTACAGTATTTTGTGCAGAGATGAATGATGATGACTAGCAGTGGAGTCCAAGACGAACATTTTATCCTATTTGGCACTCGTCAGTTGTAAATACCTACGTCTCAGAGTTGATGTTCACTTCGAGACTTAACAGCAATATCGAGGTAGTCTACACAGAGTGTACATATGCCAAAAAAAAACTGATCAATTACTGTCGAAAACATCCATGGAAAGATTCAAACAACCAATACAAACGGAATATCTTACAATATGTTTGTCAACTATCACCAGGACTACAGAGTTATAACTTAACAATCCAATTATTAGACATAATATCTACTTCTCATGTTATGTGCCCTAAATAAAAAACAAATCAAAATTTAAAAAAAAAACCTAAATTCTCATCTGATCAATAAATTATTACAAAAACAGATTAACCTTGAAGTTCAGTAACTCTATAATTATATAGTATTTCCAAATGAAGTGTTAAAAATTAAGAATAATAATTATAGATAAGAAAGAATTTACAATCTTTTAAATCAAGATCATTTTAAATCTCATTGAAATAAATAATTCTGTTTGATATTTATACTAAAACAAACAGAATTTTAATATGTGTATGCTTCAACAGTTTCAAGTAACACAAATATTTCTGTTCAAGCGTACTTGTGTGACCTAAAACTCAAATATTTGAAAATAAATTAGATTGTAAAATTCACTTGATTATATATATATATATATATAGTCAAGTTCATGAAATCCGATCTCTTTAACACCGAAAGGCTTTATCGTTTCGATTTTATTTTCAAAATTCATTTTTATGCCAAGTTTAATATGAAGCATTGTAATTATTTATGCTACTTAGTTTGGTTATATTCTTTTGATAAACAATAGAATAATACTTGAAATATGACTATCCATCTTTTTTTACTCTTATTATTATTATTATTATTTCAGTTCATTTTCAAACGACCTTTACGCTCTGTTCATTAAATTCAACGTTCAATAAATGACCTCAATTTTGACTTGATGAAGAGGTTTCTAATGAACTGAGGAAATTATTCATACTTTATATTTGGATTGTTTCATGTATCCTTTTTTCTGCTTTCATAAAGCAGTATGATTTAATAAGTAAAGTAGAGTATTCAACAGATGGAAAATGAAAGGTGATTTCTGATCGGTCAAAGTATACAGTCTTAATGATTCGAAAAATCGCTTCTATCTCATAGTCTACATTTTGAATGAAAAAAAAGTAGACTATGTGAACAGTACACTCTAATGGTTGTCTATTTTGCAGCAATACGCAAATCTCGGATAAGTCTAGTTTCATTACATTTTCAACGTAGTATATCTGTTTTCTGGGCTATAAACCAAGCTGAACAAATTGAAGACCTTTTCCAAGACTCTCATTCCATTTCACATAATTTGCATTAGTAAGCAACTTTCTTTGGCATATTTTTTTTTCTAGTTAACCTAGTTTAGAAAAACACTACAAGATAGATACAAACCTCAATTCTTTACTTTAACTGATCATTAATTAACAACCGGGGTGTTGATCAATGAAAACATTTAATTTATTGTTGTACTTTTAGGTTTTTATTCTATAAATCTGCTTTATACATTAGTTAGGAATATTTTGTGGCAAATATCATTGATCGAATTCACGATATTCAAATAGTTTTTATTATTTCAAAACATAACTAAACAATAGTATTTACAATCTACGGAAATTGATGAAAAGAGTTTTGAAGCTGAAGTTTAATCTAAGTCGCTCAAATCAGCTGAGTTTTTTCTACAGCCTATAAGAAATTCATCATTTTGTTTGAGATTTTCATTAATGTTACCAAAACAGTCATCACAAAATCTATTAGTCTACGATTAATCACCTTTTAATTGAAAACTATCCATATGGACTAAAACCGAGATCCTAAAATTTCTATAAATACATTTCAATTGCTAATGACCAAACAGAAATCTTAAATGAACAAATGCAGTTGATACTGAGAATTAAACTGAGCATGATTCTCAGTACTATTAAGAAATCGATGGACATATACATGACTGCCTAAATTATTCTGTAACTCAGTAGTTTTAAGCTTATTCAAAATAGGCATGTTTGTTCGTTATATTGATAACTGCCATCATATCATGAAGTTACAGCCGGTACCTTACAGCAGTACCCTTATGAGTCCCCTGTTAGGACGTTCAGTTCTTCTAGGTTTCTAATAGTGGTCTGACATTGATCGTGATTTCAATGAAACTTCACAGCCCTATAGTTTTCAGTTTTTTTTTGTCTTTAACTATTGCATATCTATATGCTGGAAAATGATAGCTCCAAATAATCTGAATAAACATACGATAGCGCTTGATAATATTGAAAGTTATCGTCATTTTGAAGGTCAATTTTACTGATGTTTGCCAGAAAAACTAAATAAAATACTTTAGTGAAGATGGTGAAGAATTCAGAAGATTAGAATTTGAGGGAAGACAAAGAATGGAAGCATCTGCGCAATTACAACCGATTTTCAGGCCATGTCAGTCAAAGTCTTTATTCATCGGTTACTAGTGTCACCGGGAACCCATACCCGGTAATCTACACCTACTAATATGCCTCAGTTCAGTTGTCAAGGACTTCATGGATTTGTATCATGTTTTGGTTTGGCTGCCGCTAGCTTTCTTTTTCTGATACTCATTTTAGTGATAGACACTGCCATAGAACCTCACGATGGGCAGAGTCAAATGTCGGCTTAAAGCCGAGGAATACAACTATAGTCGGATGTCGAAATATATGTTTATGTTCAGGGACTCAACGAAGTATGAATATATGGTCTCTCCATTCCCGTCAAGGTCTAAAACAAGCCTGGTTTTCTCTAGTCTGCTCTTCACCAGCTTTAGTTAGGCGTTGAGGTGTTATCGAGTCTACCATTTTACACAATATATTAGCTAGACTGATTCCAAGTGTTTTTAACAAGAGGACTTTGTATTTTCTTATAGACCGGGACAACCAGTGATTTAAACCAGTCAGATAGGATTACGCCCAGTTCCCAGATTTTACCTAAGATCTCAGATAATCTAAGCACTGAAACTAGATCACCATCCCTAGATGTCTCAGAGGTAAAGTAGATTATTTTATATTTTATTTTCTGTTCTTCTGAAGTTCTGTTCCGTTTCAAACATCAGTCTCCACTTCACTGACTAAAATATGTAAACCCGTTTGGTTTAACAATACTACTCTTTCTTTCTTTACGTTCTCTGCAGTTGAAACAGAAACAATTTAATTAACTGATGACATACTGAATTGAAATTGAAGCAAATCTTATGTCTTTTAATCTAACTATGTTTATCTCATGATGATCATAATAACTTGTTTTGTAGTCTCATGTTTTATCAAAACATTCTAGCTTGGTGTTTCTTGCAAAGCAGTAGCTTGTTAGTGGACTATTCAAACTTTAATATTTTCATCAAGTAATCGATATATATATATATATATATATATATATATATATATATATATAATTCATTGTGTAAATTACTGCGTATACTGTTTGGTTTGTATTATTTCAATTTAACCTTTATTTGTTGGTGTAGCCATGTTAACCGGTGAAACAAGCTTTAAGTAACAGACTGATAGTTCAATGCAGAGTGATTCGCTTTATCAGTACTACCGTAGAAAACCACTAACCATTGAGTCCTTGAAAATCAGACCTCATGACAAACAAAAAGAACACTACTTGATGAATCATTATCCAATGGTCCACTGATTCTACTACAGTTCTTAGAAAACTAACATTCCAAATGTTAAGTATTATTATTATTATTATTATTATTAAAATTTTGCTCCAAAATTACTGGGTTTTTGTCAAGTTAACTGGTGCAATAAAAATAGAGCTATTTGTCCTACATTTGAAGCATCCTTTCACTAAGAAAAATAATCTGTTCTATTAATACATCATTTAATATAATTCTTAAGCATGAAGTAAATATTAGTTAACTATCTAATAAAGAAAATAGTTGAGTATTGTGCATACGCTTTGTCAATGATGGAAAATGTTATGCGAAGGTATGAAAGTCAGTTTTCGTTGTCTCTATAAGGCTGATTTGGAAATTTTGAGGCATCAGTGAAGACTGGTGCCAGTGTTCATCATTGTTAATAATAATTCTAATGAACTTGTTAATAAATACTACTTACAAACTTTACATAACGTGATACATAGGGAGAAAATATCTGAATGTCCAACAACTCAGAATTTAACACAAGTAATCTTTTCACGAAATAGATAACTTTTTATTGTTAGTAGAATTTTGATTAGTAAAATGGAACAACAAACAAGTTTAATCAATTTATTTAAAACGAATATTAATTCTTTGTGAAACATGTTTTTAATTGCTATAAAAGATTGAATATTTATTTAAATTGTTTGTTGTATTGAACTATGATGAATTGTAATATCAGTAAACTTAATTGTTTTATATTATTTGATTCACTGATTCGTAAAGAGTGAAATTATGATTATTAATCAGAACTGATGATTGGATAAAACTGTCAAAGAAACAGTTGCAATATATTTGGAAAATACTACTACAATTCTTCTCTTCAAATAACTCATTCAATCCGAAAATCAATTTATTATAAGCAAAAATGTCTTAATTTCATCTGGAGCCCTTCTAAGGTTACTGCCGGTCCTAAGCCCGGATAAAGCAGGAGGGTTGGGCTCACTAGAAAAAACACCAGCCAGAAAAATAATTCGCTGTTCGGCGGCTAATGATCCATTAAGGGTAATAGGAGTAAGTAAGCAACTTAGTAAGTAAAAATGTCGCTATTTAATCATTTTAGCTAAAAAAAAACCTTTTCTCAAGCATTGTAAAGAAATATTGTTGATTTATCGTGATATCTTTAACAATTCAAAAAAAAGATGAAATCTTGTTACTAAGATATATGTTTACAAAATAGTCTGACTTTAATAATAGCTGACATTAAATGTGAAAGTTATTTTTGGATATTCTCAGGGGAGTTAATTTTAAATACTTCTAAGATTTCATTTTGCAAACTTGTCTAAGCATCTTCAGCTATGTATTTAGGAAAAACACAGAGTAAAAAGTTGGAATTACTTAAATTTCAATCTACGATATATTACTCAAATATTATATTCACGTTTAAAAAGTTTCTTGATGGTCTGGAGTTTTTCTATTGTACGTGTGCTTAATGCTAGAAATTTGTAAAACAACAGATTGTATTGTATAATTTTTGCTAATCGAAGAGCGATGGTGTCTGCTACGCACGAAATTCATTTTTATTTTCACATCCCATCTACGGAGATTACAGCCAAACAAATTGTAGCTTGTGAGAGCTGGTTTTAATATATAGATATGTATATAAATGAGCGTTTCGATATCAAATTTACAAGTTCCGTCTTCATATATGTCAGAGATTATACTGTTACTTCATCATTTCTAACTATATACGTGATGCACTGTTTACAAGAAATTATAGATTCTTGTGTTAATGTAGTTCAATGTTAAACTTGTGAAATCATGAATCGATCACAGTTAGACCACCATTAGGAACCTGGAAGTACTGGACTGCCGTTTCATACTGGCATGGGACTCATCAGCAGTGCGCACCCATGATTTCAAATGTGTAACTTAACAATCTTCACAACCTCGCAATGCAATTACCCGTGCTCACTAGTGACTAGTTCCGTGAGCAACCATTTCCGAGTTCTAGTGGGAAGTCATGACCAGTGAAGTTCAACCTATTCGGGTGTAGACAGTAACCAACGAAAACAGTGTACGAGGTTGCGCAACTCCGTGAATTGATCGAAATTAGATATTAACACCGGTAGATACCGGCTCAGTAGTCCAGAGCTCAGGCGTTCGGGTGTAAGATCGAAGGTCCTGGGTTCGAATTCTGAGAGGTGCAGAAGTCATGGATGCGCACTGCTGATGGGTCCCATGCTAAAACTAAACGGTTACCCAATGCTTCCAGGATTTAATTGGTGGTCTAACTTTGATCGATTCATGATTGCAAATGTATAACTCAACAATCTTCAAAACCCCGTAATGGAATGTTAAACTAACTACTAAACATCAATATAACTTCTACCTGACTGAGTAACAAATTATAATAAACTATAAACCGACAGAATTTCACTACTACTCTCTTACACCAATGAAGAATTTTGTTGAGATGTGACTGAAGAGACAAAAAGATGAGACTGAAGGATGAATATGAATGCAGATGCATATTCATGTATATATCGTGAAAACAGTTACTTACATTTTCCAAGAAAATATTTGAAATACCATCTTGTCTCACGTTCAGGATTTTCCAAATGCAATGGTGTAGTGGTAGATTTAAAATTAACTCCTGAACTATTATTGTATAATGAATGTGGATCATGATCAAACATAAAGTATTCATCATCAAAATTTGTCACACTACGACCTGTTCCAAATGACTGTGATTGTTGCATTGTTGAAACTGGTGGCATTTCAGGACTATGTATTTGATTCAATCCGATCTCATATGAGGAACGTTGTAATTGTCGTTGGTTTTGTTGTAACTGTGTCGTTGTCCTTAATGATCTATCCCTGAAATGATCCATGAGCTGAGTATCACTGGATCCACCTTGATGAAGTCCAACCACTCTTTCATTTGACTGGGATTTTTCAGATATAAATAGACAATCAGAATATTTAACACTATCATTATCATAATCATTAGTATTGTCGAAATTTCCACAACAAAGACGATTTTCTGACGATAAACTTGGTGAATCTTTTTCTTTCAAAGATAAATCGAATGATAGTGAATTAGCATAACTAGGAGAAGATTCTGTCACTTTTCTACTCGAAACAACACTAACTTCCGAACGAAATCTTCCGGCATTATTTATGTATCCATTGGATTCACTGATTGATGAGGTATTTTCCGATAGATACATCTGGATATTTATACCCAAAAAAAATAATTTAGTATAAATCAAATGAAATAGATATTTTTTGCACGCTTATTTTGTACTATTATTGTACTATGTCAACACAGATGTTATGCTGATATCAATTATAATCAATAGGGATTTCATCAAAATATTTTATTTTCTAAACCACATGGGGTCTGAGTAATTAAAAAGTCATTACTGGTCATCAAAAAAGTATTTGTGAAATTATTCCATTTTATTGATGAAACAAGTAAGCCGTCTATCAACCAGAGAAAGAACCAATGTATACTAGTAGAAATGATCGGACAAAAACTCGTCAGTAAATTTTATAAACTATCTATCAAGAATTTAATGAAGCTGATATGTTTCGCATACATGTATACTATGCATGAGGATCGATAAGAGTTTAGCTTTCCCAAATAATATGCTGTTAGCCTATAGGCCAGAGATAGAGAGAGAAAAGTTATTCATAGACTAAATTGTATACATACATCTATCTGTTGTATATAACCAAACAAAAATAACAAAGTGAGTAAAAAGATTAGAGAGGTAGGCCTTGAGATATAAATTGGATTGAGTGAAATGGTTTAGGTGGGCGTTTTTATATTCCCTCTACAGTATTTATTCTATACGTAAATATGAGTATGATGAAGTGAATAGTGAATATAATCATAATAAATGAATTAGATGATAAATATTGTGGACACATTTAAACAAACCAAATGCATAGCAGAACAATGAAAAAAAAATAGAAAAAGAATGCTATCTCCGGCTATACAAATTAGGGATGAGCGCTATGCATATATTTTTGGTCTGATTAAAAGATAGGCACAAATAATATTCCTAGCCATAACTAGTATTGATCATGAAAAGGCGAAAATAACAACAACAGCAACAACAACAACAACACATGATTGTCATCTGATTCAATTTGAGTAGGAAAATTAAGATTAATATTGCAGCAAAACAACAATCAGCATAAATCATCAATAACTTGCAATAGGTGATATCTATCAGACTTCAGTTAACGACATGCCAAGTCAACTGTGCAAAAAGAGATTTCCCAGTGTTCAATGTCCAATCCAGTAGGCTCTGTTCATTTGGATTCAATTAGTTGTAGACATGTCAAGTTCACTCGATATCATTGATCAAAAAGAGACGAAAAATTTAATGTTAACATATCTTACTGTCACATTGAAACTAATAAAACCATGAATATTTTATTAGACAACAGTTATTAGTTGATAGTAACGAGAGGATTTGTTGATTCATTAGTAACAATTCTAAGTAGACAAGTGGCCACAAAAAACTTGGTAAGATTGCATGGAAGTTTATGCCTGTCAGTATTTCACAAATTATGATCAATAAACGGAGATGAATAATCAATAATGAGAGTATTGGCGGATGGGTAATTAGTTTAAAGAAAAATCATGAGATTTAGAATGTTTTCTCTGTAGAAATTGGACAAATAATTTACCATAACATTTAGCGTAATTTTATTCAGAAACCTAGTTAACGTTCATATACAGTAGACTTTAAGCCACAAATCTAATGCTACTCAACAACATAAACTTAATTAGTACTAGTGAAATAAACTTAGTTTAAAACCGCGTAATTTTGTATGTAACCATACGTGTCATCATACAATGAATACGTCTCAGCCGTTGTAAAGTATACTTAATTAATTTAGCCTGTTTCCCCCATTGGAGCATTGACCGCCGACCAGAATTTTCTAACCTATTCTGTCCTGAACCTTCCTTTCAATTTATGTCCAATTTTCATTCATTATTCTCATGTCTGTCTCTATTTTTAGGTGTAATGTGTCCTTTAATCTCCCTCTTTTCCAGTAACCTTGAGGATTTGAAGTAAGGGTTTGCCTCCTGATGCAGTTGCTTGCTTTCTTCAATGTCTGTCCTGTCCACCTCCAACAATTCTTCTTGATTTCTTCCTCCACTGGAATCTGGTTTGTTCTCACACACAGTAGGTTGTTGCTGATAATGTCTGGCCAACGGATCCGAAGTTTTTTACGTAGATAACTGTTTATGAATACTTGTATCTTCTAGGTGATTGCTTTGGTAGTTCTCCAGGTTTCCGCCCCATACAGTAGAACTGTCTTGACATTTGTATTGAAAATTGTGACTATAATGTTTGTTGACAGTTGTTTTGATTCCTAGATATTGTTCAGTTTTGTAAAAACGCAGCCCTTTCTTGCCTTCACATATGCATCAGATCTACCTTGTTCGTCAGTGATGCTTACCAGATATGTAACGCTTTTACGTCCTCCATAGCATCTGCATCAAGAGTGATTTGGTTGGTGCATGGTGTGTTGTATCAGAGAATCTCGCTTATTGCCTTTTGTATGTTGAGACCTACTGCTGCTGAGACTGCCGCCACACTAGTTGTCTCCTCCTGCATTTGTTTTTTGCGTGTGCGATAGAAGAGCCAGATCATCTACAAAGTCTAAGTCGTTCAGCTGCATCCTAGTTTTCAACTCTACCCAGTGCATCCCTCCACGTGTTGACGTCTTCACAATCCAGTCGATGACCAGGAGAAAGAGAAAGGAGTGAGAGTAAGCAGTCTTGCCTGACATCCGTCTCCTTCTCGAACGATTCCATCAGCTGTCCTCTGTGCACGATTTCGCAGTTTAATCCATCATAGGAATTGCGTATGATGTTGACTATCTTCTCAGACACGCCATAGTGTCGGTGAAGCCTCCATAGTCTTGTACTGTCTACACTATAAAATGCTTCCTCGTAGCCAATGAAGTTGATCTATAGTGGTGAGTTCCGTTCAATTGATTGTTCCATAATGATCAGTAATGCTGCAATTTGGTCGGTACATGATCTATCCTTACGGAATCCAGCCTGCTGTTCTCGAAGTTAGGCGTCTTTGAAGCTCTTAATTCTGTTTAACAATACCCTGTTGAAGACCTTGCCTGGTATTGAAAGAAGAGTGATGCCTCCGTAGTTCTTTCGCTTCTTGAGATCTCCATTCTTTGGTATTTTGATTAAATATCCTTCCTTCCAGTATGTTGGACCTTGTTCTTCATTCTTTCGTGAATTTTATCAAGAGTACCAACAGAGATCCATTCTTTGTGACGGTACTTCCTGTGGCCCAGAACCTCATGAAATGTTGAAGTGACTGACTCCTTGATCCATTTCCAATTGTTCTCCAAGCTTATTCCCTCTCCATTCAGTATATCGTTCAAGGCCTGGAATCTATTGCTGAGGGCTATCTTGAATTCGTTGAGTTTTACGGCATCCCGAAGTAAGGCCTTATTAAACTTTTGTGATGTTTACTACCCCGTTGTCCATTGTTTCTTGAGTTTCAATGTCATCTTGGTCACTACTAGGTGGTGATCTGAGGCTATATATTCTACGCTCTTGTTTCTCACATCCTCTATTGTCCCTCTGAAGGTTTTATTGATGCAGATATGGCCATTTTGGTTTCGATTATTGTGATCCGGTGAAATCCACGTAGCTTTGTGCATACGTTTGTGTAGGAATATTGTACCGCCGATGACCAGTTTTTTGAAGTCGCTTAGGTTTGCAAATATCTCACCATTTTCGTTCCATTCTCCTAATCCATGTCGTCGAATGATGTCTTCATATCATTTGTTGTCCAAGCCAACCTTGGCATTTAGGTCTCTCATCAGAATGGTCAAATCTTTTCATTAGCATCTCTGGACGATTGACTGTAGCCTCTCGTAGAATTAATCTTAAACGTATTCATTGTAATCGTTGATAGGCGCCAACGATTATATATATATATATATATATATATATATATATATATATGTATATATATATATATGTATATATATATATATATATATATATATCTCAAAACATTTCACAATATAATAGTTAACTATGTGGTGTAAATTAATACAAATAGATGTAAGAAAACATATTGCTAAATCTTTTCCTACGTATATTTATTGAAATTTAAACAGAATAAACTAAAATAGATTCTACTAAGATGCTTAAAATATGAGTATTTTTAATACATTCAAGTATAATAGATTGACTTTAATTTAGCGGCTACTGAAGACCGATAATAAATAAGTAAATATTGATAAGTTATTCTTTATTTATTAGTAATTATCATTATAATTTTCGCACTTAGTTTAATACGTTTATGTATAAGATATAATCTTCAAGTAACTTGGAAATCTTAAGTGTTTTAACATAATTTAATCCACTTTATCTTTCGTAACATTAGTATGATGCACTCCTGAAAATAATCAAAACATTTGATGGGATTGAGAAACATTTCCCACTAGCACAAATCTTCCTTTTTTATTCCATTATATATGAGATTCAAAAGAGGTCTAAAATTACCAACAACAGTACTGTTGTAAAATATGACTGATGAATTCGTACTAGATGCTAACTTCACTATAGAGCAAACGAGAATATTTTTGAAAATAACTTTTGCTACTAACAAATTATAAGTAGCAATAAAGCATATGTAATAATATGTAAAGTATGACTAACTTCGTTAGCAGATTTATATCCAAGCTTTCGGAATAATTTTCTTCGTGTGTCAACTCTGGTTTTATTCGACCTAAAAATCAAATAATACAATAAATAACTCTATTTAGAAACGGAAAGAAATGGTTTTTTAGCACTCGATTTCAGACTGTAAGCAAACAACCTGAGTTAACTTTCAAGTACTAAACGTAAAACACAAATTCAAATAGCCTCCCTCAACAACGAAAAATGAACTGGGACAAGAGAAATATTAAAATATCGAAAATAACTGAATATAAAAACCATTTTAATGCTTCGTTGCTGTTTACAGCTAACTGTAATACTTAGTGGAGTTTCGTTCTTTGAGTTCGTTGGTTTAATAATGGACCTTTAAGGTTGACAATAACCAATTAAGATCAGTGTCGAGAAAACAAGCTAGGAGTAATATATGGAGAAATTTGAAAACTGGATTTTTACCAGAAGTTTGTCCTAATGGTGTTTTTACAATGAAAGCTCCATGATCAAACCATCCAGCTCAATGAATGAAACTCTACAATAGACATCCATCTGAGATACAAATCTACTCCTCCATTTCATAATTCTAAAATCCTTTACTTTTATAAACCGGTCTGACCACTGATTGTTCATCATATTACTGGAATGTTAATTTAGACGTTAAATAAATTTATAATAAACGATAACATCATCAAAATGTTATTCTTCATTTTAATAAGGATTGGATGTACAGATATGTAACTTAGATTCATTTGAATTCATATCTTCATTTTTCTCACTAAAATAATTTAGAGAAACTCTAAATTAGACGATTTTACTCACTTTCATTATATGAACAAAATACAAATTATCTTTCATCAAATAAATGTTACCTTTTTTAGGGCAGTAAATTCGCGCGCAAGACCGAAGGTCCTGGGTTCGAATCCCGAGAGGTGCAGGAGTCATGGATGCGCACTGATGATGAGTCCCATACCAGGACGAAACGGCGGTCCAGTGCTTCCAGGTTTCTAATGGTAGTCTAACTTTGATTGATACGTGATTTCAATTGTGTAACTTAAAAGTCTTCACAACCCCGTTATGTAGATATATTTAAGTCTATCACATTAATCATAAACTACCATTGAATTGACAATTTTTTTAGAGCATAATTGTTATTACTTTATGATAGCGGAACAGTTCAAATTAAACTAAATGAACTAACATGGTTTTAGGGGTAAATGTAGTTACTTATCAGTGAAAAATAATTAAAGTTTGAGATTCTTTGAAATTAGGAGACTTATTTTTTTGCGTGAACATTTTTTGGCTTGCCAATCAAATTTACCATCTTTATTAGAAAATAGAAGTCTCATATGTCAATTTGTCAAGACCTAAAGAACAAACACAAAGAAACCGGAATAACTGTCGAACCACTGATTGCAGTAATATCCTGGATATTAAAATAATATCCAGTAATTATTGGTGAATAAATGTTACTTTAATCGATCAGCGTTAGACAACCAATAGAAATCTAGAAGCACTGGACGGTCGTTTCATTTTAGTATGAGACTCATCAGGTCCGTGGATGCGTAGTGAAGCATGACGATTGTTCAGTGCTTCTGATGGTGGTCGAGCATCGATCGGTCCAGGATTTCATTGAAACTTAACTGTCTCCCAACCCTTTCCAGGAGTCAAGTGTGAACGCACTAAGAGTGCTTAAGTAAAGTCGGATTCGTAATTTTCGATCGACCTGAATAACGATTATAGAATGTTTTCAACCAGCATTTTCAAGACGAAACTTAAATTATTTCAAAATCACTGTGGTAATATTTTTCTCCGATTTTGTCTAGCTACTACTAAAAAGCTAGTAACACGTTTATTTTAAGAAAAATAAATCTGACGATGAAAGATAAATATAATGTTCAACCTCAAACACCAAACAATAACCAGTTCTATTATTGACTCAATTTACCTTCAAATCACAAATCTAACTACATATTCGTTTATAAAATCTTTTGGATTATTTACTGAAAAATACATTACTATTACTTTTAAAACTCAGTTTGAAAAACTGTCTGTTATGGCATAGAAACTACTCAATTTTGTTTGAAACACAATATAGTCGCTGAACACTTATTTTGTCGATAAACTATCGAAAAGAAGGCTAGATGGTTCTTCACAAAGATTTATATATAAATATGTGACCTAGAATGGTTGAAATACAATACAAGCTGGATCCCATTGGGTAGAAAGCGAGAATTAATCCACTCTTTAATCTCGAGTACCAGGCAAATTGTTCATCTGGTACAATAGATGGCAAACTATTTCTATTTCTATAGAGACTTATCAGCAATGGCTATCCACCCAGATTCATTGAAATAGACATAAAACCAAGATTAGATACTTAAAAACACCAATAGTTTAAGAGAAAACATTTTTTATAGATATCGAATAGAGGAAGATACGGCTGCCAAAATCTAGAAGCCCCACTGCTGTTAACCGAGGATTAGCTGGTGCAATTATAAAGCAGAACTAGTTCTCTTGGACTGGATTCTAGTAGATTGCCACATCTTTGCTGTACAAATAAACAGGACAGTAAGAACTCTCAAATATAGGAACACTAGCTTTCGCTTCTTCTTTGTCTCTGCTTAAGCTTCCACAGATGCAGCTCAGATGAGGTAAAAGATTAATTTTACGAAAAGATTACAAACCTCGTTCAAAAACTAGGCGCTCTATTGTAGTCATAGTGCCTGGTGGTTTTAATGCCTATGCAGGTAGATTAAGGGAAACACAACGACACTTGGGTGGATCCAACAGTGTGGTGACTCATCAAACTGATGATGGCGATCGTCTGCTGCAGCTATGCACAGATAACCGCCTATTTCTTGAAAACACCAACTTTGAACATAAGGAAACATATTCTGACATGATGAGTCCCAAAATCGACTTAGTGCTGAACCCAACTAGACCGAATTGATATCAGCAACCAATGGAAGCACTTAGCAGAAGACTTTCACTCGTTCTGAAGCACATTTTTAGATTCAGATCAAGTGCTAGTACGAGCTAGTATTTATCTGTAAGAAAGATACAGCAAGAAAGACATTGGTGTTCAATTTAACTATGAAAAACCCAAGGATATATTTCAGGAAGAACAGGAGAAGTAGTTCGTCACAATGAGGAGCAGAGTCAGTCTAAGCGCTGGCCGGTAAAAAGCTTACTCAATAATCGCATTTCACATTTCTAACTGAAGTCAGTTTGTAACTTTTTACAATAGAGCTGTAACTTGAAAAAATTTCAAGTCTAATCATAGATTTTACATTGTTCTTCATAAAACCTATAATAAATATTCTGTTAAAACACTCTATGGTTTAAATCTTTCCAGATAATATATCCTTATTCAATCTAAGATTGACTATTTCTTGATCATTCATCTGATTATGCCTTTTAATTAATAATTATTTTTTAATAAGCACAAAAAAAAGCTTATTTTTCATGACTTTAAATTGAATTAAAAAAACAAACGTATATACACATCTTTTCATGTTGTGGTTTGCGTACTTTATTTTTTCTTCAAGATATCATGATTTCATGGTATTATGTTGTGTTTACAAATTCACCATCTATCTCATAAGGCATTTCTTAGATATTTTGACTTCTATCGCTGCAAATTATTAATTATGACGTTGTTTTAATGGTGCATAAGAGAATTTGCCAGATTCTTATTACAAGTAAAAAAAAAACAATGGGTTAGCAGCTGTTTAAACAATCTTATCTAATGCATAGATAGATAAGAAGAAATCCCCTCATATAATTCAATGAGATTATTTTTTTTGCCTAATAAGCCACAATTTCTCACTAATGATTTCAATGCATATTAGTGTTAATAAATTTTTCTGTAACATTTGATCTACTAAAACTTTTGGTCTGGATAATTTTATAAATAAAATAAATGTGGTTGGTATTTTGTCAATTGGCTAAATAGTCCCAGGTGATTTGGATTTACAGTTAAGGTGTTATTTGTAATAAATTGACTACATTTGGGGTACTGTTGAAAATCAAAGACGAGTGGAAAGCTATTTAATAATACTAACATGAGACTAATTAACAATCGGATCTTTAGACTTCAATAAATCTGCAACGAATGGTGCGTTTAAGTCAAGCTAATCAGTATTAAACTCATTTAATGGCTCTGTCATCCTGTTCAATAATGACAACAGTAATCACCAATGCTATCAGCCCTCTATCTTACCTTCAGTTTTTGAGTCCAATCACCTGAGCTGGCAATGTTAAAGAATCCCATACTAGAAAGAAAAGAATGTCCAGTTTTTCCCAGTCAGTCTTTGATCACCTGAGAATGGTTGTGTTTAATAACTTATTGTGGTGGCATAAAATCTTTTAAATGTGCATTCATTTCATGAATAAAATGTAGCTACTTTTGAATTACGGTAATTTCGTCATTTCCTTGTGTTCTTAATGATATTTTGACCACCCTTATTCTAGTTTACTTCTTCTGTCTAAATAAACCGTTTCACAGATGTATTATGTCTGCATGTCATTATTGCATTCAATAAAAGTATAACTCGAAAACTGACATTTTGTGTTTTTTTTCAAAGCATATTTAATTATAAAACTGTCATTCTAATTGTTGATACTTTTAAAAATTAATTTTACAACTATCTGATGTTAATTTCTACCAAGATCTATTTCACTAACTTGCCATTCTTTGTTTTCCACTTTAAAATTCTGTATTCATTTAAACAAATTTGAAACAATTTTTTATTTACTTCAAATAGCATTAATTTCTATTTCCTTTCTTTTTTTTTTTGAATAAACAAGTATTGTTTAACAACAACAAAAAAATCGTTGTTCATATTTTATTTCGATTAGTTTGTTTACACGCTAGGAAATGCAGAAAGCAATGCAGTTCAATGATGATAAACTGATCTATGTTCACATTTTGATAAGAAACATTGAAATTCAATTTGATCTTTTATTAAAAAGTGTAATGTAAAAACAGAAAATTATTTTTGACAATTTACTTTTTGCCAAAGTTTCGTGATTGACAACATTGTAAATATTCATCATATGAGAATGAATTAGTCT